GGTCCCCACAAGGTAGACCGACGATCTGGTGAAGGTCGAGGGAAGAACCTGGAAGAATTATTTTAATAAGATAGCAATAGCAGTGTATTTTTTTAAATGAAACCTCAAAAAATTGGNCTTTCGGATTTTTTCAAGGCAAGATGTAAAACCTGGCGGTCTTTTAAATATGCTCTCCATCAAGTCAAGAGTCCTATAAATACGTGTGATTTTTTTCAAGTCCGTACTTGAATTTTAAAGGTACTTTTTTCGCCCCAGTAGGTCGATCGGTCGTCCCCGTAGAAATGCCCATAAAGACTGGGTCGTGCTCACCTAAGTCTTCAAATGACTGGTGTTAATGTAAGGAATATTTTGGAGATCCAATTAGCTTTATTTAGTGTTAACATAGAGATAGATCCCAGCTTATTTAGCTGTACTGTAAATATACATACAAACACCGTCTGGAAATGTCTGTAAATGGGAATTTATTTCCCAGCATTCTGAACGTCATAACTCCCATTGCAAATTGTAGATAGAACCGATTACATTTCAAACGTCTGCCTCAGTCGGCGCTGTGGCGAGATCGAAATATCGCATCAACTATCTTATTGATATTCCGATTTGTCGGATTGTTAACGTATTCGAATACACGCGAAGGGTGAGCTGAAGTGGTTGTAATTGAAATGATATAAAATTTAACAATTTAGAGATAGTTGTCTTTTTGTAGCAGTCTTTTTGCAATTTACTCTAGCTGGTATAGTAGCTCTGACTCACATACTTTCGTATTTTATAGGTGTGTTGTGTAGTGTATGGTACTAGGGCTTCAATATTGTATCATTTTATATGCACAATTGCACATTGGAATTAAGCTGTTTCACCATCCCGAATGACTCAACTTTTAGGCATAACTTTGAAAATTTATGGAAAAGTCATATAGTTAAATAGAATTCATACTTCACGTGCCTCATCCCTCGGCCCCCTCAGTAACAAGAGCGAAATAGCAGCACTGTATCATCGATATTCTGGGGGTATTTCTAGATGACAGCACTTCAGGTTATGCATGACTATCTGCCGACAAAATGTCTGTACGTACTCTNCTCCTTTTTTGAAGTCGGTTGAAAATACATGGAGTTTGACAGATTTTCGACGTTTGTCAAAGTTAAAGTAAGATGCTGCAACCCAGCCTTAAGTTCTAGCGCTTAAAAGCGCTGTGCCTCAGTGCCTGAGGTATGATAGCGGCACGGGAGGGGTGACATATTTTGATTGGCATAATAATATTATGACGTAACAGACTATACAAATCTGAAGTCTCATTGACGTTGGACGTCTCAAAAACATCAGGCACTGACTGAGATAAGCGCTATTAATAGATTAATTTGTGTTACAGAAAAGATAACAAAAAATCTATTGCTTTATTTTTATTTCACTACACAGTTATGATCGCAGAAACATTATTTTATAGATAATTCATAATTATTTTTATAGCTTATCGGGGTAACATGCAAAATCTTTCGCATTCTTGGTAGGTCTTGAAGTTGTTGTTGTTGCCCCCACAGCCGCCATAGACAAACTCCTGGCATCCGTGCTCTCTGGTGTACGCGTATCTGTAATAAAAAAAAATATTGAGTGGGGTTTGCTTACAGATATCTATTTATAGATGACCCACGCTGAACTGTCCCGCCAAACTCAATGACAGGGGGGCGCTACCATCGTTCAACTATATGCTTTCCAACATGGCAAAAATCTGAACCAGTAATCCGGTATTGACGGTGGCGCCCCACTGTCAATGTCATCGACAGGACAGTCCAGTATTTTGGAACTATATCCATATCTGTGGGTTTGTATTCTGTGGTGGAGCGGGAACTTCACTCTCTTTAATCTATGGAGACTTCTTGGCGTGAAGCGTCAAAATTTCTTGGCGGGAAAGTGAAGCATTATTTTTTGTATTTATTTATTTTTTATCTGATTGACTGACTCACTCATCACGAGTGCTAATAGTCTCAAATTTTGCATGGGGGTTCCTTTTAGAACGTAAGTTGCTCACTAAGACGGGATTTTGCAAAATTCAACTCCTGAGGGGTAAAACAGGAGCTGTTAGTAAATATTAAGCAACGCAGCGTGGGACGTCCACCCACAAGGTGGACCGACGACCTGATAAAGGTAGCAGGAAGGCGCTGGATGCAGGCCGCTACCAACCGTGCGATGTGGAAGTCATTGGGGGAGGCCTGTGTTTAGCAGTCAAGTGGATGTCCTATGGTTGAAATGATGATGATGATGATGATGATGGAGCAATATTGGATTATTCCATTTTAGTGTTCGTTAACGAGTGTAGGCAAGGGTCATTCCATAAAAATCTGTATATTTTGGACGTCATTTTGTCCGTAACTTTTTTAAGATGCTTTTGAATACTTTATTAGTGTAAATTATTGTTTATTAATTAATTATGTTATGTCTAAAAGGGCCAGTCACTTTATGCTTTATTTTAGGAGAAATTATAATTTTCAATTTTTTCATACTACATTACTCCTATATGACTTCTAATAAAGTATAAAACTTTTAACCTTAAGAGCGTTGTAGCAAAAAGTTGGCGTTCGAATTTTAGATTTTTATTGCTTGACGTCGCGTAGTGAGTGCGCAAACTGCATTTATCTGTACAATTTCAACGCTGCNCACATATTTGATGTACTTAAATTTGACTATTCTTACCGTTAGATAATTCCTGGCAATAAGTGGTGACTGAGTTTGTTCCGGCGTTTCTTCTCAGCACTTGCCATATGTTTGTCTCGAAGCGCTGGTAGGGCCCAAAAGATAAGGAGACATGTAAAGTGCCCCATAAGGGCTACCTTTTCTTTTTTCATTATTTTCTATTGACGTTCATAAGTGCCACTTGTGGTCTAAACTGAATAAATATTTTTGATTTCTGAGGCTAGGCTCATTGCAAAATCGCCACTATCTTAATTTATCATTAAGTGACTCTACATTGCCGAACGGATTAGCAAGCTGAAGTGGCAATGGACAGGGCACTTAGTACGCAGAACTGACGGCCGATGGGGCAGCAGGGTTCTGGAGTGGAGGCCGCGTACCGGAAAACGCAGCGTGAGACGTCCACCCACAAGGTGGACCGACGACATCATAAAGGTAGCAGGAAAGCGCTGGTCGCAGGCCGCTACCAATCGATCAACATGGAAAGCATTGGGGGAGGCCTATGTTCAGCAGTGCACGTCCTATGGCTGAGATAATGATGATGATGACTCTACATTGAGTATTTCCTTTCTAATCTTATCTTTTTAAAGTCCATCTATCAAGCAATGACCCAAAAACAACTAAATAAATCCAACCGAACCTAAACATCCTAGAAACATTTACTACAATACATTAAAAGGGTCGTAAAAAACCGCAAAACGCTTTAAAACTCCCACCGCGTATAAAAGTAGAGTGAATTGTGATAGCAAAATAAACAGACGAATAATGTATATCTACTTTGGCATGTATTATGGGATGAACGAGGAAGGACACCTGGATCACAATAGAATGAGAATTCAGTGAGGAACAAAAATAATATAGAGCTTTAGTTTTAATTAGCAATCATTAACAAAATTAGACACAATAAAAAGTTTTGTATCTTGCATCAATGACAAGAAGGTGTATATTTTTTTACATACCTGCAATTTATAGAGATTTTCTAAAAAAAAAAGAAATGTGAGAAAAGTCAAACCGAAAAAAATATAAAAAAGTTTAAAGGCCACTAGGTAGTTTTGTTAAAAAATACAAAATTGACGATAACTTCCTAAACTATGAAAAATCGCGGAATGGGGGCGATTCGGGTAGCCCAGAGGGCCTAGTATGAGTTTACACTAGTAGTGAGCGCGTCAAAAAATCACATTAAATATATGACGGATTGTACAGCGCCCCTAGCGGGAAACGTTCAAAAACTAAAATTTTCATACATTAAACTCACACTCAGCCCACTGGTGATGCTCTACCTCTGGGCTTCGGCTTGACAATACTTTTTGGGACACCTGTATAATACCTAATGTCATCCATCCATCAACCATTACCTTGAATAAGACAGAACACCGTGAGCCTACTTCATACATCTCCGCCTATACATATTATTCCGGGATTGGTCCGGAACGGATACGCCGTGTTTATATGTGGCTTACAGAGGTGTTGGGATTATGTGTCGCTTTCGTTTGAAAGAATAACAGGTAGAAGGATCTGTAAAGTTGTTATGGGTGATTAGACACCTGTCTTTAGCAAAACATCCGTTGATAATCTTAAAACTGTACCACGTTCTGTAAGAATTACGAGTATTAGAGATGATTTTGGCAGTTTGGTTGAGGATTTCGAGTAGAACACGCGTCCAAATTTGGCCTGATTATCACTTGTTATCAAGTGAGATACAGACCAAGAGCATCCTAGTTGTGCATTATAGGCTTTCATCGAAAAAGCCCCAATCGAAGCTTTAGAATTTTACATTAAGAGCGTTGTAGCAAAAAGTTGGCGTTCGAATTTTAGATTTTTATTGCTTGACGTCGCGTAGTGAGTGCGCAAACTGCATTTATCTGTACAATTTCAACGATCGTTTANCTAGGTGTCAATAATTAGGGTGATTTACTAACTAACCAGTCGCATACGAACAACAGCAGTGAGATTCAAACAAGTTTGATCCATGATGCCGCACGACTATTGTGTGAGCCCACCCGTAACCCAAGCTTATTTAGCTTAACACAAGGGGCTGGACGGGACTATTAGTAATTTGTGCAATACAAAGTGCTTATAATCTTTTAAAAAATCTTTTTATTGCTGTATTTAAGAGCGTTGTAGCAAAAAGTTGGCGTTCGAATTTTAGATTTTTATTGCTTGACGTCGCGTAGTGAGTGCGCAAACTGCATTTATCTGTACAATTTCAACGCTGCGTCGACTAAACGATCTTAATCCGTAGTTGTATCGTACCTAAGACAGTACATCATACATAATAATAAAGAAATAATGTATAATTTACCTATTTGATTTTTTCTCAGATCAGNAACGCTGCGTCGACTAAACGATCTTAATCCGTAGTTGTATCGTACCTAAGACAGTACATCATACATAATAATAAAGAAATAATGTATAATTTACCTATTTGATTTTTTCTCAGTACCTCTAGTAGGAAAAACTTTCGAGTTCGTTTCGTTGCGTATTCAAAGTGTCATCGAAAAATTTTGTATGAAAAATTAAACAGCGCCCCCTATATTATAGCCGCCCTAGGGTCAGACTTTTAGCAAAATCAAGTTACGTAATTAATGTATTTTTTACACTAGTAAACTCCGCGACAAGGTTTTAATCTTTAAATTGAGTAAAGTAATAAGTTGATGGGTTTGAAAGAATTTATGTTTTATTTTNTACCGGATAGTTGCCGGATATCCGTTTCATCTCTAATATAGATTATCATTATCTACATGTTTAAAAGAATATTAACTGTGAAGCTAAATTATACAATTGGTTTAATAGGTTCTACAGAATTTGTGAGTTTTTGGAGGGCAAAATATTTAGATTATATACTCCATAATGGGATCTTAATGTCACTAATACATTAAATCTTTAATGCACAATAAATTGAATTCTTATTGGATCTGTATCCTATAATTTATCATTTAAATTACGTTATGACCCACATTCAATAAACCAGAAAAGCATTAATTCCACACAAATAGTAAATAGTTATGGTAGCAACAATGGTTCAAAATAATCAGCAAATACCTAGCAGTACACTCACTTTCAAAATTAAATACAACTTACAGTGAACAATAAAATGTTATTAATATACCTAAACAATTTCACATAAAAACTATTCTTTTTAATTTGTAATACAAGGAACAAGAATTAACCTTGAGTGAGAATGTTAGATAACTATGAATAATTGTGTTAATGGCAACCCGAAGTAACAGCATACGATTATGTGTGTCGTCACTCAGAGGTGAGGCTCTTTCATTTTACAATCATTACTGAGCTCATTTGAATGCGTAATTAATTGTGGCAGCTATGGCATAAAATTAAATATTTTCTTGATATTTTGATAAACTTTTGATATTTTTAGGCAATTTTGATAGTAAAATAATGTTTTCTAAGTGGACAACTAAAATCTGATAGGAATCCTTTACTTTTGGTTTATCTGTAAACACACTACAATAAACATTTGAATATTGTTATCTTAAAACAAATTCACATTACCTACTTAATGATTATCACAAGTAGAACAAGCAAGCTTTTCACATAATGCTTCATGTAATCAGATTTCGTAACATTCAATAAAAATGCATGAAACTTACTTTGTTGTTGCAAACCAGTTTCAATGGTCAATGATGATAGGTTTCATTTTATTTGCACAGTAAGAAAGCACCTGCCATTCTAACTATGGAAAGGAATGTAAAGATTTATCATTTCATTTAAATGGGACTGAATTATCTTTGAAAAAACAATGTTGTAACATAGTCTACCAAATTTGCTCATTATAACTGTCTGTCCCTGAGATAATTGTATTTAATCAATGATATCAAAACTTATCTTGACAGTCAGCTGGCCTGCTTTTAATAACAAAGCATAATAAATTAGTAAGTATCTCAGTTTAGCATATAAACTGATTTTGTTAGCTAAATCTGCAAGACACGACATTGCATTGGCGAAAAAAAGAAGTGCAATCATTCATGTTGCAGTTCACTCACCTTTTGAGAGCGCGAGAGTTACCCAGCTGCAAGCGCAGCGGGGGCGAAGCCCAGCCCCACACGGAGTCAATCTGCAAACGACCACAAACACCTTCATCCACTAAAACTCAACTGCACACCAAAAACTTGGGCTGTTTGCTGAACTATGTTATGCAAATGTCAATACCCCGTCCTCGCCCTTACCTTTGACGATTACTATCGGACTCGTCAATGAAACTTTTCCTCAAGGGTTTGTGTAACGCTAAAAAAGCGCCCTGAGGAAAACTCTATAGTTAACGGCACATCGATTTTCCGATCACACAAGTTTTTATGTTTACTGTTTCACAGACATTTGCACTTTTGTCCACTGGTAAATTTTTTAACAGGTTCGTTCGAAACGTACAACATTAATCGTTTAAACAGTAACTTGGATAATTGAAGAAGAAAAAAAACAGCTCTGAAGGCAAAAAGAAAACTGTGAAAGTCGGAATTATATTTGGTTTAAAATATTATGAAAATTAATCAAAGATTGGTACATATTGAAGGAGTATTTAAATTAAATTACACAATCAAAATATTAAAGTCTAAAAATATTAATCGTAGGTTTTGAACGTCTTTCTAGGCCATTATGTCAAATTGAACTATGTAGCTGTCTCTGTTTATTGTATGAAACTAAAAAGAGATCGAAATAGGGTAATAAAATAGAGATATCATGAAAGTTACATCTTGTTTCACTTAAATCGAATCGCAACCATTGCTATACCATGTTTTTGAGTTATTATTTAATTAAACATGCATTTTGATTTTGTTTGACTCAATAAGCGCAATTTAAATGCCATTTTCATGATACATTGATACCTAAACAACAGTAACAAATAAATATTCCAAGTTTGTTAATTCGATTGTTAAATCAACAATCGAATCGAATCGAATTCAGAATGGTTGGTGCTGCACTAGTACCAATGTCTTGCATGACATGACATTGACGTTTGTTGACTGACATTTTGACGTGTAGTTTGTTTACGTATTCGTATTCCTGATTCAATTAAAATTTTAAATCATAAATAAATCTTTTACACAAAAAAATGTCACTGAGTTTACTTCTAGAGAAATATGATGTATCGACCGAAGAAGGTCTGCAGAAGGCTCTTAGTGAAATTGAAAAAGAGGAGGTTAGTAAAATGTATAGGCGACGACTGAGGGTTCCAATTAGATAAGTTTTACATAGGTCGTAATGATTTTTCAATGTTTATTACAATCGCCAAGTGTCATACGGGTGCGCCGCTTAGTAATTAATTATATAACCATGAGTGTTCCATATTATACATATTTGTTCACTCACTTCTTGCAGGCCGAAGTCGACGAAGCCCTATCTGGGGCATTATCTCGGGCGTGCACCCTCGAGGGCCGCCTGCGCACGGCGAGCCAGGCCTACACCAAGCTCGGGGAAGTGAAGGCAGATGCCCAGGATGCTGCCAACATGGTAGACAGAACAGCGGCCTTAGCCAAGGATGTCAGTGCCAAAGTGCGTCAACTGGACCTAGCTAGAGTAAGTTTACTTTAGATTCTTTTATTCTTGTGATGCTTAGATTAAGTCAGTGTCAGAATTTGTTGCAAAAAAACTGTGCTTACTGGAATTCAATTGCAATTTCATGCCAATAACATGCTCCATGCTTGTTGCAGTCTAGAGTAGCAGAATGTCAGCGCAGAGTGCATGACTTGATTGACCTACAACTATGCAGCGCTGGGGTGGAGGCTGCAATTAAGGCTCATGATTATGAGACTGGTAAGTTTATGAATTTTAAAGTTTTCAATCACTGGATTCAGGCTGCTGCCAACTGAACCCTAATCAGGAAAGCATTGAGTGAGACCTAAATTCAACAGTGGTTGTCCTGTGGCTGAAATGATGATGATGAAGTTTTTAATATTAATTTGTTTTAATTTTGCTAGCAAAAGATTGAATGTTATTTAGAAGAGTATTATTCAAAATGTGTTTATTCTTAATTTTATCTAAGACAGTTCAGTTAAAACTCTAGAGCATTGGTTCCCAAAGTGTGGGGCGCGCGCCATCCGTGTACTAAGTATTAAAAACCTGTAACCGCTGAGAGAATGCATTCCAGACTGCTCGATACGACCAATAAATAATTTTAACTGGAGGAGGGTGGGCGCGGGTTCTTTTGTATGGTTAACTAGCTTTCCGCCCGCGGCTTCGCCCGCGTGGAATTTTGTCTGTCACAGAAAAACAATATCGTGCGCGTATTCGCTCACCGTTTAGACCTACCCTGGACTACGACAAACATTTTAAAACCAAAATCAGCTCAATCGGCCCAGCCGTTCTCGAGTTTTAATCAGACTAACGAACATCAATTCATTTTTATTTATATAGAAGATATGGGGGGCGTTTCAAATAAGTTTGGGAACCAATACTCTAGAGCTAAGTTTAACTTACTTCGTTCGTGATCTACAACCGGCTGTCAATTCGCACAGGCGCGGGGCACGTAGCACGTTTCCTGAGCATGGACCCGGGCTCAGTGGCGGCGGCGCGCGCGCGCGGTGCCCCCGACCCGCGCGACGCCATGACGCGCGCCGCCACCACGCTGCGCGAACACCTCGTGCGCAAGTGAGTACGACGATTTGCTAAACAATGTATCAGCTATAGAACTTCTACTACCACAACTTTGATAATGTAAAAGCGGTGGTTCGCGCCTCGACTGAGAGAAGCGACAAACACACAACATAGGTCAAGAAATGTCTGTCGTGGCGCGAACTGTCGCCTTTAAATGTCGGCGCTAATGGGCCACCGACCACAGCCACCGATGGCTGTCGTGCGGTACCGCCACACTATAGTCTTTTTCACCTAAGATGATTCGTATGACGTTTCGAGTTTGAAAGTTATAGAGATGTCACATAACTAAACCATAGCGATTTATCTATCGATTTTTTTCTAAGAGTTAGTGAAACCTACTTTTAGAGAAATATTTTGTATAGGTGTTATTTAACAAAAAAACATGTTTTTTTAATTACAAATATTATTGTAACAATTTTTTATTGATAATATTCAAATTCCTGGACTTCGTGTTCAAAAAAACGATTCCTAAAAAGTATTGGTTCTATTTCTTTAAATTAAAAACTATTAATTTATTTTCAATGCGTTTATTAAAGTCAACAATCGAAAAATATAGTTGATTTTTGAGATGTTTTTAATAACTAAGTATTCACTACAATCAATTAAGAGCGTTGTAGCAAAAAGTTGGCGTTCGAATTTTAGATTTTTATTGCTTGACGTCGCGTAGTGAGTGCGCAAACTGCATTTATCTGTACAATTTCAACGCTGCGTCGACTAAACGATCTTAATCCGTAGTTGTATCGTACCTAAGACAGTACATCATACATAATAATAAAGAAATAATGTATAATTTACCTATTTGATTTTTTCTCAGATCAGACTTTTAGCAAAATCAAGTTACGTAATTAATGTATTTTNATCAAGTTACGTAATTGATGTATTTTTTACACTAGTAAATCCCGCGACAAGTTTTTAATCTTTAAATTGAGTAAAGTAATAAGTTGATGGGTTTGAAAGAATTTATGTTTTATTTTATTCTTTTTACATCATCATCTTCTTCTTCTTCTTTTATTTTGGCGACGGCTTGGTTTTGAGAACCATGATTTCGCCAATGTCACGTAAACAGCTTTGACAAAGTTACAGGGTTTTAAGAGAAAAAAAATTACAACATTTAATTTTTTAACAATAAGCGAAATTATTTGTGTGAGTACCTAAAACAAAACAAAAAAGACATCACAGATTCTTTACAGCATCAAAAGCTTGTTTATGAAAAATATTTACTATTTAAATTTTACTTTTGACTTTTTAGTTTTTATGATGCGGGATGGAAAAATTAAAATTTATTCTGATTTTGTGACGTTTCCGCACATACATATGGATAGGTTAAATAAATAGAATGAAATGTATGAAAACGAGCGTGCCATTTTTTAAACGTTATCTATAATAATAATATCTGCAGCGTCGGACTGGCCATACAGTCGGGGTGGCATTTGCCAGCCGGGCCCCAGCCTGCGCGGGCCCCCCACGGCCTGGGTTGCGGGGCATGCGGCAACCGTAGCACGGTTGCCGCATGCCCCGCAACCCAGGCCGGTTGCTACGGTTGCCCGCGTGCATGTCTCGGAAACTAGGTATGCGTCGTACAAAAAAATTGTACAGTCATAATTTGTAGAAAATTGCTTTGCCTACAAATATGTTAATATAATTTTTTGCCTTAAAGGACATTGTCAGAAACCGCCTAAAAAACCGCCCAAAAACATTAACCCATCATAATTATTTTCAATTTTTTTTAATACATTAAGCACCCTTTCATTCTAATGGACACTTAAGCATTGAAAAATTAAATAAATAAGTCTTTTAACGTTTATTCTATAATACTATTACAACTTCCGGACGTTTTGGTGCGTGGCATGGTCTAAAACCTATCAAGTTCCATAATTTTTGCCGATAAAATCTGTACGAGGCATTACCGTACTTTATTGCTGGGAGTCCATGTATAGTGATGTTCCTGCGGCCATCATAGACAATAAAATATCGATTTTGAAAATAAAATNTTTTTATAGTCGTGAAAGAAAAGTGGTTCACAATGTGTTAAAGTATTTGTCGAAGAGAAATACTAAGGGTTCGGACAATATTTTCATTGAATAATGTTTCCGACAAAGGTTATCAAATTGACTGACATGTTTATCGTATAGTACAGTTCACTATGAAAATTAGCTGTGGTTTGTTTCAACTACCTATTTTAAAGATTTTTGTCACTTTCTAAGTGTTGAATTTTATGGAATTGGGAAAGAAGTACCGAGTTTGAAGCGTTCATGAGCAGACATTGCAGTTGAATATTCAAGTTCTGAATTTGATTATTGATGAATAATAAAAAAAATCCTACTAGCTCGATTGATGGTTTCATTTAATTTATTTAAACCAGGTTACCTATAATAATATTTTTTCGTTAATTTATGAAAATATCAAATTAGCCCGTAATCCTGAATCCTGATACATAAAGTTAGCTATTAATTTAACACAGGTACGACTGTACTCAGTGTTGCACTATCAAATGCAATTGACGCGCCTCTATGCCAGGGTTTTTATGTTCCTGGTCAGGCTATAATTAAAATATAATCAATAGACTCAGATTTTACTATATATTTCAAGACAAGTAGTTATTTTTTTTTATTATATTGCTAATGAAATACAAATATTTTTTCAAAAATATTCTGCATATGTAGTATGCGTAATATGGATAACCTTAAAGTGTCATACGGATCATCTTAGCTGAAAAAGACTATAGTGGCGAGCCGTGGACACTACTGTAGCGAGTAGCCGCCACCGGATACACGTGTGCGGCGCGTTTATACAAAATTTATATTAAAAAGTGGGTTAAGTCACCGTCGCTGGCTACCAGTGGCTGCATGTGGTCGGTCGGTGGCCCATTTGCGCCGAGCCTAACTGACAGGAAGATTGATATTTGCCTGGTGATAGTAATTAGTTGTTTTATGTGCTTCCATTGTAAGGTTTGAGGAGGCAGCGCGCAAAGACGACGCGGCGAGCGTGGAGCGGCTGTTCAAGTTGTTCCCGCAGATCGGCCGTGCAGAGGAAGGCGTCGACCTGCTCGCCAAGTACCTCGCCGCGCAGGTGCTAATCAATATTTCTAGGCTTTTATGCTGGCAGTACACTCCAAGAGACAACGAGAAAGGCCGAGTGCGAGAGTGTAGCTCTCGCTCGCTCTGGGTCCCGTGTTCCCACATAGGGCTGTCTCGCGAGACATTCGGGCTAGTGTAGGCGAGAGTTCTCGGACAAGACCTAATGAGAGTGTACTGCTGGCATTATTGTTTAGTGTGTTCATATACTACAATTTAGTGGTCCTTCGAGCCGGATGTTTTTCTCTCGAACATTCGTAACACATGCTTATTCAATGTTACTTTAGTCAGTCTTTCCCAAAGTGGGCGATAACGCCCCCTTGTGGGCGCTGCAGGCTTAAAGGGGGGCGGTAAGAGACCCAGAAAAAAAATCGGGACGTTTGTGTAGAGGCTTGGGAGGCGTCATCTACTAGGACTCTTAGACGCCGACTGAGCTCGACTCTTGAAAAATGGGGGGCGCTAAAAATAATTTATTCTCAAAGTGGGCAGAGACTAAATAAGTTTGGGAACCACTGCTTTAGATGGTGTAAACAACTGTTTTCTTCCCCTTCCCAGACCGAAGTGGCGATCAGGCGCGCCTGCGTGGTTTCTGACCCCAACAGCGAAGCGGCGGTGTTCGCGGACGCCATGACGCGCGTTTTAGAGTGCGCGGCGGCGGCCGTGGAGCGCTGCCGGGCCGCCGCAGCCGCGTCCGCGCCCGCGCTGCTGCCGCGAGCTGTGAGGATCATACAGCCCACGGTGAGTGGAGCGGAACTTAGTGGAACGTGCTGCGCTTCAGTCAGTTGTGATCGAATCAGAAATGACACGATCCGCAGGAGAACCAAAATAAATAAATAAATTTATTTCTGTATAAAACTTAGCCTAGATAAGTACCTACACGTTTGGTTTCAATTAAAATTAGTGCACGGACATAATTAATAATACCTAAACTAAGCAAAATATAAAATAAACAACATAGTGAGAAGCCACACGGTACGGTGCGGCGCCGCACCGCAATCATTTTGCCGCATCACTGTACACATGTGTTATGCAGCGCCAGCGCCGCAATAAAGCACCGTCTCGCTCAATAGAAGTGCGTTGTGCCTGCATATCATTGATTTTTATATGCAAGACGCCGCAGCGACATCGCTCCGGCGCCGCGCCGCGACCACACCGCACCGTGTGGCTTCATAGGCCGCAGAAATGCTCAATTTAAGTGGTAATGGGCAGGGCTATATGCTCGTACATCTGATAGCCATTGACTGATGATTATTTGATTTTATCATGACTAATGAATGAGCTACAGAATTGATCACAAGACTAATAAACCATCTTGTTATGTTTACCCGCAGGTTTGCGCAGGAGCAAGACGCGTGTCTCGCGAACTAGTGGCACGACGTCGCGTGGAGCCCGAGCAGCCCGCCCGAGCGCCACTGTCACCATTGGCCGCCGAGCCCGCGCTCGTGGAGCTATCTCGCGCGCACAACACTGTCGTGCTGTACTTCACCTTCCTGCGGCGCAAGGCCGAGGTGAGCGAGTGTAAAGCCTGGTCCGTGAGCACGTAGAATTTTGTCCAATGACCCCAAGCTACCCATCCTTATCGCTCGCGCGTAATTATGTTGCTGACGCGCTCGCACACTCACTGCGGGCGCGCGTCGCACAGTCGCGACAGCAACATAATTACGCGCGAGCGATAAGGATGGGTAGCTTGGGGTCATTGGAAAATTCTACGTGCTCACGGACCAGGCTTTAGACCCTGTCGCGTGGAGTTAGAGCTCAGTGTAGCGTGGCCGCGGCCGCCGAGCCACGCGCACAACACCGTCGTGGGACTTGTTGGCGGGAATCTGAAGCGTCATCTTAGCGGTTTTGTTTTATTTCCTCAAATTCGTGTTTGGGCGACTATTAATGTGTAATAATGGTGGATTATTAACCATTGAGTGTTCGTGAACGCGCATGAAAGTGGGCGAGTGAAGCAGAACAGTGCATCGTGATTCTTCTGGTTCTCTCAAGTTGTCCATAGGAGGTCTCAGTAAAGCACCACAACTTTACTGAGACTCAAAGGGTGGGAAGGGGTATCATCTATCATCCTTCATTATATCATTACTTGATCTCATTTTGTAACTCGTATCCGTATCACATAAATACTTGAAAATGGCACAAATCAAGTCGACCTCGACGTGTATTGCCAACATCATCAAAAAAGAAGAAGAAGAACACCATCTTGCTATACTTCACCTTCCTGCGGCGCAAGGCCGAGGTGAGCGAGCGTGGACCTTGTCGCGTGGGGTTAGAGCTCAGTATAGCATAGCGGCGTAGCGCCCTAACAGACAATCTCTGAACCCTATTGCGTAGAAGTTAGAGCTCAATTTAGCGTAGTGCAGTCCTCACATACGATGTCAGCCAGATCTAATGGAATGGCAATACTACATACTAAAACTTAGATGCAACTCAAAAGTAACTAGAAGTTGCAGTTTCGTTGAATTGCGTTTCACTGTGTGTTCTGGGCCTATATCGTTATACGAGTACTTCATCTTGCTTTTTTCCGTGTTTGCAGGCCGATGCAGCGACAGTAGATGAAGCTACAAGGAAAGCGAGCATAGAAGCCATGGACAAGATCATCGCGGAGTGCGACCTAACGCGAACTGCGCAGGACCTGTTGGGACATTACCTTGCCCTCGAGAGGTACTTATTTTCTTTGTTATATGAGATAATTTTAGAGGAAACTTTCATAATCGTGTGTATTTCATTTGTTCAGGTACTTCTTGGAAGAAAACGTGAACAAAGCTCTGAAGATGGCCACGCCACAGACCGGGGTCACGACGTCGAGTCTGGTGGACGACATCTTCTTTATTGCTAGGAAGGCAATAAGGTGGGTGCTATATGATGCTTAAACGTCACAAAATTTGTAAAATGATGATAGACTTCTTTCATTATCTTTTATGTTTACTTTTATTTGCAGAATGAAATTCTTTGTCGTAAATATTTAGCTTGAGGGGTGTTTGTTTAATAACAGTGTTGACAACGTGCAGGAGTGTCTTGCTAAAAATTGTCAGAGTGTAATAGAGAGTCTGTGGGACCTATGCCCGTTTTCACCATCAATCCCTAATTTTTAAGTGACCCCTTTGAAAGGAAAATTCTTGTTATGTGTTACCATAGGGGTTACTTAAAAATTAGGGATTGATGGTGAAAACGGGCACTATTCCACCAAACTTTCCCCCAACTGCAACTCCTGTGTAGCCAGAATCTACGGCATCTTTCATTAGAGGCCATCCAATGAAACTCGACTAGTGAAGGTTGAGTAGTCCCGGGGGATAGCTGTTTTGAAACCCGCAACGAATGAGGGCTATCGTTTTAGCGCTCACCAGTTAGCGCCACTGTAGAGTAAGGTCCTGTCACTTGCTAGTCGCGAAGACAGTGGCACCAACTGGTGAGCGCTAAAGTGGTAGGAGGACTATCGCATTTGCACTCATCAAGATGGCGCCACTGTAGAGTAAGGTCCTGTCAATCGCCAGGGGTGCCAACTGTTAAGTATAAAAGCGATAGCCCTCATTGAATCAGAAGATGTTCCGCTCATGTGCGCAGGCGCAGCGTGGCGACGGGCAGCGTGCAGGGCGCGTGCGCGGTGCTCAACGACGCCGGTGCGCTGGTGGAGCGCGGTGCAGGGGCTTTGCGTCGCTGGCTGCGCGCGCCGCCGGTATGTAGTACCGGCTCAGGAGCAATGACGTATCACGTAACTATCGGAGGGCTAAACCAAGCTATAGTCCGGTCGCCGAGAACGTAGGATTTCGTCCAATGACCCCGCTACCCATTACCCATCCTAATCGCTCGCGCGAAATTAAGTTGCTATCGCGCTCGCACACTCGCTGCGGCCGCCCGTCGCACAGTCGCGACAGCAATATAATTACGCGCGAGCGATAAGGATGGGTAACTTGGGGTCATTGGACGAAATTCTACGTGCTCGGCGACTAGACTTTAGACGGTGTCATGCATCGGAGCCTTCTACCTCCAGGGTGCCCTCGGACCCTGGATCAGCAAATCTCGTATTTATAAAACAAAAAATATTTTACTTCACCTTCTTGAAAACTCATTTTTACCCAGTTACTCTTCTGTGCAGGAGCTGAATTTCGTATATGAAATAGCTTATACATTATCATGGTGGGCGCGGATTTAACAAGTTGATTCTCCAGCCTTCATATACAGCGAATCAACATAGACTTCTGTTGCTAGGACGTGTTGCCGCTGCCGCCGCCGCCGTCGTCGCACGCCATGACGTCAGCAGCGGCGGTGTTGGACGCGGCAGGCGCGCTGGCCACCAGGCTCAACCGAGATGTCGACGCGCAGCGGGACCTGTTTCTGGTGAGAACTTTGCTTACGTTAGCCTTGTCACATTACTCGACATTGCCACGTCGTATTATAAATCGTACAACAACCCTCTTATTAATAAAAAGTTACAACTAAGATGAACTCTGGATTAAAATGACATTTCCATATTAAATGACAACTTAAGCCAGAGTTCAACACTAGGGTGTAACTTTTATTAATGAGGCCCCAAGAGTTGAGGTATCTAGGATTATTTTTTAGGGGGGACTTGGCCCCTGCATGGCATATTCGATGAATACAGGAGGGTGCGATCAATATCATGGCTCTTCGAATCGGTACCTAGCCCAATATCCATGACGTGTGGGCGCTAAACCATTCTGGAGTGGGCGAGCCAGTTGTCTTTCACTACGTTCCCCGATCATTCATGCGCAAATTATATCACCAGTATCTCTACTTTTCACAACGAGTCATACAGGGTGGAATTTTGTAATGCCACCTGGAGGGAAAGTACTCTTAATACTGTAGATAGAAAATTTTACTCAAAGAAAACATTCCTTTATTTTTGAAAAGAAAGACAACCGCATTCAAAGATTTTCGAAAAATTTTCAAAAATATACCACCATACCATACAATTTTCTGTAAATAATGACAACAATTTAAGATTTCATGCTTTTCCTTTCATTTGATTTATCAAGTTTGTTTGAGAGATTTCATCATTATACTTAACCCTAACGATCGATGCAATAAAAATACAGGGTGTAATTTTTAACAGATTTTAGTTGGTTCGATTCCCGAGTGTAGCAAGCAAATTTTTGGAAATCGTTGAATGCAGTTCTATTTCTTTTCAAAAATAATGGAATGTTTTCTTTGAGTAAAATTTTCTATCTACAGTATTAAGAGTACTTTCCCTCCAGGTGGCATTACAAAATTCCACCGTGTATAATGAGTCTCAAGAACACTGATACTATTTGTAGGCGCACACGAACGAAGCGGAGGCGGGCGGCGAGTGGTCGGAGCGTCTGGCGGCGGAGGCGTGCGCCGAGGCCGAGGTGCTGGTGCGCGCGCCCGCCGACCGCGACCGCCTGCTCTCCTGCGCCGCCGGGCTCGCCGCCGCCGCCGCCGCCTACCGCGCCGCCCACGATCTCGCGTTAGACGGCATCAAGGCGGCGCTCAAGCCACGTGTTGTGGCTTGGGCAGAGTATATTGCTGATCCAGGATGTGAGCCAGGTATGTGACATTGTTAACAAGCGAAGTATAGCCTTCACGCTTGCGCCGCCGCCGCCGCCTACTGCGCCGCCCATGACCTGGCGCTGGATTCAGACGCGTCGTTGCTTGGACCGAGTATATTGCTGGCCCAGGGTGTGAACCAGGTGAATGATCTCCATTCCTGCGACCGCCTGCTCTCCTGCGCCGCCGGGCTCGCCGCCGCCGCCGCCGCCTACCGCGCCGCACACGACCTGGCGTTAGATGGGATCAAGGCGGCGTTGAAGCCACGCGTGGTGGCTTGGGCAGAGTATATTGCTGACCCGGGCTGTGAGCCAGGTGAGTGGTCTGCTCTCCTGCGCCGCCGGGCTCGCCGCCGCCGCCGCCGCCTACCGCGCCGCCCACGACCTGGCGTTAGACGGCATCAAGGCTGCGTTGAAGCCACGCGTGGTGGCTTGGGCTGAGTATATTGCTGACCCAGGTTGTGAACCAGGTGAGTGGTCTCTACTCCAGCGCCGCCGGGCTCGCCGCCGCCGCCGCCGCCTACCGCGCCGCCCACGACCTGGCGTTAGACGGCATCAAGGCTGCGTTGAAGCCACGCGTGGTGGCTTGGGCTGAGTATATTGCTGACCCAGGTTGTGAACCAGGTGAGTGGTCTCTACTCCAGCGCCGCCGGGCTCGCCGCCGCCGCCGCCGCCTACCGCGCCGCTCATGACCTGGCGCTTGATGGGATCAAGGCGGCGTTGAAGCCACGTGTGGTAGCTTGGGCAGAGTATATTGCCGACCCGGGTTGTGAGCCAGGTAAGTGACATTGTTAACAAGCGAAGTAGCCTGCACTCTTGCGCCGCCGGGCTCGCCGCCGCCGTCGCCGCCTACCGCGCCGCCCACGATCTCGCGTTAGACGGCATCAAGGCTGCGCTGAAGCCACGCGTGGTGGCTTGGGCGGAGTATATTGCTGACCCAGGCTGTGAACCAGGTGAATGGTCTACACTTCTGCGACCGCCTGCTCTCCTGCGCCGCTGGGCTCGCCGCCGCCGCCGCCGCCTACCGCGCCGCTCATGATCTGGCGCTCGATGGGATCAAGGCGGCGCTCAAGCCACGTGTGGTAGCTTGGGCGGAGTATATTGCTGACCCGGGCTGTGAGCCAAGTGAGACTGCGACCGACGATCACCAAACGGCTAGAGTACCTTCTGTACTCGCCACTCTGCCCGGTGAAGCTGGAAAAGCTCTTCAAGCTACCAGCGCGCGTCGCTTCAAAAAAAAAAAGCCAGGTGAGTGGGCTCGCCACCACCGCCTACCGCGCCGCCCACGACCTGGCGTTCGATGGCATCAAGGCGGCGTTGAAACCCCGTGTGGTCGCTTGGGCGGAATATATTGCTGACCCGGGTTGTGAGCCAGGTGAGTGACCTTGTGTTGATGAACGGAGCTGTCTCCACTCCTGCACCGCTGGGTTGTTAGTCAGGCAGCCTGCATCCCTGCACTTTATAGTGCTTGTGGACAGAATTAGCGACATAGATTTAAGAAAAGCAATCTACCGTTGCGGTTGCTCGTCTGTCGCAGCGCGCCTTGAAATGCCTGAATACAGACTCCGTCTAGCAAAAATCTGACTTCCCCTACCCATTCCCCTCCCTGATTCAAAAGCTGTATACGCTTAGTAGTGATGTGACCAATATTATTCCAGACGAGATGGAAGAGGACGCGGACGCGCTGCCCATAGCCCTGGACACCCTGCTGGAAGGAGCACGAGCCGCGCTCTCTCCACGCGCCACTGATGCCGTGCTGCTGGCGCTGCTGGCCGACCTGGCCGCGCGCGCCGAGGCCCGCCTGCTGCACCACCACTACACCAGGGTGAGTGACGTCACCCCGCCCGCCGCGTGACGTCACGCGCTGCTGGCCGACCTGGCCCGCCTGCTGCACCACCACTACACCAGGGTGAGTGACGTCACCCCGCCCGCCGCGTGACGTCACGCGCTGCTGGCCGACCTGGCCCGCCTGCTGCACCACCACTACACCAGGGTGAGTGACGTCACCCCGCCCGCCGCGTGACGTCACGCGCTGCTGGCCGACCTGGCCCGCCTGCTGCACCACCACTACACCAGGGTGAGTGACGTCACCCCGCCCGCCGCGTGACGTCACGCGCTGCTGGCCGACCTGGCCCGCCTGCTGCACCACCACTACACCAGGGTGAGTGACGTCACCCCGCCCGCCGCGTGACGTCACGCGCTGCTGGCCGACCTGGCCCGCCTGCTGCACCACCACTACACCAGGGTGAGTGACGTCACCCCGCCCGCCGCGTGACGTCACGCGCTGCTGGCCGACCTGGCCCGCCTGCTGCACCACCACTACACCAGGGTGAGTGACGTCACCCCGCCCGCCGCGTGACGTCACGCGCTGCTGGCCGACCTGGCCCGCCTGCTGCACCACCACTACACCAGGGTGAGTGACGTCACCCCGCCCGCCGCGTGACGTCACGCGCTGCTGGCCGACCTGGCCCGCCTGCTGCACCACCACTACACCAGGGTGAGTGATGTCACGCGCTGTGCTACCACTACACATGGGTGAATGACGTCACACGGATACTGGAACTCTGGATATAATGCTGGATAGCGTGCGCAATTGAAACACTATTTGACATTTATGGCCGAAAAAGTTCGCGATGTACCCACGATGTATTGTGTATTCGTACTGCTTGACTCTGTTGCTAAACCGTAGTCACAATGAGATACCGGCTTGAAAATCTTTAGCTATCCTCAAATCGTGAGCAGGCCTCCTACTGTAGGCGCGCAAGTTCATGTCCATCGGGGCCTTACTTACTTACTTATAATACTTACTTATAAGTTGCAAAAAATACGGAATGGGTAGATAAGGTTGACCTACTTAATTGGTAATAATTATCGATATCGACATTAGCATAATTAGTTAGGTAACAGCACTACCGCATTCCTCAGGATGGACATGATCTCGCGCGCCTACTGTACTAGGTGGACCGGCGATCTGGTAAAGGTCGCGGGAAGAATCTGGATGCAGGCAGCGCAGGACCGTTCATTATGGAAAGCCTTGGGGGAAGCCTTTGTCCAGCTATGGACGTCATTTGGCTGAAACAAACGAACCCTCAAAATATTACAAACATGTAGGTACAACGTACCAAAATGTCGCACTGAGACATTTATTATCAATTCGAACAACATGGGATGGTGGGGTGGGGTATCATTCGGGATGGTGGGGTACAACAAACTAGAAGTTAGACGGGATCTAAGCCTGGCTACGTATTTGTTCAAATTAGTACGGGGGCGGGTATGTAACCAGGTCGTACTGTAGTCGATGGCGCTTTGTGTGCCGGACCGGTACGTATGGCGGCGCCGGCAGCCTCCTCTATTCGCAATTCCGAATGCAAGAAGAACTAATATGCTAGAAGAGGCGCCAATTACCAGAACGTTGCGTACACTTAATGTAGTAGCTAGAACCGTTGACATATTTTGACTGAATTCACAAAAGTACATTAGATATTTATGTTATAGCCATAGCGGCAATCTTAATTGTTAAATATGTACAAATTAATCTACTCTATCGCATTGGGGTAACCTGTAATGTTAGAGCTAAGATAAAATAAAAAAACATTTTGCTTAAATTGTAACTTGTCTCGCAGGAGGGCGGGCTGGTGGTGGAGCGGCGCGCACGTCGACTAGCGGCCTGGGCGGGTGGCGCCGCGGCCGGCGCGCGTGAGAGGCTAGCGCGCCTGACCCAAGCTGCGGCGCTGTTAGCATTGGAAAGACTGGCACACGTGTCTGATGTCGTGGGTCCTGCCACGCGGCTGGCTCCCAATTTGATCAGAGACATATTAGCACGCAGGTACGTATTGCGACTTTCGACCTTGTTGCACTTATAACAAAGCGCGAGCGGCTGGCACGCCTGACCCAGGCCGCGGCGCTGTTAGCATTGGAGCGGTTGGCTCACGTGTCTGATGTGGTGGGTCCTGCCACGCGGCTGGCACCCAACCTTATCAGAGACATCCTAGCTCGCAGGTAGGTCTTAAACAATTTTATAGCGACTTTCGATTTAGTTGCACTTATAATAAAGCGCGAGCGGCTAGCACGCCTTACCCAAGCCGCGGCGCTGCTAGCATTGGAGCGGTTGGCGCACGTGTCTGATGTCGTGGGTCCTGCCACGCGGCTGGCCCCCAATTTAATACGGGACATGTTAGCACGCAGGTACATATTGCTACTTTTGACCTTGTTGCGCTTATAACGGAGCGCAAGACGCTAGCACGCCTTACCCAAGCCGCGGCGCTGCTAACATTGGAAAGACTGGCGCACGTTTCTGATGTGGTGGGTCCTGCCACGCGGCTGGCCCCCAATTTGATCAGAGACATATTAGCTCGCAGGTACACATGACACGTCATAACAATTTTATAGCGACTTTTGACCTTGTTGCACACGGTTCGCGAGCGGCTGGCACGCCTGACCCAAGCTGCGGCGCTGCTAGCATTGGAGCGGTTGGCGCACGTGTCTGATGTCATGGGTCCTGCCACGAGACTGGCCCCCAATTTGATACGAGACATCTTAGCACGCAGGTACGTATTGCGACTTTCGACCTTGTTGCGCTTGTTACGGAGCACGAGCGGCTAGCGCGCCTCACGCAGGCCGCGGCGCTGCTAGCATTGGAGCGGTTGGCGCACGTGTCTGATGTGGTGGGTCCTGCCACGCGGCTGGCTCCCAATTTGATACGGGACATCTTGGCACGCAGGTATGATACTCTTCATAAACAATTATCTTGCGACTTTCAACCTTAGCACACTCGTTACGGGGCGCTGTTACCGCTGGAGCAGTTAGCGCACGTCTCGAAAGTCATGGCCCCCAACCTGATACGAGACAGCTCGCAGGTACGTCATAAACAATTTTGTTGCGACCTTGTTGTACTTCACGGGGTGCGAGCGGCTGGCCCTCCTCACGCAGGCGGCCGCGCTGCTAGCATTGGAAAAACTGGTACACGTGTCTGATGTGGTGGGTCCTGCCACGCGGCTGGCCCCCAATTTGATCAGAGACATATTAGCACGCAGGTACGTCTTAAATAATTTTGTAACGACTCTTTGTTGCACTTATTACGGGGTGCGAGCGGCTGGCACGCCTTACCCAAGCCGCGGCGCTGCTAGCGTTGGAGCGGTTGGCTCACGTGTCTGATGTGGTGGGTCCTGCCACGCGACTGGCTCCTAATTTGATCAGAGACATCTTGGCACGCAGGTATGTATGGTACACGTCATAAACAATCTTACATTGAAGCGATTACAAGCGTTTTTAAAGCGGAGCGGCGACGCAGCGGACACGCCGCGTCTCCGCGGCCTCCTACTACACATAAATAATTACTTGACACTTGCACCGGCCAAAGTCACCGACAAACTTGAGCGTCCGTCCGTTATAGGCAATCCGGATTATTTGTGAATTAAACCCTAATTTCACTGCTCAATGAGGGTTTTCGTCGTATGAAAAATCCGCCAGATGGCAATACGTAGACGCGAGGTCCAAATGCTGCATGATTGGTTATTTTTGACATGACATTGACAGATGTGTCAAAATCCACCAATCACGCAGCAGTCAGACCCCACATCCACGTCTCGCCATCTAGCGGATCTTTCATTCGCGAAAACCCTCATTATTGTATTATGTCCTGCTTCTATAATTAACTCTTCTGTTTCAGAACTGACTTCAAGATCGAGGATATAAAACGACTTAAGTTTTAAACACCACAATAATATCTAAAACATTTATATACACTGTATCATAGCCATTATTTATAGATATTAATATATTATTTATTAAGGTAAAAAAAAATATATTTTGATTACTCCATTCAAAATAAATTCCTTAAATAGTTTAGTATTTTTTTTCCTTGTAGGTATACTATACGTTTAATTGGGTTTTATATACAGTTCAAGTTTTAATTAAAATTCATTTAACGTTGAAATGAAACTAAAAATCAATTTGCTTAATCAATTTTATTTTTATTAATTTATTACGAATAGTATAGTAGAAACATTGAGATATAACAGTGTAAATACTTCTGGGTGCAAAATCTAGATTATTAAGTTTGTTTTATATTGAATACATAGTGATATTAAAATACTTTCGCATTTAATTCTCAAAATGTAAAATTAACAAGTAAACGTCAAGAAAATATATTAAAAACTGTATGTAATAAATAGTATATTTCTCCTTAAGGCACTCTTACGTGGACTTGTGTGTAACATTGTTCGTTCGATGTCAGTAATTAACTTATATTTATCTTACTTGAAAATACCTTGAAAAGCGTTAAAAGTAAATGCTATAAAGAATAGAACCCGGTTTTGAACAAAAGTGGTCCCGTGTACATATTTTTAGGTGTCACTTGATTTTAAAGTTTCCTTTAAATGACATTATATTTATATGAAATCTGACTTTAATAAATATAGCCTCTGTACAGTGACCACTAATATCCATCACACACGACAATATAATACTATGTTTAGTACAATAATCACATAAAACAACACAGTTAAAGTAATTAGCACAGCATCAAAAAACATAACAATCTTATAATGAACACATTAACGTTAAACCAGTAGAATGTCAAGATTTGTATCACTGTTATTGTTGGAATATCAAATATTTAATACGTGGGAATTAATTGAGCACACAAAATAATGAATATAATAAACAATATTTGGGTTATAGTATACAATGGTACAGTAAAGGTGATTTAAATAGGTATGTACAACATGGTGCAATTCTAAGTATGTAATAATAATTCTCAACATGGGTGGGTAATTCCATACATTTAAGGCACATTTCAGTTCCATTCAACATTACACGATCCTCATACAATTATTTTGATAACTGATTTTGGAACTTAGTTACGCGATATATTTTAGAAATATTGCACTGACTTTCCTGTTACGGTTACATATTAATTATCCTTATAGTTAAAAAATTGAGGGCTATACATATTGTATAAATATTACAAAATCTGTCGCGATGGTGATAAGAAATAGGCGTACCCAATATAATTTAATTCGATGAGCAAACGGCGTAAAACACGCATTTCTTTGGTTTCTCTTCTAAAGAACACATAATCTATAAACAACACACATCAGACAGAACGTCATGGTACGAATTAGGGCATGAATATCGGAATCTCGGAATCTCGTAATATCGGAATCTCGGACTGCGAGATCCGATATTTCAATTCCGATATTGAGCGACCCAATATCGTAATATCGGAATCAGATAAAAGTTTTAATTGAGATTTTAAACAAAGCGTTTAAACTCGCCACAACCTGCCACAAAGCCCAAAGTACATGAAAGGCAAAGACCAATGATTTTCTCATGTCTCTCACCATCACTTCTTGTTCCACTGCAAATATTTTAATATCTTTACTATTTATGGTTAATTTAACTTGTTCTAAATCAATTTAAGCATTTGCCATAGGTGCTTGGTCAACAAAGAACGACATCTCAACTCCCTTTCAAACATTAATTTTACTGGACTATGGACCGTCAGTTCTGCGTACTATGTGTCCTGCCATTGCCACTTCAGCTTGCTAATCTGTCGGGCTATGTCAGCGACCTTAGTTAGTTTACGGAGCTCCTCATTTCTGATTAGATCTCGTAAAGAAACACCAAGCTTATCCCTCTCCATTGCACGTTGTGCCCTATATTCAAATGCCACGTTTTCAAGCAGTATATCATCACTGGTCTGGTAACACACACTAATTGAAGACTTTCGTCTTCGTATTCGACGATTTACCTCTTTCTCGAAATTGCATCTAACTACCTAGCTGATCGTTTGAACGAGATAGACATACTTTAACTTTACTTGTCAACAATCTCGAGAATCGAGCTCCTAACCGAAACTGGGTAAGGAGCAACATGGACATCCGACATAAGCTTCGTTTTTTCCATATTCATCTGAAGGCCTACCTGTTGGGAAACTCGATTAAGGTCTTCGAGCATTGTGATAAGATCTTCCAACGGTTCTGCCTTAGTACGCAAAACAGACGGACGATGAGGCAGCAAGGTTCTGAAGTGCAGGCCACGTACCGGAAAGCGCAGCGTAGGACTTATAACCACAAGGTGGACCGACGACCTCATAAAGGTAGCAGGAAGGCGCTGGATGCAGGCCGCCACCAACCGGCCATTGTGAAAATCAGCATCGGAGCCTGTGTTCAGCAGTGGACGTCCTATGGCTGACATATGGCTGGCTAGTGGTTTTGTGAGTTGTACATCGATAATCAAAAAGGAACAAATTACAAGCATATTCAAGTTTTTTACCACTCTCTACAATTTTTGTAACACGTGATTTGAATGACTCTAAAATTCGTTTAGCCAACATAAAACAGGGTAATATAATGAAGGAGTAAAAGTTTGTTTGATACCTGTGATTTTACAAAAACACTTTAATTATGTGCTAGTCCATATAGGCTCATTATCTGTAACCATTCATTATCAGGTGATCCGTCTGCTCGTTTGCCTCTTGTCACATAAAAAACCAAATGCAATAGATACCCATTAAACGTAAAAATGGTTTTAAAATCCTTGAATATTATGAAGTGCTGTTTTGTACCAAATTAAAGATTTTGACTTAATCATTATTTTATTGTAAACAATCCAGAATTCTTACGAATAGAACCAAATTTTAATTTTATAGCATATGAACTCAATTCCGATATTAATATCGGAATTCCGATATTGAGATCTAATATCGGAATCCAATATCGGAATTGAAAACCTTCCGATATTACATGCCCTAGTACGAATGATACCTGCCTATCAGGCATCAAGGCTAAACTTGTACATTCCTACACACATAAAAGGACCAATAACACAAAACTAATAATTGCATACAAGAAATTAATTTCAAATTCGGCCAATACTTTATTTATTTATTACAGACGAATATTTGAAAAATGATTTTACTCTTTCTCTCAAACAAATCCCTGACCGTGAAACGTGACCATGGATTGTGAAAACACGGAACGACTTGATTTGATCATAATGATTGTCAAATAATTCCTAAAAAAACATTTCGCGATGATGAATAAAATTATAAGTAGCGTAAGTACAAAATGTTTGCTTAACCTACAAAATTAAAAATCAACAAATAAAACAAAACTAAGATGATTACAATAATTGACTAACTAAAACATAAAATGTATAAAACAATTAGATGAATAATCAGACCAACTTGTGTTGAGAATGTGTTGTATAAAAAATAAAAGCTAAGCAGTTAATGCATTGATTAAATCTATATCTTTTATAAAAGTAAAAACCATATATATTAACCTTTAACTACTGACGTGGGGGCCTCTCAGGCCTTGCAAAAGTCAAATTGTTGAATTTCTCCTCTCCCACGTGCACGACACACCCGAATCTTTTAGTACCTTCGAGTTTCATTGCGCCGAGGCTGTCAACAACGGTGCACGTGATTGCACGCGCAATTTCAGTAGGTAAATTAATTTTAAAGTTTCTTGTGGGCCTCTCAGGCCCCCACCTCAGTATTGGCGTAACTTTTTTTGTCTATAGTTTTCATTTAGTTGTCGTCTTTTCTTGAAATAATTTGAAAAAATCTATAATATGGAGCCCACAGTATGTCGTCTGAGAGAAAGCGGTATCTCGGAAGTAAAAATAACCAGCATTTAACGAAAAATAAAAGAACAGTAGTTTTTGGCACGTATGCTAGGAAATGATAAGCCTGTATCTGTCTATCAAGATTTAAACGATGAAACCAAGTGCCATACATGTATTTTGAAGATTCAAATGAAATCTACATTTTAAAAACATGTATGGCTTCCTTCACTGAGCAAAGCAAGTTTATCCAGACTGTGTTTAATTCGCACTATTTGATGTGTGTAATTTTTTCCCCCCTATTTCATATTAGGATTACTGATATATCATTAGCTAAAAAGACTATTGAAAATTAAGATTCTAAGTTGATTTGTTGAATTTATGAATATTTTTTATGATAACTTTGGGAATCATGATTTCATAAGATTTTTGCCAAAAATGCTACATGTTTTCCAAATATTGAAATAATATGTACTTATTAACAAATAATTTACATAAAAATCGTTTTATTGTATTTAAATATAACCACTATTAATAATTATTAAACATAAAACCCTAAAAAGATTATATATTTTTAGATATAAGCACACATATGTACGGGCCTCTCAGGCCCCCACGTCAGTGTTTACGTGAAACTAAATCCACCTCAGTAGCTAAAGGTTAAATAAAATACCTAGGTGTGTAATAGTACACGACCGCATTTTATCTCCACTGGTGGTTCCACACGGATACAAGCAACAATTTGTACCATGTGCGATAAGCCGATAACGGCCAAACATATTGACCAAACAGATTTTAGCTTTTAACGAGCGACCACAATAACGTACTTACTATGTAAGATTAAAAGGCAATAATGTACATAAATATAAATATGTATATCAACTTATCCGGTGCTCGAGGTTAATATAGTTTTCAATTTGTGCCTTTTACACTGGGGTATCGAATGCCCCGAGTGTTAATTATAACATCGTCATGTGATTTATATGTGATTGTCATCTATCTACAAGCTTTGTGTCAGTAGGATAATACTTCGAATGAAAACTTAGTGGAAAGGACAGTCGTACCTAGTGCGCTCATCAGTTGGACTCACACATCGATGCCAACTGGTGAGCGCAAATACATAAAAACGAAGATAATAACTACAGAACTGAACCTAACATCCAGCTTAGAATAACCCTAATTTGTCCGCCATTTTGAAGTCACGTGACTATGACATTCACCTACCCTTCATCACTGTCCTTACCACTAAGTCCTGTTCTACCCTCGGCCCCTTATCTAAGATCCAGTGCGCAGAGGGTGACCAGTGTCCAAAGCACGAATTATTCTCGTAATAGTAATCGTTTTCCTTATAAAACTGTAGCGGCGCTATTTTGTTTTTCATACATGACGCAGTTATACAATGCGTGAACTTGATCGAACACACGCACGGCGAATTGAACTGAGCCCCGATCACGGTAACTTTTAACGTTTCCAATCCAGACGCGCTTCATCGATTCTGCGATACGATTGGTCAAAACAGCTGACGTACGCTGTTAAACGACCAATCGTATCGCAGAATCGAGAAGCGTGTCTGGATTGGAGACGTTAAAAATTACCGTAATCGGGGCTCTGAACTGCGTGTCTAGAGCTAGACTGATTCGATCAAGTTCGCACATGGTGTAATAGCGCCAAAATAAAACCACCTACCATACTATAACGACATCGATATTTTTGTTGGTGCATTGTTGATGGTGTACTGGGGTACCTTAGTAGGCCTCCCGTGGCGGCGCTTCCACGGAGGTGGTCTGCTTGGACACGACGCGCGTGCCCTGCGCGAGCCCGCCCGCGCGCGCCGCGCGCCACTTGAGGTACGCGTCCGCTGCGTACGCGAACATCGCCACGAAGCCGAAGAACTGAGGACGAGGACCGAATGTTCAGAAGAGAAGCGTGGCGTTCCGATAATCGTCTAAAGCCTGGTCCGTGAGCACGTAGAATTTTGTCCAATGACCCCAAGCTACCCATCCTTATCGCTGCTCACGCGTAATTATGTTGCTGTCGCGCTCGCACACTCACTGCGGGCGCCCGTCGAACAGTCGCGACAGCAATATAATTACGCGCGAGCGATAAGGATGGGTAGCTTGGCTTCATTGGACAAAATTCTACGTGCTCACGGACCAGGCTTTACTATATAAAAATAAGTCGCGTTTTCCTTCCTGACGCTATAACTCCAGAACGCACGAACCGATTTCCACGGTTTTGCATTCGTTGGAAAGCTCTCGGGCTCCGTGAGGTTTATAGGTTATATGAAAAACCGAAAAATTCCACGCGGGCGGAAAGTTAGTGTCACATAAAAATTACGTACACCCCGGTCGAGTTAAATGCACACCTGGCGGCTGTGACGTCACATTGACACACGGACTGGGCCAACGCGGGGACAGGTGCGGGTAAGGGGGAGGGAGGGTCGCATTCCAGCGAAGTGCGCAGTTAGTTCGATAGGGTTGTACTCGTATAAAATTATTTCACCAGAAGAATGAAAGACGATATAAAAATTATGTCATAAGATTCAAATTCGATGCCATGGTGACTACAAGAAATCAGTAAAGTATTTTTAAAAACTTGCAAAAATCTAATTGTCTAAGATGGGAATCGGTTTGCCGGGCGACTGCTAGGATCTGAGCTATTACCTACTGAGAAATTGTGACAACCCATCGTCAAATATAATGCCACTTTTACACTGCGCGGCAATTAGCCAAGTGGGGATAAACAATGAATGATTTTCATCCCCACCCCACTGTTCGGTGTGTGTTCACATTGACTCGTCTTGGCTAATTGCCGCGCAGTGTAAAAGCAGCATAAGTAAAAACCCTCGTCCCAATCAATGGTAGCGTAGATAACTCACCGCGGCCGCTGAGTGCGCGTCGCTGTGCACAGTGACGGCCAGGATGGCGGCCAGCAGGTACAGGAAGGTCCAGACCGCGCAGAAGCCGAGCTCGATCTTCAGCCACGGGATCTTGTAGAACTTCTCCACCATGTGGAACAGATACAGCCCCAGCAGGATGCCCGTGAACCAGAAGGCGATCATGGCCACCCAGCTGAAGTACACGCTCTTGCCCAGGTAGCTCAGCCACGACGCCTGGATGCAGATGAAGCCCACCAGGCTCGACACCTGTGCCATACGCGTAAGTTCAAACAAACGCTTTTATACTTTTGCTTCCGTTAGCAAACTTAACGTACTGAGTGAGACATTAAAAACAATACGATCATTATTAATTAAAAATTATGTTTTATTACCTTCTTTATTGTATACGTACAGTAGAGTAGGCTAGGATACGCGCCGCGATAAGCTTTTATCGCGATATTTTATCGATTTAACGCGATAGATAAGCCCATACGTTTGTCGTCAAAAATCATCGATAAGATTTTAACACGGTGCGCATCCTAGCCCGCATCCGATTTAAATTTAGGTACCGAACTGAACACTAACTGAAGTATAAATAGGTTACAAAAACGACATAAGTTTAATATGACTAGCTAGAGTATGTAGGTACCTATGCTAAAAATAGTTTACGAAACGTTATGAGGTCGTAAACAAAAAAACGCCATTCATTCGAGGAAGCTTCAGTTAATAGTGAAATGATTGGACTTTTGATTCAATTCGTAAGCATACCGTAAGTCGAGCAATCGATTCGAGAAGCCAAATCCAACAAAAGTTAGTGTTGCTAAATGGACGGAACGGACCTAACCTATCTTAGCTCATTATGATGTGGATAAAAGGTTCGAAAATCGGAATTTTGCTGAATGAACGCGTGTGTATAAAGTAGCTAGTAAATAAAGTTTGTTTAAACGTTTTTTTTTTTTCATAAATATAAAAGCTAAACCGAATTATGATGTGTCAATATTAACTAAATTACATACTTATTAGGTAAGTAAAATCTAATTGTTGTAACCATTTTTATAAATTATGTCATTGAAATTTAGAAAAATTAAATAACATCGGTTGATATTTTTTTTAGGCATGTATTTAAATGATCCTTTTAAATTAGCAAAAACGGCAAATAAAAAAATCTAAATGGTCATCTATTTTAATGATTGATCCTCTTTTTTTGAGACATAAAATAAATGAAATCGATCGATATTTAAACCTCTTTTGAACTACGCAAAAAAATTTTGAGATGTAAAAATTATATCTGATCCAATGATATTATATAAAAACAAAAGCAGATATGTTATAAGCGCTCGCGCTGTGAATACTCAAATACGTCCCAATTGGGACGTCTTGTGTTTAGTCTTCGTGTGGCCTGCGTCGTGCGCAATCGCGTGCGTACCACACCGTAAGTTCCTGTTCTTACCAAAATAAATAAAAAATGCCATCGTGTGTGTTTCGAAAGTGTACCAATTATGACTCTAAAGTAAACAAAATACAAGGGATCTCTTACCACATGTGATTATGCAAAATTATTTAGTATTTATATTTTCAATTATTTATGCAAACAATCAAGACGCCATGACAAAAAAGTGTGCAGTGGTAGTGAGCGTTGTGTGTGTTGTGTCTCGTGTTCCTGTGCAGAATGAATACACTACAGCTTTGTTGTGTGAGTAAAAAATACAGCATGTTCCATTATGTAAGACGAAATGAATTTTTATTTTTGTTAGAAAATGTAACTTTGTAAAATCATTATAAAACACATACTCAAATTTGGTGAACTTGTTCAGTGTACCGTATAGATGCCCCCATTAAAAGGAATGTAGCTAGTTTAGAAGGACCCTGTATAGACCCAATAATTAATATAAAGATAAAATATAATAAAATACATCATTTATTTTTAAAAGTGCACATACAAAAAAGATCAATTAGTTTTTAGAGGATCAAATAATATTGTCCCTTTTTTTTATACCTACTGACTTTTAAAATCGAGTAAATAACCGGGATCGATCAACATCGTTTACAAGCATCACCATTATGTGCTCTGTGGGCATCACTAGCTGCATTTATAACCGCACAGTTTGTCTATGGTAGGGGAATAATTCCTAGAAACCTGAAGGATAGTAATAAATCTTTGTATGTGCTTTGTTGAGATTGGGTTTCAATCCTTCGTTAGACGAGCGCTAAATTATCGTCTGCGCACAGAGCACGTAACAATACGTGTGCGTTTATTCTGAAGATATTCGATTTCCCCTCTAGATGGGTGTCTGTGCGGCAATCGCAATGGCGATCGTGCAGGTAGTGGGTGGCGTGGTGTTGTACACTGGCAAGGTGCTATGGCTGCTGACGGTTCTCGGGTTCCGTGCCACGGGCGTGCTGGCCGGCAGCCTGGCGGCCTCGGCGCAGGGCTTCTTCGGGAACGTGCAGTCGGGCAGCGTCATCGCGCAAGCAATGTCCGCGGCAATGAGGGGCGGTTAGAGGTTAGAACAGTGGTTCTTAACCTTTAAGTCATGAGGGACCATTTTACCAAATTTCTTTCTTGTCAAGGACCACACAGAGTGGCACCCCCCCCCCAAAGTTAACAAAAGTATCACGATAAATAATATCTTAAAAACATCTCTAGCTTCTCTTCTTTCCAATGATATATCACATATGTAGTAATTCAATATTGAAATTCGTCAAAAAATCAAATTTTATGGAAGAAATTCGAGTCGAGGTCATTACGTCACGTCACTTGTTTATTACGATGTCTTCGCGGCCCACTTAGAATGTCTCCAGGGACCACCGGTTAAGAATTTAAGAACCACTGGGTTAGACGCAGGACTGTTTACTGTGGTTTACGAAAACCCGTCTTTGTACTAGTGAAGTGAAAGTGGATCTTTTTCTTTGATTGCGAATTAGTTTATTCTGTTAAAATAACTGTATACAATTTATTAATAGTCTACAGTTATTTTAAACAGTTATATTATTGACTACTACCGATTTTTAGATAAGCTAACAAAAATTAATACAAATTTTCTTTTTCAGGTACCTTTTACAGTGAAAATATTATTTTAATGCCTAATGTATTCTGCAAAGTGAATTATTAAATTACAATACAATCACACATATATTTTTATTTTATTACATTGCACTTAAAAATACATGTAGGCCTATGCATTTACGTCACATTTTCCATCAATTTGACAATTTTTAACTTAATTAATGTTTAAAAGTACTCACAACTTGTATGAGCTTGAGTATCCCAGGAATAGTTTTCAGGTAGAGAGGGTCGAACCGTAAGTTAGTCTGCACCACCGTATTGGACGTCACCGTGGTGGTTGTCGTGTGCTGCCCAGGGAACCCTACTTCTGCCATTGTTGTTTATTCGGCTGAAATAATAAAAGTTGTAGAGCAAACAGTCACCAAAGTTGTAAATTGATAATTTAGCTCATGAAGATATTTATCACAAGAGTTGATTGAAATGGTCTACACATGTGCTTATTCTCATCTATAAAATAAAAAACCAAAATAAATGCTGCCTTTTATTAAACAATGCATTTACACACCTGTTATCTACTCAAATCTATAAAATCAAATTAACATAAGTATAAGTACAACTTGTGAACATTTCTTGATAATGTGTTATCAGTCAATAATTCATGATAATACTGATTACAGGTGATTCATTAAAATTGTGCACATGATAAAATCAAATGACAATATTGATTTCAAAGGAATACATTAACAATGTCATCATGAGTCATTCCACATATTAAAAAATAATCTAAAATTCCTGAAATTAATACTTACTATTCTATTCTAAATAAAAAGCAAAGGCTATGATTTGGCCATTGCCCCAATTAATTTCTGTTCTAAATATCAAAAGGCAAAATGAAAATAGCAAACAAGTTGCTTGGAGGTGTTACTACACCCACCAATATGGTTAAATGATAAAAATGACAGGTGTACTTGCTACAAAATAAATCTTCTTTTAACTGTGTTTAAATATAATTTTTCGTTATTGCTGTGCTCCTATTGATCGTAGCGTGATGTTGTTTAGCCTATAGCCTTCCTTGATAAATGGGCTATCTAACACTGAAATAATTTTTCAAATCAGACCAGTAGTTCAAGTAAACAAACAAACAAACTCTTCAGCTTTATAATATGAAGTATAGAATCAGATAGAATATAAATGGGTGATGAAACAAGTTCCTTAGAAATTTTATATCCACCTGGTTAATGTGTAGATTAAGTAAAAAAAAGTATAGGTACTGAAGAACACACTTTTCTTGTTGTAACTTCCTCAACTACTAACAGTTATAAGCAGTGGCGGATTAAGAGTATCCGAGGCCTTAAGCACAGAGCCTGTGTAGGCCCTCTACTTATTGCTTAAATGGACATGGAAGGAATGGAATGGAAGGTAGAAAGTATAAAATGAAAGTTCATCAAAATAGAAATATTGTGGATGAATGTGGATGAATCTCGATAAAATCTATACTAATATTATAAAGCTGAAGAGTTCATTTGTTTGTTACATTTTAAAAAACCATTTATAAATCCTATGAGAATATTTCGGCTTCTACGCGGACGAATTCGCGGGCGCAGCTAGTGTAGGTAGGGTTGCCAGGCGTCCGGCTTTAGCCGGACATGTTTGGCTTTTTAGGGACTTGTCCGGCCTGTCCGGCTTTTGTTAGGCTTTTTATTTGGTTGCCGCGCCAGGCGAAAGTCGAGCCACAGAATCATATGAAGGATCATATCAGGATGTTGGTGAGCAACTCACTCATGAGCTGACACTAATTGCACCCCCTCTCCCCCTCCGGCACATGTCCGGCTTTTAGGGTAAAATATCCGGCCAAATGAAGCACAAAGTCCGGCTTTTGTGATTTTGGACCTGGCAACCCTAAGGTCAAAACAGGAAGCGATCACCGAATGGTAAGAGGCACATTGAATATCAGACCCAAGCTCGAGAGATGTCGACTGATGAAGTCTACGCTCCGCCCAGCGCCCATCCAACTCCAAAACCCCGAAAGCTTTCAGCTCGAGTTGCAAAATCGTTTCGAATGCCTAGGACCGACATAGCTCGCAGAACTGCTAAAATCAAGTGGCAGTGGGCGGGGCACATAGCTCGTAGAGACGATGGCCGTTGGGGCAGGAAAGTTCTCGAGTGGCGACCACGGGCTGGAAGACGTAGCGTGGGCAGGCCTCCTACTAGGTGGACCGACGATCTGGTAAAGGTCGCGGGAAGAGCCTGGATGCGGGCAGCGCAGGACCGTTCATTGTGGAAAACCTTGGGGGAGGCCTTTGTCCAGCAGTGGACGTCATTTGGCAGAAAAGAAAGAAAGAAGAAGAACCCTAAGTGTAGGTATGAAATGAAACGCCAGCAGAGGATGGAGGCCCCTGGAGAACAGGGGCCCCAAGCACGTGCTTGTAGTGCTTATACGTTAATCCGCCACTGGTTATAAGGACGTGTAATCCTTTAAAATATTTAGCATTTCCTCCCTAATTTCCTCATTAAAATCACTTCAATAATAATGTCTATGTAATTTTCTTTTAACAAAACTCGATGTAAGTAATATGAACTCTATCCCTGCTGACTGTTTATGAAATCAATCTGTTGGGAAACATGCGGTAACTATTTTAAAGCCCGTCACCACCTAAAATAGCAAATAACCAAAGGCTAACTGAAAATTACCACTTTTAGAACTTTCAAAACACTGTTGCTCTAACATACGAAGACCTTACCTTGGTAATTATTTCAATAATATAATAAACTACACTTGCACTTCAACTTATCACTACACGATTTTTTATTAAAATGAAAAAATCTAAAATGTAAACAGGTGACAAAAATTACGACACTGTACGACACTACTTTGTATAGGGTAACATCACGTTAAAGATTTTATAAAATTTCATATTAACCACAATAATAATCTTTGCTTCCTCGAATCGTTAACAACATGCACTGAGTTTGAAATAAAAAATGAATATTCTGAAGTAGTGGTAAAATGCTTCGCATGAGGTAAGAAAGAACAAGGATTTGTTGAAAATAATTACAAATAAATTCAAACTATAATTTATTGTCACCCTAAATTTATGTCATTATGACGTGAGTTAGTTCCGCCCACTATTTAAAGTCCGAAATAGTTGTGGAAATAGGTTTTTAACAATAAAATTTATAAAAATCTACTAAAAATATATTTTGTAATCTTTTCATAAAATTTTCAATAGCATTATTTGTAAGATTATTTGGCACAAATACGATTTTTTGACATGCTCACGTAAGGTAACAAACATTGTGTGAAATGGAACCCATTTCGGACTCAGCTACATAGGATGTAGTGATGTATGTAATTTGGCTATCGATATCATCTGCATCAGTAAATTAATTTAATAAATTGGCAATGAGGTGTCAGAACTTGTTTTTTTTTTCTAAATTTGTTTTTTTTTTCTGCCTTACATTTTAGGCCTGAGCCTACTCGTTTCTGCATACTGAGGTATTTTAGTTGGTAATCACACTCGCAAAGAACACTCGAATAGCACAAAAACTAAATAATTTCATATTGAACTTTCTCCGTGTCACACACCCCAACTGCGCTAAGCCAACTAACGTTCAAATAAACATAAACCTAAAAAGGGGATTTCTCCGTGTGCAAATGTAATTGATTTGGGGATTTCCCTTTTGTTGATGTAAAAATGTTGGCAATATATTCATGAAATCTTAGTACCACTCAACCAGAAAAGTAAAGTAGAGTTAAAAATAAACCGAAAACTCTATTACCTATGTATTCTTAAGTATTTGTCTTCAAAGTTTTGGATTTCGTACGCTTAAAAAAAATGGTCCAGAAAAAAAAAAAGTTTTTTTTTCATGTTTTTTTTTAACGTTTTTTTCTCACACCAGAAAAAAGACGGTTTTTTGCAACACTAGTTAGAAGAACTTCTCTCTTTACATTTTCTTTGAGGTAAAATTGTATTCAATGGTTTTTCCGTACCAGACTAGTGACATTGAACCAAAGCTAAGTAGGTATGAACTAAGCTTCTTGGTGGGAAAAACTTGAAAATATAAGTAAAACCAATGATATTTGTGAAAGGATAATGAAAATAGAATATAAATAATTTTTAAAAAATCAGAAGAAAAAATACTATTAATAATTAAAAATAAGTTTCAGATATTTTTTTGTTATTTTTTCCGGTAAAAATAGGTCTAATTTCACCTATTTTCATATGTGCACTTTATCAAGACTCAGACTGTATTACGTACTTAAGTTAGCTACATACAGTGTGAGTCTTGATAAAGTGCACGTCATATGAAAATAGGTGAAATTAGACCTATTTTTACGGGAAAAAAAATCTGAAACTTATTTTTATTTTATTTAGGAACCAACGGCGTTACAATGATTAAATCTTAAAGTAACTTAATTATAAGTATGGCTAGTTATAGGTTTCCCCGGAATAACCTTAAAGTAAATCTACCGTTCGGATTACCGAGACGCAAACTCCAAAAGATGAAAACTAGAACATTAAAAATAACTTACTTACATAATATTATTATGAGAATACATTTTAACTAGATTTTACCCGCGGCTTCGCTCACGTGAGATTAAATTTATTACGGATCATAGTATCATTTATTTTATTAAGCTTATGTAGGTATTTTTAATTATTAATAGTTTTTTTCTTCTGATTTTTTAAAAATTATTTATATTTTCATTATTCTTTCACAAATATCATTGGTTTTACTTATATTTTCATAGAAATTTTATTAATAGAAAAAAATTATAAACTGCTCCATTGAACAATAGAAAATCGAATTAACTAGCCACACTCACAGCTGCACATTTGAATACGGATTACCGACATCCGACTTAATTTGAATTTGCAAATATATATAGTTATCTGTGATGTCGATACTCGTATGTGGATGCTGCACTAACTTGTTGACAGATTTGGCAGATGGAAGGACGGGGATCGGGGTCGGCGGGGGGTATCAATCAATCAATGATTTTTGCTCAAAAATCTCGCGTTGAAGCCTACGAACAAACATTAAGTTTGTGTTTATTTTGTATTGTACTTAACTTTTGTATGTAAAAACAGTGGAATTAGATGGACTATTTTATTAATTTAATGAAAAAATCACAGATAAAGTTGATGGTTATGCCCAAATGCAATAATTAAACAACTCAAATTTTATGTAAACAAACCGTATTACTACAAAATACAACTCGTCTTCGTGAAATTGTGACTCATTCACGTAACTTTGGGTATCCGTTAATAATTATGTGTCAAGGAGAATGATGACTCCATTGGTACTTAGCGTCCGTACTCAGTTATCTCACTCGACCAGCGTGAAATCGTGAGTTGTGTGGTGTGGTGCCTCTAAACTGAGCCGTACATTTTTATCATTTGTATGAATTATGTAAGTAACCATTCTCATTCCGATTGATAATTTCTTTTTAGTAATAGAATTATATTTATTGGTATTCTATTTATTCATTACCTTTTTTTTACTGTGTATTAAAATGTACCTAGTTTACTATACAATACTTTATTAAATTTTTTCTTTGGCAGATGAATAATCATGACATATCCAAACCAGCCACCGCCACCTCAATTCTTGGGCTCCTCCAACACCGTGTTTATTACAGAAACACGCTTTGATCCATCGTACCTAAAAACACCACCCGGCATCATCAAATCTATTATTATTGTGAGTATTTCAAAATAAGTTTTACTTGTTAAAAAAATCCTAAGGCTGAGTTACACCAACTTACTTTAACCGCAACTATAACAATACTGGTGCTTTTTGTATGGAGTTTGACAGATTTTTGACGTTTGTTAAAGTAAGATGGTGGAACCTAGCTTAAGTTTCAATATTCATTCTATTAATTTTTAGAGATTTCAAGCATGAAATTAAGTTTTTTCAAATCCATAACTTTCATCTATTCATGATTAACACTAAAAATAGTTTAGTTCTACATAATTTAGCATTTTTAATTCAATATTTTATAATAAACTAGCTGACCCGGCGAACTTTGTTCCGCCTTAATGACAATAAATAAGCAGACTTTTTTTTGTTTCGAACGGGATAAAAAGTATCCTATGTCCTTCTCCTGGCTCTAAACTACCTCCCTGACAATTTTCAGCTAAATCGGTTCAGCCGTTCTCGAGTTATAAGCGAAGTAACTAACACGACTTTCTTTTATATATATAAGAAGAAGTTAACCATGTAATAAATTTTTCCAGCTATTTAACTTGATTGCGTTCATCTGCATCCAAGCATCAGCGTTCTGGTCGAATGGCCGCGGTGTGTTCTTCAACACTGTGGCTGCCGTCGGCTTCATCTTCTCCGGAGCGCTGCTCGCGCTGTATGTGTTCCATGTCGTGGAGAAGTACCACAACCTGAAGTGGCTGAAGATCGAGCTGGTCGGCAATGTGGTGCTGGTCTTCTTGTTCTTGATTGCATCTACGATTGTTGTTGCATTCGGATCGGCGGCTTATTCAGCAGCTGGGGTAAGTTTGTACTTAAAATTCTTAATAATAGTAATTTCAAAATGTGAAATATTTGTTTTATCCCTATTGCAGTTTTAATGTTGCTGTTAACAATTATTTAATTAAGATTACTTTCATATCATATTTCTAAATCAAAACACCCTGTAACTGTATACAAATTGACGGTAACCTAAATTTGCTCAAATCTTGTAGATAGATTGAAGGACTCTACAAGATACAAATTTAGTATGATAACATCTGTCACTAATAAGAAAAAAGGGGTTATAAATGTTTGATAAAAAATATATTTTATATTATGTCTAGTCTAGCTAGAGAATCCATGTCCTATTGACTCGGTGACACACATTGCAATCATTGTCGGCAGTCATACGTGCGCTGTTTACGAATCACATGGAAATGAGTATTGGTTTATACCTGCCTTAGTACCTAGGACTAACATTGTATTATAAAATATTATACATATCTAGACTTTGTTTATACAAATAAAACATTGCCATATTTATACATATACAGGGTGTTAGGTAAATGGGTATATGAGCTGACACTAGCCCATGTTAACATAATATGCATATAAATGGTATGGTGAAGTCAGAAATTTAATATCATCATTTTAATTTTTTAAATGTTCATACAAAATAAAATGTTTCAAATCAGATTTGTATGAAAATTAAAATATTTAAAATGATGATATCAATTTTCTGACTTCACCATAACATTTATATGCATATGTTAACATGGGCTAGTGTCGGCTCATATACCCATTTACCTAACACCCTGTATAGCTGTGCCCGCGACTTCGTACGCGTAAAAATAGTTTGAATAATTTCCCGTTTTTGCAACATTTTTCTTTTCTGATCCGCCTCTATTGGCTGCAGGGTGATGTAAAGTCTTCCTCAATAAATGGGTTCCAACACAATAACATTGATGCAACTCAATGCAGAAATTATGGCATATAATGAGATCATTTTATTTATAACTAGCTTTCCGCCCGCGGCTTCGTCCTCGTGTAAAAAGGGCCGTTTTTAGGGTTTTCCCGGATATTATTCGAATTTTTCTCGCCGTAAAAACCGTCCTTGGACTTTTTAACGAACATTTGAAAAAAAAAAGAATTGGTAAAATTAGTCCAGTCGTTGCATTGTTGAGTTATGCGCTTACCAACATATTTTGAGAGTCATTTTTATATTATAGAAGGTGAAACACGACGCTTTGTTAATTAAATGCCATACAAAGGTGTACCTGCATTATAAATGTTTATTAAGTATTATATTTAGCCGATGACTACATAAAGATGTCGGCACTAGTAATCTTATGTGAGTAAGTAGTTTACAGAGGTGACTCAAATAATACTAGGGCTAAATTGGTTAATGACTCAAGGGACCTTGGCCATATGAGGTCTTCCGAGTAGTTATCTAGGGTCAATTTGCTATGCAATTGACGGATTTTGATTGCTGACGAACGCGTCTGTGTGTGAGCAGGTATAATTTGGGACCATTTCCATAATTTGTTATTTAAAAAATTAATTATTTTCTCTACTATAATCTCAAAAACTGTTTACCACACAACCTCGTGCTTATCATATGACCCTAATACCAGCTATGTACTATTTAACTACAAAATGGTCTATACTATAATCCGGGCCCTTTCAAGGCGAGAGTGAATAGACACTTACAGGGCAGATAATTATGTACCATTCTAGACTGCATCTCACTTAACACCAGGTGCGATTGCCTTATCTTGCATTTAAAAAAACTACTGCTAATTTTGTTAATAGCGATGATTTAAAATTCGACACCTATACGGCCAATGTCGTATGCCCAACTTTTAGTTTAAAAAGATACGTTTTAAGTGTGATTTGTTTCATGTTTGCCAGTTCTTCGGCTACCTAAGCATGGTGCTGTACGGGCTGGAGGCCTTCCTGAAGGTGCGCGCGCTGCAGGCTGGTGACCTGGCGCAGGGAAGCCGCGTGGGCGCCGCCGCGCCACACGTGCTCACACCGCCCGCGCTGCCCTAGGCCTCCAGCTAAGTCCGTCAACAATTTCATCGATTAAAATAAAAAACCTGCCCTGTTCTGCATAAAAAAATCGACCAAACCTCGGCTAACTGCCATCCGTCTCAGTCAGAGTTGCTCACTCACGCGTCTAGTGCTATAGTGTCAAAATTTGACTACATGGTGTGCACCGCGCTTTGCCGTGGCGAGATGAACACTTGATGCTTGAAGAGGATCAAATCCCTAAGTTACTAAGGCTCAATTTATGGCAATATATCCCGTAGTGATATTCCGTTGATGAACTGCTTTCACTTCAGATTTACTACAATACTTATGTGAAGTATTTGAAATCCAACGGGTTTTAGATTTGGTGGTCACGTTTAACTCATTTCGCTCTAAGACGAATTCGTTTTTAAACGGTTTTATTTAGCTTGTTTCAAGTCAGCATTAAAATGTAGACGAAAAAGTAAATTCTGTGGAATTAAAAGGGAGATTGCGAAACAAAGCTGTGCAGCATGTGCCAGAAGTTTGGAAAGGTTCAGAGGCTATAATCAAGTGGTGCTCAATCTGTAGGGTGGCTTCAAACGTTCGTGCTCGACTGAATAATGTAGATAGGTGAAGCAGAGTTTTTCGAAGTATTTTATTGTATAGGTCTAACAAGCGACTATAGGCCGAATTGAATATCAAACAAAATATTAATTTCTGACAAAACTAAGCAGAAAAATCGACGCAGCATAAATAATGCATTTGTTGTTTAATAATGTATATGTTCAGTTAGAAAGGCACCCAAATCGTATTTTGCTAAAACATTGATTTTCATAATTAATCAACTTAATCAATTGTTTTAGAAATCGACTTGATATTACATATTTTATTACAATTTTATATACCTACCTACTATACTAACGACCACGTTTATTCAAAGACTAGTTATAAGGATTTATTTATTAATTTTCCTGTTTCGTTTAAGTAATATTTAAGTATTTTGAATTAATCAAAGTTTTATGTAATAAGGAAAATTTTAATAAATAATGTTTACTCACAGTGTATTCACTGATTTTACCTTGTTTGGGCAAGGTATTGATCAAGAGTTTCAACAAAATATTATTTTCACTGTTTTGAATTTAGTTCCGAAAAATTCCGTTGTCCGTAAATTCTCATGGCGCTGCATGATAATATATGGGTATTTTTATTTTGTTTTTCAATATTTATCATGCGACCCACCTATTTTGTGCTCACGCATGTGTAATAATGATTGTATGTTCTAAGCGCTTCTATTACTGTACCTCAGTTTGTACTTATACTACTTAATGTAAGTCTTAAATGTTTGTGATATAAGTTAAGGTCATTTTGAATAATATTGGTTCGGAATGGAATTAATATTATACTTGCGCGATTAGTTACGTGTGGAGAGCACCTCCCAATGACGTATTGTTCTCGCTGATTATTTAACCGAGTTAAAAAAAGGAGGTTCTATTTATAGTCAGTGACGTCACTGTCCTAGTCTCAACGCGTTATTTGTGAAGAATAATGTTCTTTGCTGTAACTTCGTCCCTTGTAAAATATGCAACAATTGCTCATAATTCGTGTCAAACGTAGTGTCGCAACATTAAAATTGAACAATGGGACTTGACGAAACACAGTTGAAAATATAATTTTAGGAATTTAGTACCTATTCCATTTTGGTTCCATTTTATTTTTTCGTACAAATACTTACATCATGTACCTAGACCACCTAATAACTATTTTTGTAACAATTAACTTGTAATTAATTAACAGCCCGTTCAACCATTACTTCTCGGTCTAATTGAGCGATGTCAAACGTGTAATAAGTGTGCACGATAATTATACTCTCTGACAAAGGGACCTTAGTTGTTTTGTTACAAATCCATACGATATAATCTACAATAGGAAACCCCCCCCCCCCCCTTTTTTTTAGGTGGTAAAAATGCATTGAGCTGCATACTCGCCGCTGTGGTCAGCAGGCGACGGGTTATGTGGGGCTCTCCCCTCCAGACGGGAGGGGCCTACCCACTNAGGTGGTAAAAATGCATTGAGCTGCATACTCGCCGCTGTGGTCAGCAGGCGACGGGTTATGTGGGGCTCTCCCCTCCAGACGGGAGGGGCCTACCCACTAAAAATCCACCAGTGTCCTTCTTTCTGAGCATAGGGGAGTTGCCGGTGTAGCGAACCTTAACCCGAGTTCCACCTATGCTCAGTTAATCCGTTGTGCGGACCAACCCCCCTGCCCCAACCCAAAAGAGGGCGATCCTGATGGTCAATACAACTTTTTGTATGAACCCAACCTAACCAAAATGGAATATGATAGTTGTAAATATGTAGGTACCTACATGTTGTATGTATGACATCACACATGAGACTGAACATTTTTGTGTTAAATAATGGCGCCTATTAACAGCAGGCACACTTTTTTTGCAAAATTACCCCTATTAAAAGTAGGCTTACAAGTTTAAACGTTTAGTTTCGAAGTGATGTCATTTGTATTGTAACTAACTTCTAGGAAAAACTGATCTCGTATTCTTTATATCTAATAGTTTATATGTATTTTACTAGATAATTGTTATCTTTTTTATGGTATACAGGGTGTCCCGTAATGTAACGTCAAGCCGGAACTGGGTGTTGAGGCAAGTTGTGCAGGTTATCAGAAAAATATAAAAAAAAATCTATGTGGCATATTTTCAGAATAATAGGCATTTAAAAAAAATCTAAAAATTCTACTCCAGGTGACGGTCCTTTTACTCGTGTTGCCACAAATCTTCACTTTTTCCAAATTTTTTTTTTTGTTACGTAACCCTGAATAATGCTTCTCTAAATTGTTATCAAAATTACAAAACCAACTGCTCCAGCTTGGATGAAAAAAACACATTACTCCCAAAAAANCTTGCCACAATCGCGTAGTACATTTTTTTTTCAGTACAGTCAGTTTAAACTAGGCAAAATTTTTATTTTGAAATTTTTTTTGGGAATAATGTATTTTTTTCATCCAAGCTGGAGCAGCTGGTTTTGTAATTTTGATAACAATTTAGAGAAGCATTATTCAGGGTGACGTAACAAAAAAAAATTTGGAAAAAGTGAAGATTTGTGGCAACACGAGTAAAAGGACCGTCACCTGGAGTAGAATTTTTAGATTTTTTTTAAATGCCTATTATTTTGAAAATATGCCACATAGATTTTTTTTTATATTTTTCTGATAACCAGCACAACTTGCCTCAACACCCAGTTCCGGCTTGACGTTACATTACGGGACACCCTGTATAACTATCAGTGTCAAAATAATACTAAACTTAGCTGTATGTTAAATCACAATAATTAAGCACTCGAATTTAGATTCTATGTTTACAATATTTTATTCGAAGTTACACTTCTTGACCAATTTTAAATACCATTTCGCACTGTGTTAATCAATTCTGTTCAATATTTGCAATTGTTATTCTTAATTATAATATTTACATAAAATACTTTTACATTTGTATATTACTATCCTAAACCAATTTGGATTTATATTGGCATCTTTATGTATGTACTTGGGTAAAAATCCTAAAATCGTTATAGGTAATTATTACTTATTGTTATAATTTATAATTAAATACGCTTTAAATGTGTTCATACTGTTTTATTCATAAGTAAAATACAAGTGGCTACTGACTCTAGAGAAAATAATGTGTTTTCGAATATTTAGAAGGCACGGGAGACTGCGACACACATACACTCAAAAAATAAACAGTTAAGGGAGCAGCCCCACTTCCAAAATGCACTGCGATATTCACCAATATTACTATTACACTAATAGTTACTGGGATATTCACGATGTTACATATTTGAATTAACCATGGTAACAAAAATTATTAAGCTTATCAAATATAACAATTACCAAAATATTAAAACTTATCATGAATGTTAAAAGCTTATTAAAGAGCTTCCTCGTTGTGGATAAAAAAAAAAAAAAAAAAAAAAAAAAAAAAAAAGCTTCAAAAATCTATTTACAAAAACATTTAAGTGTATAAAAACGTTAGGGTGTAAAAGTATCTTCCTTCCTTTAATAAATACATGCTAACAAAATAAATGTTACCTTGTGAGGCAGAGGCATATACATATTTAAATTCTTAACATGATTAACATTAAATGTTCTAGCTAGAATATAATACATTAATAAGTTGATATCTTAATATTCAGAAATTGAAAAAAAAAACCCTTAATTCAATTTGATCCTTAATTGAACAAAATAGAAAGTTTATTATTATTATAGGTTCATCTAATAACCCGTTCTTATTACAGACCATTTGTTTATAGCCTGTAAATTTTTGTTTAATCACCAAAATCATGTAGGTAGTGGTCTAGAATATTTTCGAAAACCTATTCGATCAGAAAAACAGACGACAGGTGTGAACAGTACATTAAGAAGGTATCAACGGATAAAAGAGATTCTTGTATTTCCTGAATAACTCTGCGCCATAGCTGCATCATATCAAAAATTATGTAAAAAGTAACCATAATACAAAAAAAAAGTACATTGTGCATTATTAATGATTAAAGTGCATTTCATATTATGTGTATAAGTGCATCTAAAAATATAAATGCATCATTAGTGGACCCAATAGAATATACTAAATAACAGTAATAATAATTGACAGATAATGATCTTATAGACTCTCAAAAACACTAAGTAACTCTGGTTTTAAACCATTTTATAACTGTGAAAAATATAATGAATTGTCTTAATTCTGAAAAGTTATTTTTAAGGCACTTGGTATGTCAGGCACGTTAAAATACTTATAACTAATATGAAGTAGTACTCGGTACATACTTGAGATTCCTTTCATAGTTTCCTTTCAGATTTTGAAAACAGATATTATAATGATGATTTTGCTATTATAAGTAATAGGTTACATCAAAGTATCCAAGTGTAAAAAAATTAAATAGTAACTTAAAAAAACTTATAACGTATTATAACTTAACATACAACCAACATCTTATGATCGGTGAGGTAAAACAAAATATTAACCTAAATAATAACAGTAAATGGCCATAAATACATTTCAATCTACAAAAGATCAGTCATCATTAGTTCGTTACTATTTACCAATGACAAAAAAAAATGAACCATCCTTCATCATTGAATTCCTTTGGATGCTTGTCATAGGTGCTCAAGACTTACTGAGGAGGCAGGCCTCTCTTCCACCCTCTGTACTTCAAGTAGCCATCAAAAGTATATGAGACGATAGCACAAAAACCAAAGAACTGTAAAGAAAAAACAATCCATTATACATAATAATCTACTTGTGATTGATTGAAATAATGCATGAAAAAACAATTTTATTCAACTTGGAATTAAGAAATGTATGACAAATCTCTCAAAGTCCAAATGCAATCGAACAAGAAGCTATATACATAAATGGAAACAAGAAACTAGTAAGCATTTTAAGTAATAAAATTGATATTTACCCCAACAGCATATCCAGTGCTTTCTGCTAGAGTGGCTGCAAATATTGACGTTCCAATGTATGTCAACACCACAATACCACAGTAGAAGAACTCATACTTGTGCCACGGCAGGTGATCATACTTCTCCACGAAATGGAATAGATACATGAGGAACAAGAATAATGTAATCATGTTTGCCACCCAGTATAATATGTTATAAAATATAGGTGAAATGAATGCTGTAGACACCTTTATCAATATAAATCCAAGAGTGTTGCATATCTGAAAGCAGAGCATACAAAATATTTTCATTATCTTTTACGTGACTAAGCAAAGCAAGTGTTGGGAACCCAACAACGCGCGGGAGGAGACGTGCGGGCGGCGCACAATGACTAACGTCACCTCGGGCCGACAGCGTCATCATCGGCTGCGCTCGGGTCACACACTCGCTTTTTGGACACCACCGTCGACGCACGATTACCGCGTATCCTAGATAATTATTGTAAACTAGCTGACCCGGCGAACTTCGTACCGCCTTAGCGTAGAGATTTTCTTAATATTTTTTTCCGTAAGAACCATCCTTGGACTTCCACAAACATTTAAAAAAAAGAATTATCGAAATCGGTTCAGCCGTTCACACGTGATGCCGTGACAACGCGAAACGGGTTTCATTTTTATATATATATAGATATAGATAGATATAGATTAGGCTGGCGAGAATACAGCACCTATTTTTATACAGTCCGCTATTTCATTTATTACTAATATTCGTTAGGATCCTAACAGCAAGTTATAAGAATATAAGTATTTTACAAAAGTAGGTACATACCACTTGAATTATTTTAAGTATCCCAGGCAAAGATTTGAGGTAGCTTCTGTCAAACCTCAATACTTTTTGATTTGCTGTGTTCCCAGTGTCTACATTCGTTTGGTGGTTGGGATAGTTATCAAACATTGCGGTGGATCTGAAAATGCATGAATGTTTTGTGCAGGGTTCGAGGATATATATCAAGGGATATATATCTTGATATATATCGGATATATATCCGATATATATCCAGCCGGTTTTGATGATATATATCAATTTTTAAAATTTGTATCTGTATTTATACTTTTTCACATAAGATTTTTGGTTTTTAGTTGATTTTGCCGTATTTACAAGAAGATTTTATGTTTTTGCTTTATTTGTCTGATTTTAAGTTTTAAAAACATTAAAAACATGTTTATGTGACACATATGCAATGGTATTCATAAATAATACAATAAAATAATAGTATAGCTTTCATACAAATTTGATATACAGGGTGACTTTTGTATCAGTATCCAAATTTTAATATAATAATCTATGAAGCGAAAGACAAAACACGTATTTTTTATTTTTGTATCGTCCAGTACAAAAATGTCAAAATAAAGCACCCAGAAACAGTCTGAAAAAACACTTACACCGTGGTCACGGCTCACTCGCTTACGCACGCACACACGTAAGCGCCTGCCCGCGCCGCATTTCATTCATTGCGGTACGATTTTTATAAGTTGTCGATTTTCCCTTCATACTTTCACGGGCTTAGGACCGTCAAAATGCAAAAGATTTCAAAGTGGTAATTAGTTTTAATTAAACAGACTTACTAATTTATGGTAGAAAAATTAAATACCTACGACAATAATTACGCTATCAAAAAGAAAATAAAATCACCGAGAGCGGTAACACTACTTTTCTTGTGTACCTATTCGGGGGTATTTATCGTTATTTTCATGTGCAATAATTGAGATTGCTTACCAAACCTACCTAACCTAACAACAAACTAACAAATTATGAGTAGTTATTTTAATAATTGCCCAAAGTGCATACCATTTTTCTCCAGACAGACTTGCACGCTTTTGTACATTGTCTTTGAGTTTATTTAAAACTACAGTGTCATTTCGCACTTCGCGTCTCGTGTAGGTACTTACCTACTTGCTCGCGGATCTCGCTTCAGTTTGCCGCTAAAATCGTTCACCGGTTTGGCACTGTTGGGTTTAGTCCTTGGTTACGAAGTCGATGTCGCAGGCAAATTGTATGATTCCGCATTTTACAAACGGCGTCGTCAATTTACAAACGCTCGCTGTTCTATGAAATGCCGAAGGCAAATTGGCAACTCGTTCAATTGATAAAATTTCGACTATGATTGTTGCAATAGGGTGACCATCATAAAACACCATGTTGGACAAATCAGACATAATTTCAGAAATCAGGTAGGTATCTATTCAAGTAAAACAAACCTAAAATACTTGCTACTCCTAAAGTAATTAAAATATTTTCGAAACAAAAACAACACTAGACTAATTTAAACTATTGACGTACCTATAGTAGGTACATAAAAATATGACATTAAATAAGTTTCGATACTCAGTCCTTTAGATAAGTCTTACATTTTAATTATACCAAGAAGAAGTCTAGAAGACATAACACAATATTTTTTATACCAATATATTCCGCAGCAGTCCTCCGAGCACCAGATTCCATTGTCACCTTAGCGTGTTTTACGTGCCGGATAACCTCAAAAACTATTTTATTCTTCCATAGCTTTTTCACTGCTCCTATTTGTGAATCGTAAAATTTTCTTAATTCACTAAGTACAGTAAATGTTTTTTTTTGTGAAAAGTCCTTTGAATACGTAGAATTTGCACTGTTTTCTGTATCACAACACCACTATCCGACGCCATTTTTCTTGTTTTGATTAGCAACGCCTCGCGTGGTGAGAAAAAGAACTAAATACTTCAATTTGCCGCGGCATTTTGTAAACAGCGATTGAATTGGCTATCAAATGTTTTGGCATATTATAAAGTGCCGAGGCAATTTACATTTTGCCTTCGGCATTTCATAGAACAGCGAGCGTTTGTGAATTGACGACGCCGTTTGTAAAATGCGGAATCATACAATTTGCCTGCGACATATACGGTATATGAAAGTTATGATGTCATCCTAGTTGTAATGGCAATTAAATTGTGACTTAATGTTCATTATGATGTATTGTACATGTACATGTGTGTATATGAGAGCAAAGAATGTTGAACATGCTCTGAAGCATACTAACACAGAAACAAACCATGTAGGTATGCTTTTTGTTTAAATTAAGGGAAATAATAAATTTCTTCCAACCTTAAAATCGTCCTAGGAGCTCAGGTATTAAATTGACAGAGATCAGATAAACGAAGATATAATATATTACAATATTCGCAGTACAAGGAAAACCGTCGCTAATAATTACCATGCTCAGTAGTTTTATTAATGTTTGGCTAAGCTGTTTGGTAACAGTCTGGTGAACTAAACCAACTTGAATTAATGTGAATTGCGCTTACTTTCAGTTATTCCTAATGGTGACGTAAAAACGATTGTTTTAGGGGATAAATGCTAATGGTATTTTTAGCACTTTTACTTTCTGCTTGTTGGAAAATCCAATAAAATTCCAATTCCAAGTCACACAAACACTCCCATTGCCTACGCGCAAGTTTTGACTTTTGTCAATTTGACATTTGTTTGACTTTGACGTTCTAGTACTCGTTCAGAAACAACAAAAAAGTAAAATATTGCATGGGCAGAATGAAAAATATTCCTTTGCTTTATTCTTCTTGTCTCCATCAACAAGACAGTCAAATTGGCGCTAGTGTTCATCACACTGGATGGCGGCGGCGCGGTGTTTAAAATGTCCATTAATGTTATTAATTTCAAAATATCTATGTAGGAAGCGGTGCCGTTGTGTTGGGAACATATTTTTTCTTTTTGAAAAGCTTTGAATATTAAATATAAAGGCACTGGGTCTCTATCAGAAGGAACTCTAGGGGTGGAATCTCCATTGGCGTGGGTTAACGGGCAAGGAGATAATATCTTGGATGGTTGACAATCACTTTTCCTACAATTTAACGTTCCACCAAACTCAACACGCTCTCAAAGATAACCTCGCAGCCGCCTGCTCACACTTGACATGACAAAACTAATTGACAGTTATCTTTTTCTGCGCATCAGTCGGGTGTTACGTTTAGGAATCACAAACCTTCTGCTCTACAGATTTCTACAGATATCATAATATTAAGATTGGTACTATTAATCATCAATAATAATTGCAGCATCTGTGTCCGGCGCCGACACGGCCAGCCTGACTATCGTACGGCCTCGTGCGCTTAGTCCAGGGTTTGTCCATCTGTAAACATTCAATTTCTCATTATCACAGCTCGTCCATTCCTGACTACAGAGCGTGCGAATATCAGATCGTAGAATCACAATAAATACAGCTGATCAGGGCTTGATGACTCTGGATCAGGAAACCAAACCATTACAGCTGGCCCGGGCGCGAAGCCCGACCAGGAAACCAAAATATTACAGCTGGCCCGGGCGTGAGGCCCCTTCGACCAGGAAACCGGGGTTTAGGTAACATGGCCCGACGCGCAAGGCTTAAGCCAAGGCTCCTTCAACCATTTACCTCAAACCGCACCACTACTACTGCTGATCCAGGCATGCAGCCATGCCGCATGCGACCAGGAAACCAGGGTTTAGGTAACATGGCCCGACGCGCAAGGCATAAGCCAAGGCTCCTTCAACCATTTACCTCAAACCGCACCACTACTACTGCTGATTAGGGTTGCCAACTCTTGAAAGGACCAACCCGGGAGAATTGTGGGGGGGGGGCTTGCTCCATAGTTGCTCCATCACGCTGAATACGCGTTCGAATGAAGCATTAGTAGAGACAGGAATGGAAAGAACAAACGTGACCATTTTTTTTAATTCAGGACAAGGATTTCTGTCTTTCGATTTCGTAAAGAAGTCAACCCAGCGTAAATCCACTCGATTTTCTTCAATAACATGTGGTTGCACCTCACGCAAAAGTCCAACCTCATCGTACAATTTGCCACTATCTATGTCAATATTTAATAATTCCTGGAGTTTAGTAATGCTGGTCCATGTGATTGGTTCTTTTAAAGATAAAATTTATACACAAGTACGAGCAGCAATGGATGCATTTAATTTTTAGAAATACCGGAGAAAATATTGCTCTCCGGGAGGTCGGGAGGATAACCATTATTTCCGGAGTCTCCCGGGCAATCCGGGAGGGTTGGGAACCCTACTGCTGATCCAGGCATGCAGCCATGCGACCAGGAAACCAACATTACATCAGAGCGTGGCCCGGGCGTAAACAGCCCCTTCAACCACGGCAACAGGGTGGCCCGGGCGCCCTTGGCCCGGCCCCCTCAACTCACTCACTCACAAAGGCCCTTCAAGTTTACGTCAATCACAATAATTTCCGTCAACCTGCACCAACTCTCAATGTCTGAGCCAGCATCCTCCATGTAAGACTTGATGAGTTGCGTAGCGTAGGTGTGCAATTGTGCATGCTGAAAGATTTATCTCCTTTGAATAGTGCCCTTCGAATCCCACTTCTGATAAAGGCACTGGGTCTCTATCAGAAGGAACTCTAGGGGTGGAATCTCCATTGGCGTGGGTTAACGGGCAAGGAGATAATATCTTGGATGGTTGACAATCACTTTTCCTACAATTTAACGTTCCACCAAACTCAACACGCTCTCAAAGATGTCAAAGATATAGATGACCCACGCTGAACTGTCCCGCCAAACTCAATGACAAGGGGGCGCTACCATCGTTCAACTTTATGGTTTCCAACATGGCAAAAATCGGAACCAGCGATTCGGTATTGACGGTGGCGCCCCGCTGTCAATGTCATCGATAGGACAGTTCAGTATTTTGGAACTATAACCTCGCAGTCGCCTGCTCACACTTGACATGACAAAACTAATTGACAGTTATCTTTTTCTGCGCATCAGTCGGGTGTTACGTTTAGGAATCACAAACCTTCTGCTCTACAGATTTCTACAGATAACATAATATTAAGATTGGTACTATTAATCATCAATAATAATTGCAGCATCTGTATCCGGCGCCGACAAATAATAAATAATCCTTTAAGGCACGTCACACGGGACAAAATCATGATTTTGAAAAGCTTAGCTAGCGACATCTGCACATTATCATCTTTCATTCAATATAAAATTATTAATCTGTGTTTTAAAAAAATATCAATGTCAATCAATCAATCAACCAAGTTTTTTTTTATTACTCTGTGCAAAGTGGTGGACAGTGTTTCCACATTGAGGGGAAATTCCCCTTTTGAGGGGAAATTAGGGTCAAGAGGGGAAAGAAAAGGGGAAAGACTATAAAAGGGGAAATTGCGGGAAATCGTAGATAAATCCTTTCGGAAGTAATGAGGGTTTTCGCGTATGATAAATGATGGCTCTAGCTGCTACGATTGGTGAATTTTGACAGTATCTATCAATGCTATGCCAAAAATATCCAATCATGCAGCACTCGGACGGACCTCACAAGTCACGCCTGCGTATTGCCATCTAGCGGATTTTTCATACACGAAATCTTTTATTATTTATGGACTCTACCGTGGACTAGTGTGTTACCGTATGAAAGGAACTGCGACAAGCGACAACACGAGCAGGTGGCGTATACTTACCCTTATTTCAATTCTGTTTGAGGCCTAAAATATTATTCTGTGCAAAAATGTATGCGCTGACAGCGTAAACTAATTTGGAATAAAAAATGAGTACACAACTCCAAGTTTTTATTATATTTCTGGTCAGTCTGTAAATAAAACACAAATCGTTTAGTTATATTTTATTCATGCTAAGTCTAATTTTTTTAGATTCGCTTGCACTTGCATTAGACTGTACAAACTTGAGGTGTGGTATNNNTTTGAAAATTATAAATAACTTGAAAAAATCGAACTGCCTAAGGCGGGAATTGAACCCACGACCTTCCGCTTGCCGGGCGACTGCTCTTCCAACTGAGCTACTTAGACACTGGATGAACCCGTCGAAATTTTCAAGTGTAATACGCTGTTACGGCCAGCGTTTGTTTCATCAATGTTGAGTATACCTACCCTACATCTAACAGAAATATTGTTGCAAATATTTAACTGTCAGTTAAGATGAAACAGCTCTTTTTACATAGTTATTTAATTTTTAGCGTTAAGAGTTTTCATTAGTTGTACAGAAGTTGTTCCCGTTCTTTTCAAGCCAGATTTTACACAGAGGATTGATGCAACCGTTTCATTATCGAGCCTATTGCGTTTATCTGTTTTGATATTTTTTAGATCACTAAATAATCGTTCAACAGCAGCATTCGAAAAAGGCAACGACATGAAATAGTTCACTAAAATTGGCAGTTGAACGAATTTACATCTGCTGTCAACATTTTTTTTTTCAAAAATTTTTTTCCAGTAGCTTACCGTATCTATGGAATCATTACAATCCATATCGGACAGGAGACTTTGATTTCTCCATTCCTTGTCCAGCTCTGTTAAATCTACAGCAATGTGCGATGGAATGTATTTTTTCGCGATTTTGTACAATGATGTAGGGTGCAAATCAATGGCATTTTTCGGGTTTAAAAAAGACGAATCATTGTGCACATCTTCAAATACAAATCGTTTCTTGATTTGTACGATCGCTTCAATATAAAACAATTTTGCTGACTGAAGAATTTTGTGTAAATAATAATATTAATACAATAGACTATAGAAGAAGAACGATAAATAAACTATAAATTTTAGGAGTGGCGTGTGGTGTCAAAACTACAGCAAAATAATTTTTGAGGGGAGAAAAGTCCGTAGAAGGGGAAATCTGAATTGCCGTGTGGGGAAAGGAAATCGTTCTAGTGGAAACACTGGTGGTGGATAGTGGCGGTCGGGCTAAAGTTATTGAAAATTCATATAAATCATAATTAATTTGTGACAAAAGTATTTTGTGTGGTGACCCTGGATGTGTTGAATGTTTCTAGTCCTAATCGCTAATTTTTACAAACGAAATACCTTGCTAGTCCGTCTGAATCTCGGCCGGCTGCGCTAGGATATTTTCCTGAATTTTTTGGTCTTCGAAGCCTCTGTTCGTATGTAATGGGCGAAAGTGACTGGAGACCGTTCATATACGGCGGTCTGGCGTCGATCGTCGCGGAATTTGGTAAGCCTGAGAAAAATATAATACTTTTTTCTGTACTACAACAATACATAACCTCAATTTTCTAACTGGACTTCACTGAGATTTTTCGGTTCAGTCGAGTCAGGTCTTGCTAATAATCATTGTTCAACTTACCTATTCAGTTCTTAAAGCTGAACATAAACCACTGAAAATTCGTGATTAATCAAAGCTTAGCCTGTAAAATATATTAGAATGTATTTTACAGGTACATTCCCAATAGACACGACTAAGACTCGCCTTCAGATCCAGGGCCAGAAGATAGACCCGCGTCATGTGGAGCTACGGTACACCGGCATGGTGGACTGCTTCGTGAAGACCTCGCAGCAGGAAGGGGTCAAGGCTTTGTACTGCGGGTAAATATTGAAAATATTGTATTAATTCAGAGGTGGAATTGTGTAAAGCAATCGTTATCATTTGACAGTTCATAACATACAATTATTTTGTCAAAAGCTTTGTTTAACTGACTTTATCGTACGTTATGAACTGTCAAATGATTACGATTGCTTTACACAATTCCACCTCAGACTAAAATTGGTCTTATTAATATGTAGATATATCCTAATTACAGTGATTAAAAATTATATCTTATAATGAATATGGTCCTAAAATTAGTTTTAAATAATTTTGTTGTTCAAAAATGGATTTGTTTTGGTCCATGCCAATATTCTTTGTAGAACTTAAATTTTTTTTGAGTCTTAATATCATTGTTCTGTCTTCATTTATGAACTTAGTTGACCATGGACATGCATAATTGTATTTTCAATACAAATTCATGCCTCATTCTCCTCTTAAGTTGTAAGTAACTGTTTTTTCTTTTGTTATAATAACCATTGAATATTTCCTTTATTAAGGAAATTGCTAACAATGAGAAGAGAAAACAAAGTACATTTTTTTGCATGTACAATAAGTCAATAACTATTTGGATATCTTCCGACAAGTCATAATACAAAGTCTATAAGTTAGCACTGATATTTAGCAACTATACATATTAGCCCATTTGTATGTATGTATTCTGATGTAAAAGTTCGGGTATATTACAGTAATAATAGGATCCAATCAATAGTCATATCTTTAGTTTTTTTTACAATACATATAATATAAGTATGTAGACTCTCTTTCAAGAAGATAGCTAATGGTGAGGAGATGAAACGAAGATCATTTTCCTTTGCAATTTTACATCCAGCAGTAGAAATGCTCAGTCTGAGAATTTATCCATCCAAATTGACACATTTCTTTTCTGGTATTTACATGGTATTCAGTATTACCCATGGAAACTTATTCATCATCAACGAACAAACAATAGAATATAACATCATTTCATATTATTGTTGATAAAGTACCCATTGAGAGTTCAAATGTTTGTAATAATATGATGCAAAAACATGAACTTGTTATTAGAAAGATGTAACAAAGACATAACAAGTTGTTATGCATTGATTTTACATCTCATTTGAGCCCACATGCAGAGAGAGACGAAATACAGTGATGAAGATATGGGCCATTCTTATTCCTACGCATTTTTGTGTGAGATGTAAGAATAGCATATGTTTTTAAAGAAAATCAGTGCACTGTATATTAATTTACTTAGTAAAATACCTCTATTAACTAGGCCCAATATCATTTTTATTATAAAACTATTAGAAGAATATTTAAAAAAAGTTACATGTCCAAAATGTCACGGACCGTGTAGTGTGAGATTCCCGGATTTGGACATACAATATTTTTTTCTGAAGAGATGTTATGTTATTTTGATAAATATTACAGTAATTATGCAAGATTAATACATGTTATATAAGACTGTTAAAAATTTATATCAATAATAATTACCATTTTTGATTTTGAACACCAAACATTGTGTGAGCAGTTTTTGTGTCACAACCACGTGCGCCACTTTACATATGCGTAACTCGGTAAAAAACTATCTTTGATATTGACATCCCTTGCTAAGTTTTTTTAGAACAGTAACATTGTCATCTTATTAGATTTGCAAATGGCTGAACGTAGTGAGTGAGCCGCAAAAAATTATTTCCTATTTATTTGAAAAAAGGGACAACCATAACACGTCCATCCCGTGTACGGTTTTTAAAGGTAGGTATCAATGTCACGCTATTGTATAAAACATAATTATGTACCTCATGCAGTATAGTTTCAGATAATTGCACAAGATCTGCTAATTCACAGATAGTTTTTTGGATATATCGGACACGTTCCAAATTGTCACGGCCATGGTATTAAAAATGTGTCACTACCGCAAACTATTTAAGTACATGGTCGTGACATTACAACGCGTGGTTGTGACATTCTATTTTTATTATTTTAATAGTTTTTGTTGTTCTGCTAAATTATTTTGTGTATTGTGCAATTTTTAGGAGCAGCCTTTTAGTAAGTGTACTTATTTTTCGCTAGTATAATTTTCTAGATGCCACGAAGGAAAAATTATTGCACTTTCTCATTTCTGCAGATAAATCAAATTTTACTGAGACAGCTCCCGGTAAAGGCCCTGCAGAGGTGGTCGGAGTTGTTTTAAAAGGAATTGCTATTAACCATATTTTTAGTGGTACGGTGACTATGAAACATGTTTAAGTTGTCAAAACCAACTGTTATGTGAATCCTACAGAAATCTCATTTGATACTCAATTAGGTACCTACTGTGTTTAAGATTTACTAATTTGTTAAGCATATTATCATTTCGAAACCATGTAGGTAGCATATCGGAAGCATGATCAGATAGTGCCAATAATAAAAAGTCTATTTTTTTATTATCTAGTAGATATATTAACTACCTGACGGTATTTTTGATCTCAATTTTAATTAAATTTTTGGATGTTCAGAAAAAAAAACATATGTCCAAATAACACCTTTGATGATGAAACGAATTTAGTGTAATCTATTGTTAATCAATTTAAACTATTATGATATAAATTTAACAACATAAATATTATTATTTACAGTAAAAATGTAAAACTGTCACATCCATGTCATGCAGTGTCACAGCCGTGTTTACGTAGGCTATTTTGTTTCCTTTCCGAGGGCTTTAAGGTTGTCCATATACATCAAAAGTATGCTTTTGGTTTATACTTTCGATACACATCGCAAAAAGTTTAAAAAAAAAATCTTTAATTTTTAAAAAAATTTGGCACAAATTTAAGAATGGCCCATATAGGTCAGGGGGCGATTGTCGTTTAACAGAGATAATTTTCAAAAAACAGAAATATTGCATATTCTTACATTTCGGGTGACATTCGACACATTGCAGCCGATCTTACGAAACAAATCTTATTTTTACGTGCTCTGTCTTATATCGACAGAATAGATCAAAATACGAAGTTAACGAGTTTTGTATATTTCGAGATGATCTCTAGTATACCGAAATCGCCCCCAGTACACGCCGATTTCGATAAAGAAGCTTTTTCTGTTATCTAGTTAAAGATAAGTGAACCTTGAACTGGCAAGGATACTTCTAAAAATAAAAACATGTTCGTAACGCAAAATATAGGAAGTTGTTCCTGCCCGTGGCTTTCGGTCGCCTGAAAAAGACATATAGTTTAGTACCTACCAAAAGCGTAAAAAAATTTTTCAAACCACTAACATGAGAAAATTTTTCCTTATGATCTTTTTCGGCAGTATTCCTAGCAGCCTACGTGATCCTAGGTCCTATCTCTCTTTAGCAAACAATTATAATCGGTTTAGGCGCGAACACGTAACCACAGAATAAGTAATAGTACAGGTACAGAAGGATTACTCCGCAAGACGATTTAAATAAATGCGAGTCTTGCTACGACGCGATACAGTGGAATTCAGCTCGCACAGCACTACGTACCTACAATTTTATTCACCTACAGGTTTTGTCTCTTTCTATCGCGTGCCTCTGAACTCTTCTTACGCTGTTAGGGTTGCTGTCTAGTGAAAAAATAATTTATATTTTTTTATAAATTAATTAATCTACTTATTTNTTTTCATTCGTAACTCCTAATCGGGACCGTTCGGGATCAAAGTAAAAGATCGTGCAGCTTCTTTACAGACTCGGTAACAATACCTGAAAGTTTCAGCCTGACCGAGCAAGACCGGAAAAAGTTATGAGGTAATTAGTTTTCATTTTCATACATTTGAAACACAAAATGACACATTACGTGGTGTACAAGACGAGACGAGGCCCGAGAATACTATTTAATTTAATGTTATAATGTGTTCAAAACACCTGCATACTTTAAAGTGCCAAAAAGTAAAATTTTTTTTTTAAAAATCCTATGAAAGGGGAGGTCGATTTCTGGCCCACCGTGCGGCGGGGCGCTTCGCTGTAGGTAATTATCGGATGTACCGCGCGGAGTGAGCCAGGCCTGACGTAACATACAGATTACAGACAGAGTTCTTGTCGCATTTATAATAGCTACTTTCAGATTCACAAATTCGCAATGGTTGGAAGATTTGGAACGTAGGTGCCTCCTACGTTATCGATTTTGCGTCGTATTATCAGTGCCATAGTGTATCAGGCACAACAAATTGCCGCGTAATCATGAAGACCGTTCAGTCTCGTTCGTGCTATTTTAAGAGGCCTAAAAAGTTCAAGATAATACCAAGGATACATGCATGCAGGTACACAGAAAAACGAATACGAGAATTAACGAATATGCCATCGACAGACGATTTGCAAGGAAAAATCTATAAACATTAAAACCGAATTACCTCTCTAAAAGTGTTTAAGTGGCGAAGTGTCGCCAAACGATTGAAGCTATAAAGACATTTAATTACGAATCCAAATTGATTATTTGCATCACATCTGCTGAATTTTGTTGTTACTGAAAAATATTCACAGTAAATTGAAGTTTAAATGAATAATTTTATCAGTAAACATAGTTTAATGCCCTCGGCGATTATTAACCATCCTTTGTGAGAATAAAGAAAACACTTATGTTATTTCGAGGTGCTGCGAGACTAACTTAGTGGCTGTAGATAAACAAACATGTTTCTAATAGAATAAATTATATTGATGGGACTGTCACACTGCCAAATACACAGTAGATTTTAATTTCTTGTTTATCTGCATTTAAGCAACTCGTTTATATTTGACAAGCCAACCAGGCACTCAGGCAAACATTATTTTGGAATTACAGTTGTAAATTATGCTATACCTACCAATAAGTTTAAAATTATTAGAATGCCTGTAGCACTGTTGCTTTATTTGCCTGATCTCATGACATGCATGTTTCTGGGGACTATAACTCCGTTGAGGCACAAAATATATTTTGTGGCTGAGGGGACTATGAAGGTTGTTCTAAAATCTAAATTAATTAATTTTAGTGGATTGCTCTCAAATCTTGTTGAAAAACTATTTGTCTTATCTCACTAGGCGATTCAGCCAGCTTTAGATTAGAACTACACATGTAATTCTGTTTACACGAGTGGTCCGTTATCGTCGCAATCTCGCCGCGTGCGAATCACGCTACGGTGTCTTGATTTTTTGGCAAACACACAAACAAATTGGCGTTGGAATCCAGTCAAATTTTCAATGGCTTTCGTGAAATTACTCTAATATTTACACTATAATTACTGGCATGAATCAGTGAAGAGAAAATAGAATAAACACTGCGTCGCCACGAAGAGTGGGTGGGGAACACTCGTGCATCCATCAGCAGGAGTCCTGCATTCTCTATTTATTTATATCTTCGCACATTAAGTGCTATAATTAGCTTCGTTTCAAATATTTAGGTTTTTGTTATTGCTATCCTAATGTTTTATTTTGGTCGAAAGTTATTATTAGTCCGTAATCGTTTTCCTCGGAATATCCTATTTTATTACTAAGCTGGATACAGGTTTACCAATTACAATTTTGGTGAGCATTCACATTGACCCTAGACAGTAAGACAGTGGCAAAACATGACAGTTGTAATTCCGAAATCATTCACGGAGCGAAGTAACTACACTCGCGAGCAAAACTATGGAATCACTTACATGAAGTTGTTTCCACGCGATCTTGTGTACTAACGAATTTGTTAGTAAGAAAAAAAGTGGCACCATTTTAAAGATTAAACTTTTACCTTTTAACTGATACCAAATTCATTTAAATCACAGCGGTATTTAAAAAGATATTCCGGCTGATGTGAAGAAGTAAGGAAAAAGACATGTATCAACTGTCTGATACGTCGCGAGTTGCGGCCTACTTACCCCCTATAAAAACACGTGTTTTCGGATTTTTGCTTTCACACGTTGATCCATACCATACACATCTCAGCTTTTTTTGACACTTTACCTGGGATTCCACACCTACAGAAGCAGCACAAATCGTTGCACTATTGCAAGAAGGGCTCAGCCAGCAAGCTGTCGCACGTCAACTCCACGGAAGCCAGTCCTGGGTTTCGAAAGTTTTAAGACGCTTTCGGGAGACTAGTGGCTTTATCCCGAGACCAAGTTCTGAACAGCGCCGGTGCATATCGCAGAGGGATGACCGTTTTTTCATGTCAACCTCTCTATGAAATCATCATTTGAGTGGTATCGACGTCCAGCAAGAGCTCAGAAATGTTCGTAGGATAGCTGTTAGCGTGTGGACAGATCGTCTAAGATATAAGCAATAGAATTTGACTCCAAAAAGGCCTGCCAGAGGCTCGAAACTGACGGCAGTTCACCGACAAGCATGCTTTCAATTAACTCCCATTTATTTTGATGGGTAGGCGAGTAATGGAGGAGAGTTTTGTTCTCCGATGAATGCAGACTGTGTTTGCAGTGCAGCAGTTGAAGAGGTCGGGTCTATAGGCAGTCTGGGGAGCGATTTGTGCAGTGCTGGTTCGCTGAAACAGTGGCTTATGGGGGTGGCTTGCTCGACTTCCCATCGAGATGTGTACGAGCAAATTGAAAGCGTGCATATCGGTGACCTGCCGTCAGTTTTAAGCCTGTGGCAGGCCTTTTTGGAGTCAAATTCTATTGCTTATATCTTAGACGAACTGTCCACACGCTAACAGCTATCCTACGAACATTTCTGAGCTCTTGCTGGACGTCGATACCACTCAAATGATGATTTCATAGAGAGGTTGACATGAAAAAACGGTCATCCCTCTGCGATATGCACCGGCGCTGTTCAGAACTTGGTCTCGGGATAAAGCCACTAGTCTCCCGAAAGCGTCTTAAAACTTTCGAAACCCAGGACTGGCTTCTGAAGGTGTAGAATCCCAGGTAAAGTGTCAAAAGAAGCTGAGATGTGTATGGATCAACGTGTGAAAGCAAAAATCCGAAAACACGTGCTTTTATAGGGGGTAAATGGGCCGCAACTCGCGACGTATCAAACAGTTGATACATGTCTTTTTCCTTACTTCTTCACATCAGCCGGGATATCTTTTTAAATACTGGTGTGATTTAAATGAATTTGGTATCAATTTAAAGGTAAAAGTTTAATCTTTAAAATGGTGCCACTTTTTTTGTTACTAACAAATTCGTTAGTACACAAGATCGCGTGGAAACAACTTCATGTAAGTGATTCCATAGTTTTGCTCGCGAGTGTATATGTGATATACAAAAAACGACAGAGCACGTTTTGCCACTTGTCTAGAGGCTGGAGCTGTCCACTGAACAGACTATATCATAAGCAGGATGCAGATGGCACTGGACGCAAGCCGCTACCAATCGATCGATCAACTTGGAAATCATTGGGGGAAGCCTATGTTCAGCAGTGACGTCCTATGGCTGAAATAATAATGATGATGATAAATGAGCAGCTGGGGCTGTTGAAAAGGTTCGCCACTGTAGAATAGGTTCTGTCTCGCTGTTGGCGCCAAATCCTTCCACATCGCACGGTTGGTAGCGGCCTGCATCCAGCGCCTTCCTGCTACCTTTATCAGGTCGTCGGTCCACTTTGTGGGTGGACGTCCCACGCTGCGTATTCCGGTACGCGGCCTCCATTCCAGAACCTTGCTGCCCCATCGGCCGTCAGTTCTGCGTACTATGTGGCCTGCTCACTGCCACTTCAGCTTGTTAATGGCGCCAAATGATAAACGCAAATACGATACCCCATTGCTTATTGTCCCTCAGCATCTGGCCAGCAGTGTTGCGGCAGGCCACGTACGGCACGATCAAGTTCGGCACGTACTACTCGCTGAAGCAGTGGATCGCGGTGCGGCGCGCGGACGGCGGATCCGTGGAGCACCTGCCCACCAACACCTTCTGTGCGGCCTTCGCCGGCGGATTCTCCAGCGCCGTCGCCAACCCCACCGATGTGCTCAAAGTGCGCATGCAGGTGAGAGATCAGGTTTACTGTCTGTCAGGTCACATTCGCCTTTGCTTGAAGTACTGTCTTCAGAGGTCAACAGAGGTAAGCCTATGTTATACTTGCTCTCCAGCGCCGTCGCCAACCCCACCGATGTGCTCAAAGTCCGGATGCAGGTGAGAGATCAGGTTTACTGTCTGGCAGTAGGCTATGCTTAATTCAATATTCATACATCTGTTTCCGCAATTTATTACACCGATCTTATCGCGACAAGGAAAAATTTCCGTGCTTTTAAAAAAGCGATTTTGTGAAAAATATTATTGGCAGGTAGTTGCTAATAGATAGGCCCCCTTAATTGATATTGTCCGTGGTGCATAATCTTTTCATAAAGGTTTTAAACCTTTATTTGTCACCTGTCATCCGCTTTCCAATGGAGGGAAGTCGAACCTTAATTTCGAACTCTTCCTATGTTCTTCTGATTAATTTCGTTGCGTGTCCAAAGACAGTTTAACTTTCCCCGGGACAAACTTGACCTTCATTGGTTGGGTTTTTATGGCGGTCAAGCTGTAGATCCTGGCTACACAGGAGTTGCAGTGGTGGGAACGAGAGGTGGGAATAGTCCCGTTTGTCTGGAAGGTCTCATTCGCCTTCGCTTGAAGTACCTGCCTGACATACTTGTTTAGTACTTAGCTCATGAGCAGCTCGAGGTAAGCCTATATTATACTTGCTCTCCAGCGCCGTCGCCAACCCCACTGATGTGCTCAAAGTGCGGGTGCAGGTGAGGTCACATTCGTAGGTTGAAGTACTGTCAGCAGCCTGACATACTTGTTTAGTACTTAGCTCACGAGCACTGAGTAGCTTGAGGTAATAGCCTCCAAGGAGCAGAGCAGAGTGGAGCGGATAAGTGTTTTGAATAACCTTTCAGATTTCATTATTTCCACTTCTCGGCTCTACTCCACTGCGCCTTGGTGCAAACCGGGCGTAACGTACTTGCTTCTTTTGTAAGAAATACCGAAGTTCGTAGCATGATTTTTTTTATTTTAGTATTTTTTTTTAATTTCATTGACCTGAATAAACACTTAGTCAGATCCAAAACTCATAATTTTTTTCTCTAAGCCAACTCTCATCGAAAGCTGCTTGGAACTGGCTTTGATCAGAGTTCTGAAAACTGGTTCATATTTTAACAAATTCACGATCATCATCATCATCATCATTTCAGCCACAGGACGTCCACTGATGAACATAGGCCTCCCCCAATGACTTCCACATCACACGGTTGGTAGCGGCCTGCATCCAGCGCCTTCCCGCTACCTTTATCAGGTCATCGGTCCACCTTGTGGGTGGACGTCCTACGCTGCGTTTTCCGGTACGTGGCCTCCATTCCAGAACCTTGCTGCCCCATCGGCCGTCAGTTCTGCGTACTATGTGCATTCACGTAAATTCACGATACCGCTGTTAAATTACTTGTCTCTGTCATGTGATTTAATCGGAAAGTTTGCGTAAAGAGATAACTCGAGTCCCGACGTCATTCGCGCTGCAGTCACACCTCTTTCACATTTCGTCATACAGACATTTATGAACAACAATGATGAATGTATCTTTCTTTATCATTATGACATATTAAATGAATTTATTTTATAGCTGCCAGCTATCTTTATGAGAGATGAAGTTATATTAGTTACTTACATTAAACGTGTCTACTCTTTCCTGGAATATGGCCTTGAGAATATTGCTCGTTCTGTGTCGGTGGGCGACGAAAAGCGAGGTTTGATCCGATGCTTCGCCGACATCTACCGCCTCGAAGGAACCCGCGGGTTGTGCCACGACTTGGATTCTTAATTTTAAATGGCTAATCTTGTCTTAAATCCTCTATTTATTCCTTTTTTTCTAGCATCTTGTTTAAGAACCCTGCTTGTACTTCAGGTGGGCGACGAAAAGCGCGGCCTCGTCCGATGTTTCGCCGACATCTACCGCCTAGAAGGCACGCGCGGGCTATGGCGCGGGCATAGGCCATGCTGTTTCAAATAGCCAATCCTGTCGCTAGCCTTAAGATTATTGTACCCTAAGTTAAGAATCCCTGTTTATGTAGCTTGCTCATGCTTCAGGTAGGCGACGAGAAGCGCGGCCTCGTCCGATGTTTCGCCGACATCTACCGCCTGGAAGGGACCCGCGGGCTGTGGCGCGGCGTGGGCCTTGTTGTTCTTAGTTTTAAATGGCTTATCTTGTCATATACCCTTTAAGGTCAGGGTTTGCGTACCTTTTTTTTTAAGAACCCTGCTTGTACTTCAGGTGGGCGACGAGAAGCGCGGCCTCGTCCGATGCTTCGCCGACATCTACCGCCTCGAAGGGACCCGCGGGCTGTGGAGCGACTTGGCCACTAATCTTGTCGCAAACCCAAAGATTTGTGTATCCGTGTTTATGTAGCTTGCTCATGCTTCAGGTTGGCGACGAGAAGCGCGGCCTCGTCCGATGCTTCGCCGACATCTACCGCCTCGAAGACACGCGTGGTCTATGGCGTGGGTATAGTGCCTACTGTTTCAAATAGCCAATCCTGTCGCTAGCCTTAAGATTTTTGTACCCTAAGTTAAGACTTGACTTATGGTCCTATCGGCCGAATACTGAAACGCCATTTAAATATTTGACGGCTTCTCAAATAGTTAAGCAGCTCCTAAACTTCCATTTCGCATACTCAAAACAATATCTGAGCAGTTCTCAATTTTTAAGCACCTCTCAAATTAAGTTGCACTCAAACGCCACTTAAATGAATTTTCGCATACTGAAACGCCATTCAACGCTAAGCACTACTCAAACAACTGTCAAATCGTCTTAAGCAGCTGTTAAATTTGAGAGTGCTTGCGCGGTATCTTAAATCCTATTCTTATACCTAAATCGACCTAAATAGTGGTAAATAATGTGTCATCGTTATCATTTCTTTCGAGCCTCGAGGAAATACCTAGATCTAATCGCAGGAACGCAATAAGGCTGAACGCTATTGAAAAATATTATTATAATGACATGCAATTCCGAGCGAGGTTCCGCGTCCCTAAAGAAACGGTGTTGTTTCTGGATTCATAATTTGGAAGCTCTTTGAAACCCCTCACCAAATGCCATACAACCAGTGGACCAAATACTTATTATAAAATTATCACTTCACGGGATTTATTGCAACAATATCTATTTTAACGGTAAATAATATTTACCCTCCCGACGTTTCGGCTCGGTTGCACGAGTCATGGTCGCGGGCAGACTGAAGAGATGCGGCGTCGTCTGCTCCAGCGCGATGAGTTTTCTTCACCCACCCGCATTTGCACAATATTTTCGTCAGTGGTACAGTCAGTCCGACAAACTACACTAACAGTGTCCGGGTTTCTCTGAGACGGCCTAGAACGCGATTCGTACTTCGTTATCACCGGATTCCACGCTGATGATAGGTTAAATCCTAATAAATAGGTTAAAGCATAAGAATTTCAATCGAGAAGATGGATTTATGATAATTTTATAGTAAAAAATGCAACATAATAGTTTAAAACATCAAATACTTATTATAACCCTACTATTCTACGCAACGGGAAGTTATGAACGTGTACTAGGTGATATCTTCCAAATCTAACAGCCAACTGTGCATCGTATAGTGCACGAAGTAACAACCAAAATAGCTGCTATGAAATCGCTTTTTATAAACATGCCTATTTCTGAGGATTAAGGGGACATCGCATAGCAGCATTTCCAAGAGTTGTTGATTGTGGTTGATTTGTCAATTTGATGCTCTGTCAGTGAACAATGATAAAAGTGCTATGAGACGGACGAAAGCCCGACTGAAATGCATTAAGGAGGTTATTTTGAGAGAAATGTGATGATAACTGTTTTAAGACACACGATTCAGTAATTTTGGAGAGATAAGGTAATATAGAGATGGGTCGGAAGTGATTTGGTGCAGTCGGAGTGGGAACCTTGGGAAGAGGACGGACGATAGCCTTGCGCCATGAATCAGGAAATTGACCCGAGTCCAAGGAGAAATTAACAATGTGCATGATAACTGGCGAAAGTACCTTTGCTAATGGAGAGATCATTTGTCGACTGATCCCATCCACCCCAGTCGCCTTGGACGTAATAGAGGAAATAATTTTTAAGATATCATCCTCGGAAACCGGGGCAAAAGAGAAGGGCTCGATATCATGAGAAGGAAAGGAGTCTATGTACGCTAACGTGCTCGCCTTCTTATGAGAATTGAGCGCAGGGAGATCTGTAAAATGGTGGTTAATATCGTTGAGGTTCAGAGAGATGGGAAGGATGTTAGCTTTTGACCGACCGATTCCCAGTGTTCCCAGAAACTTCCAAACATTTGGGGCTGAAGAGTTCTGAATTTGATGGTGAATATGTCGTCGTTTAGCATTTCGTATCATCTGGTTACACCGGTTACGCGCAGTCTTATACAGATCCCAGTTGTTCTCACATTTGTTCCTTTTAAACCTTCGGAATGCCTTGTCTCGCCTAGACATAGCACCACGTATGGATTGGCTTATCCAAGGTGCTGGCGGCCGCTTAACGCGGACTGTGTGAATGGGCGCATGTTTGTCGAAAAGCTTAAGGATATTCCCAGTAAACAGCTCGACCTTCAGGTTAATACATGTAGTCAACGTCAGTGGCTCCCAGTCAATTTCCAGAGCGTCTCGCAGCAGGTTTTCATTGTTAATACGCCCGTAACTACGCAATTGAACCGTCTGGGGCTTGCATTTTGGAGGCCGCAATCTGTATGACACATAAAGCAAGTCGTGCCTTGAGAAACCATTAATTTTTTTATATGATAAAACGAGATTTATATATAATAGAAACTAAAAATAAACTGTTCTATGTTAAGTTGATTATTTCCATAAAAGACAATACATAACCAAACGATGCTGCGTGTAATGGATAAATAAAAGACGTAAAGTTATCATTTGTGTAAATGAAAACATACTTTTTTTGGTAAATGTTGCCATTATGTAAACATTTGAGAGCTGCTTAGCTGATCACGGCTTTAAATCGGTTGAGTAGCGTTTGAGAATACCATTTAAAATTGAAGGATACTTAAATTTAGGAGCCCGTCAGCTGAGTGACAGATTTGAGTAGTGTTTCAGTATTCGGCCGTATGTCCCCTAGATGGGGCAGAGGGCGTCCACAACAGTCTTCCATCGCGTTCGGTCTTGAGCTATGTGTTTGATCTCGCTCCAAGTCTTGCCGATCTTCTTCGCCTCGTCTGCCACAGTGCGCCGCCAAGTTTGCTTGGGGCGACCACGTTTGCGTTTTCCTTGGGGGTTCCGATCCGATCCGATCGACCAAGAACAGATCAAGCGCCGCAAGTGGAACTGGATTGGCCACACTCTCCGAAGGGATCCCGATCACATCCCCAAGCAGGCTCTAAGTTAAGAATCCCTGTTAAATATAGCTTGCTCATGCTTCAGGTGGGCGACGAGAAGCGCGGCCTGGTTCGATGTTTCGCTGACATCTACCGCCTCGAAGGCACGCGCAGTCTGTGGAGCGACTTGGCCACTAATCTTGTCGCAAACCCAAAGATTTGTGTATCCGTGTTTATGTAGCTTGCTCATGCTTCAGGTGGGCGACGAAAAGCGCGGCCTGGTTCGATGTTTCGCCGACATCTACCGCCTCGAAGGGACACGCGGGCTGTGGCGCGGCGTGGGCCCGACGTCGCAGCGCGCGGCGGTGATCGCGGCGGTGGAGCTGCCGGCGTACGACGCGTGCAAGCGGCGGCTGCTGCCGGCGCTGGGCGACTCGCCCGCCAACCACTTCGCGTCCAGCTTGCTGGCCAGCCTCGGGAGCGCCGTGGCCAGCACGCCGCTAGATGTTATACGAGTAAGTTTATATCTCGGGACTGGAGTCGAGAGCTGAGTCCTTTAATCTACCCGTTCCTTTTATACACCACAAAAATTTTATCACCGAAAAATTTTTAACAGTTTATGTAGAAACGTGTTAAATATTTAAAGCAAAAAATAAATAAATGTTTTTCATAAAGTTAATTTTTTTATTAAATTTTCTTTAGTCCGTCCGTATTTTACGCGTCACAGCTTTGTCACTCCGCTGCTCGCTAGAGTAGTCGTACGCGCTCGCACGTTGCATCGCTCTGTCTGTCTCGCTCACGCCTCGACAACGCTTCCAGGTGCTTCCAGTGTTATTATTACATACTTAGCTAACTTAGACCATTTCGAATAAGTGTTACATTATCGTACGTAAATAGTGCTAGCGACGCGTGTGTCCATAAATTACCAATTTTAGGAGGAAATTTTGAGTCACTTTATTTAACTTCTTTTTTTGCACAAATGGGATCAGTATCAATAACTCATTACCCAGAATATTGTTTTTCGGTGATAAAAATTTAGTGGTGTATAGTAGATCGTTTCATCTACGAAGATGCGCCCCACCATTCATCCGCTAATGTTTGAATGTTATTGGTACACGCTAAATTATCCATGAATGCACTGCGTGTGATCAACGTCTACAATAATGACGCTCGGATTGCTCGGATCAAACTCCCCGCACCCCGCGCTTCCCTCGACCAAAAATTGGTGGGGCGCGTCTTCGTGAATAAAACGATTTGAAGAATAAGAGCGGAGCAGAACTTGCTAAATGTCTTTAGGTGCTGGATAGATGAGGTCCGAAAAGCAATTCTTTTCTTTCAAATTTAAGTTTTCAATAGGATGCGATGGTAAAAACAGCGCTTTATTATGATATATTTTTATTTTCAGACAAGACTAATGAACCAAAGAAAAGTGAAGGATCACATAGCGAAACCAAATGAAAGGATATACAGAGGGACCATAGACTGTTTCTTACAGGTAAATACTTTTGTAGTCCTAGAACCACTTAACGGATTCTTTAGTTGAACGTTTCAGTCAGCACATGAACATTTAATAATTTGAATATACATTGGCTAATTATGGCCACCATATTGCAAAATTACGGTATTTGTCTCGGGAAAACAGTCGACAGTTGGACTAGGCGCAGTCCACCGATTTTTAGTTGGCCGATAGTTGGGCCCGATTTTAATTTATATGAAGAATCGGCCAAATGCGGTGTAATGTGCGCACTTCCATACATGCCCAATTGCCCATACTAATCAACTGCCCAACTAAACTATCGGCAGACGAAAAATCGATGGTCTGCGCCTAGGCTTAGTCAGTATACTCTGTATCTCGCCGCGCCGGTAGTAGGACAGGTTCACTCATTTCAGCCATATGACGTCCACTGCTGGACAAGGACCGGTCGTTATGGAAATCCTTGGGGGAATAGGACAAGTGCCTTAACCTTCTTTAATGGCGCATTTTTATTAGTCGATAACTCGTTCGGCATACAGCATGCGGGGACTCCCCGCATGCGAGATAACGACCAAAGAAAGTTGCAAGTAGATACGCGTTCGGTACAACGCCTGCGGGGATTCCCCGTTTGCATTATACCGACAGGGCTATCGACCAATGAAATTCATCATTCAGATTTTCTGACGCGCCATGTTTGTTTCTATTTTTTAGTAAACTTCGCACCCAGATTGCGGGCCTTGTGGCACGCGTTCCAGAAATCTCCCGCACGCCGCATGCGGACCCTATCGACTAGTGAAATTGCGCCATAATAAACAGGCTTGATGCGTTAGTTCCCTTTAGAATTTTACATCGATGTGCTTTATGTGTTGCAGACGGTGCGCAGCGAGGGCGGGCGCGCGCTGTACAAGGGCTTCGTGCCGACGTGGCTGCGCATGGGGCCGTGGAACATCATCTTCTTCCTCAGCTACGAGCAGCTCAAGCAGTTCTACTGAACCACCGCCACCGGCCACAGCCGCCTGCAAGGTAACCTTCCATACCTCTACATCATTGGTTCCCAAAGCGGGGGGCGCGCGCCCCATGGGAGGCGCAAAGACCTCGCGGGCCATCTGTGTACTTAAGTATAAAAAACCTGCGACCGCTGAGAGAATGCATTCCAGACTGCTCGACGACCAATAAATAATCTGGACTGGAAGAGGGAGGGTGCTGAATTTTTTGTATGGTCAAAAGGGGGCGCGTCTCAAATAAGTTTGGGAACCAATGCTCTACATAATCTTCAAGATATCTTCAAAGGTAGCGCCCTCTAGTAATACTAAGGCCTTGTATAGACGCGCGGTAACAGTGTGGTTTATGGGTGGTTCTCATTGGCGAGGTACTGAGGCGGTAACCGTGGATGCAAACTTGCCGAGAACTGCCCAGCAATCAATTCCGCCGAGTCTGAACTAGGCCTTAGTACCGGCGCCCCCTAGGACCGTGCGCACTATAGGTAGCCGCCCCTGGATATCTTCTATGTTCGTGACTCTCAAGCTACTTCATAACCCACGCTCCTTCAGGGCTACTCCGAAATACTATTTACGGAGTTTCGGGTATATCTGCCACCGTCGTCACGTTCGCATCTCGCTTCGCGTGAATGGGATAGCAGCATTCGAAACTTCAGATAATGTTTTTCGGAGAAAGCCCCCTGTATCATCGCACACAAAAGCAAACACAAACCACCGTTATAGCGTCTCCTTTGGAGCAGTTGTAAGCATTGAGCAAAAGTAAATGTACATTTCATTGTTTCAGATTCCAAAGGATACTAACTCCGCGGGATGCGATCCACGTAGGGAGTAAAAAGCTTATAGTAGCAACCGAACCGATTCGATGCCGATGCGGTACTGTTTGAAACTAACAACACTATGCACAAACTTGCTTTAAAATCTGTAGTTTCTTAACACAAGAAACTTACACCCATTTTGGCTATCCTGTTATCTAATCGATCATCACCAGAGGAATCCTGGATAAATTACCGCAATAACTATGAACTATTCCATCATTTTGTATTCTTAAACGACACCGAAAGATTTTGGCAACATCCTTGGTGATGAGTGAATAAATGGAGTATATGGGTGAGTACTAGAAAATTATTGTTTCTTCCCAAGACTTCAAAAACTTGCCAATTTTTGGTATGATCTTGCATTTTTTTAAAGTTAAACTTTTAGAACCTGCATTATTAATGTAAAAAGTAAGTTAAAAATTGTAGAATTTGATTCCACTGTACTGGGTTGAAGGAGCTTATGTTACGTAGTACCCAGTAGTTCCTTCTCGTTACCTAAAGTAGTGAGCGTAGTGTAGTTGTTAGCTGGATTGTGCTTGGTAGTAGTGATAAATGCGCTTCAAATCTATGATTAGTAAATGTGCTGCCTTCGACGAAAAAAAGGAAAAAAGGATTCTTTTATATTTCTCCTTATTCTGACTGCTAAATAAGTGACATCTTTGTAATGTTCAATGATTTGTTCTTTGGCTATTTTCAGGTATTGTAAGCATTTTCCCAATAAATTAATTACTTTTTCCTCACCACTATATACCATAATGTCTTCATATTAATCAACTTGAGCAGAAATAACGTGTTCTCAGTTCTTAAGCACTCAAGAAACTTTGACATATCATCTCAACAAGTTGAGGTGGCATATTTACTGATCAGAGATCTGAATTGAATGATCAAAGAGTGAGAGAGATGTAGCCGTCTAATGAATTAGTCGTTTCAAAACGCTTAATTGTAGGGTGTTTTAGAGGAAATATTTATTTAATTATAGATCATACTTATCCATAGACAACCAACCTTTTCGTGTCTATAGTAGTTTCAGCCAGTAAATATTTTCCATCCTATATCCTGCCTTTTGTACTACAATATCTACTAAAATATTTAATTAAGTGTCTGAGTTACAATCAGTTCTGTTAACTTTATTTATAGCATTTATTTGTTTGTTGACTGAAAAACTTTTTTTATAAGTAAACGAAATGACGTATATTATTTTAAATTTGCCAAATGAATAGTCAAGAAATGCAAGTATTTTCGCTAGTTGTACTGTTACTATCATCACAGTCAGTTTGTGTAAATTGATTTGTTCATTATAATGAGGTTAATAATGTTCTATTGTAGGGAACATGTAAAAATTGTGATTCTTTATTAAAAAGAACTATTCGAAATAGTTCTGTAATAGTGACTAAAGTAACTAGAAAAGATCTTTTTTTCATATTGTATGTATGTAAATAGCTGACCCAAAGGCATTGATCTCATAGCAAGAGCATGTATTAAATATGTTTTTATTTAGTAGTTATGTTATGTATTAACATTTTAATGGTATTTTTGTATGAGATCAATGAGCATAATCTTATGGTCTATTTTTCATATTTGTATTGATTGTGAAATCGATAGATTGTAAAATTACGCGGGTTTGTATGTATAGCGTAAGATTAGGTAGAATAAGTAGACAATTTATTTCTAAAAAGGATATGTTCTGTAATGGCAGTTGCTTTGCCGATGTCTTCTCATCTGATGGAGCTGTATTTTTGCCACTTGCCACCATGTTTTGAACGGGGAAATCATCGGAATAACTTGAATAAACGCCTATTAGAACATGTCCCGAAGTTGCTTTCCTATTTATACTGTTGTGTGATTCGTTGTTGATTAGTATTTTGTAAACACTATTTGCTATACGAGCGTATATCTTCACTGTTTCGACAGTTTTTCCTAAAACGTGTGAGAATATTTTGATATTTTTTAACATACACTTGTTAGGCGATTTTTGTGTAAAATTTAAAATGCTTTATTTAGGTGTAGCTCAAATGTAACCACCGTTGGTTTCTGAGGGATAAAATATTCTATTTAATAAATATTATTTACCTATGGACAAAAACTATTTATTTTAAAGTTATCTTGACATGTTTTGAAATTATGTAAGAAAGAAAAATGTTATCTAGGATATTTTGGCTGACAATTTTCATGAATTTCTTATAAATTCAGTAATAAATTTCGTTGGCTAAAGTCACAAATTGAACATTAATTTTAAGGTGCAAGTTAGTTATCATTGAATGGTGATCTTTTTCGTATAATTTTGTACTGTACTTAGGCCCTCTTTTTGTTACTGGTGAACGTGTTGTGTAGGTACAAAGAATTAGCCAAAATATTAATCGAATAAATCTTATACAAAGTATAATGCCTTTGTTTTATTTAAAGTTAGGTAACTTCTATTTTTTAAGCGGCATTTAACCATTTATATTTACACTTTGTTATGATTTCAAAGACAAGTTACGTTAAATTTTTATCTAGGGGCGAAGTGGATGCTGCGCATGCATAACGCTGCGTTGTTCAAAAAGTCAATGTGCATTTTGCAGTTTCCCAACCTTTTTTGTTGATGACAAAAACTTCTTAATTTTGACAGAATAAACTGTATGACACTGACAGAAGACAAAATCTCGTCGGAAAAGTCGACAGCCAAACTCACAATCTTTTAATCGAAATGCAATAGATATTTACCCATAAGTTTAAATCTTCAAATATGGATTCCAACGTGGTGGAAAGCGAGCTGGCGGAGCGGGAGCGGGACGTTTGCGTTTGTGGTGGAGGGCCCACCCTCGCCATCCTCAAGGACGTGCAGCGGGGCTACGAGGAGAGGATGGCACTTATTGAGAGGATCGGGGGCGCTAAGAAGTTACAGGTACATGGCACTAAAAGTAACACAATGTAGATGGTTGGGGTGAAGTAAATAGAAGTAGAAAATGTAGTTTCTATTGATTGGACTGACACAAATGCCGCCAAGTGTAGAGCATGCAAACGAAAACTGGTTTCCTGCCTTTTTGTGTTGTGCAGATCTAGCGACAGTTCCTTTATCATGGGGTACCTTAGAGGTAGGTAAAGTAAAATAAAGAAGTAGAAATGTAGTTACTAATGATTGGGCTCACTGAAACCATGTCGCCACGTGTCGAGGACGCAAACCAAACTGGTTTCTTGCCTTTTTGTGTTGTGGAAATCTAGTGGCAGTTCATCTATCATCAACCTCCCGGTTTGGTCCCACAAACTTCTACTTCCCACACACTTATTTATTACATAACTCACATGCGCATTTTTATCTGTCTCTAGAAACTAATCAATGCCCTTTCCATTCCAAATCTTCCGTCTTTTCTTTCATCCATATTTCTGTCTGCAGTCTCTTGACTCGTGTTTGATTGTAGATGCAAGTGGAAGTGCTAAGGGCGTGGGTGAGCGACCTGGTGGGACAGAACACGCTGCTCGCGCGAGCCGTGGAGGAGCTGGAGACGGAGGCCACCACCAGGCTGCTGATGGAGCGACGGCGGCATTCAGAGGTGAGGGTTAGCTTATAGATGCTGCTGGAACAAGGAGGGTTTAGGTAGCTAAAGGTATGAACTGGTGTAACAGAACAGTTTGCTAGCACACTTTGATCTTTGCTCATCAAACCAATAAATTCTGTATGTATTTTCTACTAGACCGGCATATTCTTTCATAAACTCGTTCGTTGATTAAACACTTACATAATATGTGATATGACCGAGCTCCCAAATCAATGTTTCGTTTGTTGTTGTATAAATATTAAATAATTTTGATTTTCCGCAACTCGTCCCAAATGGTGCTTAGGTAAGCTTGTGGTCCGAGTTGGTGAATTACTCAGCACTGAGTAAACACGCAATGCCAGCAATTTTGATAAAATTGTACAACTGAGAACGTCGTCACGTGATGTAGAACTCCGCCCGAAATAATATCATTGTCGGTGAAGTCCCCATGAACGATCAACGACACTGGACAAACGGTTTAATTGTAGAGGCTCAGGCCGGGGGTCGCAGTCTCAAGAACAGGACTTGTGGGTTTTCACCATAGAGATCTAGAGAGATGCCAACTAATGCGCTGTTTAAAACTCAGTGTCGCTTTAGAAATTCACACACAAAGTAATCAAAATATGTGCTCATTATCCACCGCGGTATCAGTACTCAACGTTCGAATAATCTTTAGTACCTACTACGCAAAGCAATGTAAACTATTTACATTATGACGTCGCTGCTGTCATCATTGCTTTCACGAGCAATGTGTTCTGTTTTTGGGCATATTGCTGCGACACCGGCCCCGACCCCTTGTCACATCTCCCCTTAGTTTCTGTGATTTGTGGTTTTCACGAAATATTGTTCTCGGTGATGGTGGAGAAACGACCCAAGTATACTTAGAGCTGGGGCCTTTTCCCATGGTCATTATGACGCGGGTGTGGTGCCAGGATCAAGAGATCTTGGTAGGGCTGTAGTCCCACGCCAGTGTGACGATGGTTTATGTTGCCAGATCAAGGGATCTTGGTAGGGCTGTAGTCCCACGCCAGTGTGACGATGGTTTATGGTGCCAGATCAAGGGATCTTGGTAGGGCTGTAGTCCCACGCCAGTGTGACGATGGTTTATGGTGCCAGATCAAGGGATCTTGGTAGGGCTGTAGTCCCACGCCAGTGTGACGATGGTTTATGGTGCCAGATCAAGGGATCTTGGTAGGGCTGTAGTCCCACGCCAGTGTGACGATGGTTTATGGTGCCAGATCAAGGGATCTTGGTAGGGCTGTAGTCCCACGCCAGTGTGACGATGGTTGGTGCTTGGTGGTGCCAGATGACTGCGGAGCTTCGCGCAGAGGCGGCGGCGTTGCGTCGGCGCGCGGCGCGTAAAGACTCCGATCTGCGCGGGCTGGTTGAGGTGCTGCGGCGCCTGCGCGAGTTCGACTACTGCACGCTCGACGGGATACACTTCTTCGAGGTCACCGAGTCCGACATATTCGGCACGGTCGAGTGGTGAGTAGCGGAGGGCTGCTTCATTTCATTATATCGTTTAGGTAAGGCCCGGTTCCTACTACGTAGCTACGCCGGACCGGCCCGGACGCCGGACAGAGTGTACACATTACACCGGATCCCGCAAGAAAATAGAACAGTCTACTTTTATCAAAAAATGCGAGCTGAATGACGTGGGGAGCACGAGCGGGGGACCGATACCGGACAAACTCGTTCACACTGCTCCGGCCCGGTAGTTCTGCCGAAACTTCGCAGTGACAAAACGCTCGTTAAAATGCCGGGCCCATCAAAAATGCCGATCCGGGATAAGTGAATAGCTTCATATAAATTGTACAGCCACTAGCCCTTCCGGGAGTTTTACCGGTCCGGCAGATTTGCTGGTCCGGCGTAGTGGGAACCGGGCCTAACATTTGTGACAGATAGGTACAATTTGGTATTCTATACTTACTAAATATACCACGAATGTTATTTTGTCTAGGGGGCTAGGCACATCTATACAGTAGGTAGGTAAAACATGGCTGTTAGGTTCATAGAGTTGTCTAAGATGAAGCGCTATAAATGCAAGCGCATGTTTAGTGCATTGGAAGATACTTATTTCCAGGGTTGGACTGAGGTAGGCTGTCAGATGATCACGAGCAAATCATACTACTTACTATTTACTATGTGTTTTCTCTTACCAGGCGACAACAAAAGCTGGAAGACGGAGACGGCAAGCGCAAGCTGAGACACGACCTGAGCAGGCTGGAGGGCTACCGGCACTTCAAAGCTTTGTAGATCTTTTGCTGTTTTTTAATACATTTACATTGTTTTCTATGCCGGTTTTTAATTTATTCTCCTCTATGTAAGAGTAAAAAGTTAGGATAATCAAATATTTTTAAATTCATTTGTAATTTGAGAGTTTGTGAAAGAATATTGCCGGATTTAGCATCTATAGGAATACGACCTAGTGACACAGTCGACATACATAATACTTACTAGATATTTTTTTCAAAACGTGCTAGCTTTAAAATACGAACCTCATCTGAAATAATAGGTATTAGGTCCTCCGCTAAAACTCGCGCGGGTGCACGGAGCGCGCACCGACGTATGGATGACCATTGCACGTGGTGCACTGTTCATACTAATTATTTTTAAAACTGAACCGAGCGGGGGCGCCCCGTGAGTTTTAGCAGAGTTTCTAATATTCTAATCTACATAGCTCTGCATTTTGCAGCGCGACAAAAAGAAAAAGATCTGCGGCAATGTGACCGAGCTGAAGATACTGAACGATACGCTGCAGAAGGAAAACATTGCTAAAGACAGGTAAGTAATAAATTATTTCGCGTCAGTAGAATGCTGAGGTCCTGTGTTCGAATCCCTAGGAGTATTCTTGGAATTAGAAGACCTTTGCGTGATAAAAAAAATCTGATATTTTCCTCTTTTTTTATTTTTTAGGGAAATCCGAAGGCTAAACAAAGATGCGCAGCAGTACGAGCAAACAATAATAAATCTTAGAAACGAAATGTCGGCCAGCAAACATTATAATCCGTACGTATTTTATACGTTGAAACTTTATTTGAAATTGAAAAAAATAGAGACTAAAAAAACAACTGGCTGTATGCCGTACATGCCTTTGCCTTTTCTTGCAAACCTACCTACCCACTAATTTTCTAACATACGAACACGAACGGTTTATTTAAAAGTGCATTCTATTGACCGCTCCATAGCTAAGTGGCTGCCGTTAGAAAAGTTTGTGTGACCTATTTTAGGCCGTCTCCTATACAGTTCGAAAATATTCCAGAGGCGTCCCGAAAAAAGACGCGGAAGTCATGGCCGGCATGTGTTGCACCGGAAACGAGGTACCGTGACATTTTGAAATCCGACTCACTAAAAGAATCTTTGTATCCAATCAGATTGTGTAGCGTTAGCTTCCCTTTGATCTCTAGTAAAAGTAGCAGGACTTAAATTTTTAATTCGTGTCAGCAAATTGCCTTTTTGATTATACTTCGCGTTGTCCATGTTCGAAATGTTTGTGTGTGAAATTAATTGACGAATTTCCTGTCCCGAATAAAAATTAAGCTGAAGTTGGTCCAAACATATTTTATTTTTCAATTTCGTTTAATTTTTTCCGTACCGTTATTTTATTCCATACAACCTTTATACCTACCGAAAAAAAAACAAGGGTAGAGCGATATAAGTCATGTTTTTCACCTACCTGCATTAAAATGTATATCTATCCTATTGGAGGTACATGTAAAAAAAAAAGGGTAGGTAGTTAGATATTCATATTCATATTCATTTATTTGCTCACTAAGTGTAGGTACATAAGGTCTTATAATATGCGATTTTGCTTTTTAGTTCATCAATTGAAACGCAGAACCTGGCACAATCGTATCTCCGTTGTGTTCATAATCTGAAAGTAAAGTGATACTTGCACTATAAAAAAATTTTGTGGCCCCACCTTTATATCAGACGAGAAAAAAACAAGGGTAGAGAGATTTAACGACATGTTTTTTCTACCCGCGTTATTATTTTTAATCATCCCATTGGAGGTTCATTTGTGAATATGGAGGTACGGAGATCTTAGCTAGATTTGTTCACGTTTTAGTTCATCAATTAAAACGTAGAGAATCGTATTTTTTTTGTGAAAAAACAGTTTAAAGTGTCAGGTGGAGTGCGTAGGTATTTACTTAAATCTTCTTTGTGTTGAAAGACTGAAAGTACAGTGCTAGGTGTGGTAGTATGACTGGGCTCGCTTGCAGTGCGGCGACTGGGAGCCGGTGCGCGAGACCAGCCTGGCGCTGCGCGAGGAGTCTGTCAAGTGCCAGGAGCGCATGCAGAAGATGGAGTGCAGCCTGAAGGTACATATTCATGTTTGTTCTGAGAAGTAAAAAATCCATAAAACTATGCAGTAACTGCCCATTTTTAGGCCACTAATTTTTTTTTTTTTTTGGTTCAGTGAATTCTTGTAGGTATTCCTTTCATCTACCGTCGAGACACTGGAGGAATTGGTCAGTGTTGCATTTTGCATCACGCGGATACCTACCGGAACAGCAATCTCAAGCAGCGTACTGCATTGTGCCTTTTACCACAGCGGTCATTTACCAAATTTAGTGGTCTGTTTGAGCATGCATCGATGAGTGCCCAGTGGTGCCCTTCTTGGCGGCGCAAGAGAGTAGCGCGGCAGTGCACGCAATTTGAGGAGCGTCTTCCTTGTGCTGTAAAAATATTTTTATCATGCGATCATTTAAACGCAGCTCAGTCTGTTGGTTGTCCTTCTGGGCGGGCAGGAGAGCAGCGCAGCAGTGCGGTCGCTCCGCAAGAGCAACGCGGCGCTGGGCGCGGAGCATCTGCCTTGTGCTGAATATTGTATCATGCGATTATTGAAACCCTTGCATGACGTAGGTACCCTCGTATGTCCTGCCCGGGTAGGAGAGCAGCGCGGCGGTGCGCTAAGGGTGAGACCCCATTGGTCCGTTGCGCTGCGTCGCGTCATAAAAAATACATGGAAAACGTCGCCAACGTCGCAACGTTTTAATGGGGCCACACCCTAATACCGGTTGCAGACCAAGAGCTAAGCTAAGTTAGTTTCGTTTAGCTCGCATAGCTGACGCAGTTTCCCATAGAATTGGCATAGTTTTCAGTCTATACACGACTATGGAAAACTGCGTCGCTATGCGAGCTAAACGAAACTAACTTAGCTTAGCTCTTGGTCTGCAACCGGTATAACTGCAGGCGCGCCCTCTGTCTGTAGCGTGACATATCCTCGTGTCTCTGGCCGGGCAGGAGAGCAGCGCAGCCGTGCGGTCGCTGCGCAAGAGTAACGCGGCGCTGGGCGCGGAGCATCTGCCCTGTGCTGAATGCTATATCATGCGATCTTTGAAACGCTGTTGTCCTTCTGGCCGGGCAGGAGAGATTGAAACGCTGCTTCATCTCTTTCATTACGTATCCTTGCGTCTCCTTTCGTATTATTGCCCGGGCAGGAGAGCAGCGCGGCGGTCCGCTCGCTGCGCAAAAGCAACGCGTTGCGTAGTTCGATGAGCTGTCAACTTTTATAAACGATTATTGAAACGCTGCTTCGTCTCTTGCATGACGTATCCTCGTATGTCCTGCCCGGGCAGGAGAGCAGCGCGGCGGTGCGCTAAGGGTGAGGCCCCATTGGTCCGTTGCGCTGCGTCGCGTGAGTCGCGTCATAAAAAATACATGGAAAACGTCGCCAACGTCGCAACGTTTTAATGGGGCCACACCCTAATACCGGTTGCAGACCAAGAGCTAAGTTAAGTTAGTTTCGTTTAGTTCGCATAGCTGACGCAGTTTCCCATAGAATTGGCATAGTTTTCAGTGTATACACGACTATGGGAAACTGCGTCAGCTATGCGAGCTAAACGAAACTAACTTAGCTTAGCTCTTGGTCTGCAACCGGTATAACTGCAGGCGCGCCCTCTGTCTGTAGCGTGACATATCCTCGTGTCTCTGGCCGGGCAGGAGAGCAGCGCAGCCGTGCGGTCGCTGCGCAAGAGCAACGCGGCGCTGGGCGCGGAGCATCTGCCCTGTGCTGAATGCTATATCATGCGATCTTTGAAACGCTGTTGTCCTTCTGGCCGGGCAGGAGAGATTGAAACGCTGCTTCATCTCTTTCATTACGTATCCTTGCGTCTCCTTTCGTATCATTGCCCGGTCAGGAGAGCAGCGCGGCGGTCCGCTCGCTGCGCAAGAGCAACGCGTTGCGTAGTTCGATGAGCTGTCAACTTTTATGTACGATTATTGACTTCTTCTCAGCACTGGCCCATTTATTGTCCCGAAGCAGTGGTAGGGTTCATATTGGGACGTGTAAAAGTGCTTTTTAAAAGCCTATTTGCAAAAATAAATGAATTTTATGAAACGCTGCGCCGTCTCTTGCATGACGTATCCTCTCGTGTCTCTGGCCGGGCAGGACAGCAGCGCGTTGGTGCGGTCGCTCCGCAAGAGCAACGCGGCGCTGGGCGCGGAGCTGGCGGGCGTGCGCCGCGTGTGCGCCGCGCTGCACGAGCAGGCGCGCGCGGCGGCGCTGCGCACGCAGTTCAAGGAGGACATCATTAGAGAGATGCGTCGCCAGCTCAACCAGGCCAAGACTAAGGTACTTTTTTATTTTATTTTCCCTTAGGCCTCAGCCTCGAGTTTAGCGGGCAGCGGGGCGGGAGCGGCGGCGGCGCGGGAGCGGGGCGGGCAACGCAGACCCGTTTTCGAAACAAGCGGGCAGCTCGCGCGGCGCTTTAGCGGCGAAATGTTGTGTTCGGGGTTGTGTTGTCGAAATATTTGTTTTTATTCGCAAACGAAATGTTTGAACAACGGCGACAATTTTATTTCGATGCAAATTTATTCCTAACGCTCGATTTATTGTGGGCAAAAGAAGGAGTGCGCTGCCCGCTCGTTGCCCGCTCAAGCGCCGCTGCCCGCTCGTTGCCCGCTGCCGCGCCGCTGTTTTCGAGAACCGGTCTATTTGATTTTACGCATAAGATCCTGCCCCGCTGCCCGCTAAACTCGAGGCTGAGGCCTTAGGGTCAGCGCAGACCTGGCGAGGCACGGTGTGGTTCTGGTCGCCAAGTTTGAGATTCCAAGCGTTGCTAAGAGCAGCCGTGAGCCTCAGCGAAGAGCGGCTTTCGGCAGGCACACGTCATGTCGTCGAGCTGCTGTCAAGCGCCACGCGGCGCCGCCAGTAGTCGGGTGTTGGCTTTCGTGCAGCGTGACGGCGCTGGCAAGCTGTTTGCTAATTTTCATCTTTGGCATGCACTTGCCCAACCGTTCTCTTCTTCTAAAATAAAAAATCAAAATCATTTATTCAGTTTAGACCACAAGTGGCACTCATGTGTTTATTTCTTGGTCTCTTCGCCGCGCGCCCCGCCAGGTCTTGGCTGGCCCTTCGCCTTTTATTATTTCATGCGTAGAGACGTAGACGAGATCTTTAAACATTATGCTCGCCTCAGTTTTTTGTTTTCATCAGCTTTTTTCCCACCATCATCATCTCATCCATATCTAAAGGTATATCAACATTGTTTTTCTTGCATTACTTAGATACTATCGCACATTTCTCCAGCTAAAAGAGTACTCCGAAGCGAACACCTTCAAGAAGGAGTATCCCGAAGAGTTTCCGCGCGCATCCATATCGTCATACGACTCGGTGACGATCGCGTGTGTGAGACAACAGCCGCGGCGGCGGGGCGCCCTGCGGCACCACTCGGACCACGGGAGCCCGCGGCTCGGCTCCGGGGACGACGCGTCTGTGGGACACGACGAGTGAACGTTGAGAGTAAGGTTTCGATATTCTCTTTAGATAGCACATTTTCTTGTATGGAAGAATTTTCGCGCGCGTCCATATCGTCTTACGACTCCGTGACGATCGCGTGCGTGAGACAACAGCCGCGGCGGCGGGGCGCCCTGCGGCACCACTCGGACCACGGGAGCCCGCGGCTCGGCTCCGGGGACGACGCGTCTGTGGGACGCGACGAATGAACGTTGAGAGTAGGGTTTTGATATTCTCTTTAGCTGGCATATTTTCTTTTATGGAAGAGTTCCCGCGCGCATCCATATCGTCATACGATTCCGTGACGATCGCGTGCGTGAGACAACAGCCGCGGCTCCGGGGACGACGCGTCTGTGGGACACGACGGTTGAACGTTGCGAGTAAGGTATTGACATTCTCTTTAGAAGAACATTTCCTTTTACCCACAAGAAAGAGTTGGAAGAGTTCCCGCGCGCATCCATATCGTCATACGACTCCGTGACGATCGCGTGCGTGAGACAGCAGCCGCGGCGGCGGGGCGCCCTGCGGCACCACTCGGACCACGGGAGCCCGCGGCTTGGCTCCGGGGACGACGCGTCTGTGGGACACGACGATTGAACGTTGCGAGTAAGGTTTTGATATTCTCTTTAGCTGGCATATTTTCTTTTATGGAAGAGTTCTCGCGCGTCCATATCGTCATACGACTCCGTGACGATCGCGTGCGTGAGACAACAGCCGCGGCGGCGGGGCGCCCTGCGGCACCACTCGGACCACGGGAGCCCGCGGCTCGGCTCCGGGGACGACGCGTCTGTGGGACACGACGATTGAACGTTGAGAGTAAGGTATCGATATTCTCTTTAGATAGCATATTTTCTTTTATGGAAGAGTTCTCGCGCATCCATATCGTCATACGACTCGGTGACGATCGCGTGCGTGAGATAACAGCCGCGGCTCCGGGGACGACGCGTCTGTGGGACGCGACGATTGAACGTTGCGAGTAAGGTATTGATATTCTCTTTAAATAGCACATTTTCTTTCATCTACAAGAGTATCCCCATGGGCGTACCCAGGTGTTTCTTTTTTATTGTAACTTGCGTGAGTTTATTAAAATTGAGTAGCTGTTAAAATGTGGAACTGTAAAAAAAACAAAACTTATCTTTAGGGCTATGTTTCACCGGGACACCATGGCGGCGCAACCAGTCGCCGGCTACCAACAAAATGCATGCAGCTCTATAGAGAGTTACTCACCTGGTGTCCGTTTGGTTGCGCAAAGCTGCATACGTTTTGTTGGTAGCCGGCGACTGGTTGCGCCGCCATGGTGTCCCGGTGAAATATAGCCCTTACTCTTGCTACAGCATAATGTAAAATAAGTAATCCCTCTTATTTTATCATTGGTCAGGTAAACTCCTCACAAATGTAGTGCAGCAGCTGAGTCATCATGGCATATTGAGGTGAAGGTTACGTAGTTGAATATTATATTTTAGGAATGATTATGTAATTTAGAAGCTACCTAGGAGATTTTTTACGTTCGTATATTATATTGTTATAATTTATTTAATAATAAATATTGTCAATTTATTATTATTTATAGGCATTTTTTGTTATTTGCGTAAATCAAGATGGTCGTGAAAATGTCATTTTTCTGAATTTTAAATTAATATTTCTGTTGTTACTAAATTAATCGTTATTAAATGTTCCGAAAGGTGTTCAACCAGAAAAAAAGCCGAAGAAAACATGTACCGAATGATGTAAAATTATCTCACACATTTATTATTTTTATGTCACAGATTTAAAGCCTCTTATGACCTCTATTTTGTAAGAAGTCGTGTGTTATCAAAACCTTCTTCTGCAGAAGATAAGTAACATTTCTATTTTTTTCTGTTTTTCAATAAAATGTGTTTGGACCAATGCAAAATATGAAATGTAAGTTGTGTATTTTTGTTATTTCATGTGTTTTATTCCCACTGTAGAGTTTCGAGTCATGTGTGTGCGAGGAGGGCGGCTCTCCTCGGGTCAGCCCTCGCGTGGACAATCAGGAAACGCCAGGAGTATGTATTATAGAAAATGTGAGTGCATAATTAAAAACACTTTTATTTATTTTTGTTTTTGTAAAGTAGCTTTTGTAGGCTTGCTCTTGATAACAAATTCCATAAATAATATAAAAAAAATAAAAAATACAAACGGTCCCGTTAACCGTTCGTACTAAGTTAGATATGATTGTGTTGGCTCACCGCAATAGTTGAAAGGCTGCGGGGAAGTCGAGCCGACCAGTTCGACCCCTTCACAGTTCGGTTATCGTGGCTGAATCAAAAGGTTTTTCTTTCTAATTAAGTCTTTACAGTGAGTTACATTGATGGATCTGCTTACAGCTAATTATCACTCAACTAAAGCCCGGTCTGTGAGCACGTAGAATTTTGTGCAATGACCCCAAGCTACCCATCCTTATCGCTCGCGTGTAATTATATTGCTGTCGCGACTGTGCGACTGGCACCCGCAGTGAGTGTGTGAGCGCGACAGCAACATAATTACGCGCGAGCGATAAGGATGGGTAGCTTGGGGTCATTGGACAAAATTATACGTGCTCGCATATCAGACTATAATCTCTTCTTTCACAGCCGCCTCAAGACCCGATCTTGGTCTCCGACGCGTCAATCGAGGACCTGTCTCTGTCAGGCCCCACCCGCAGTCCCCGAAGTCCCCGCAGTCCCCGCCGCGTGTGCGTGCGAGCCCCCGAGGACACTACGAGGGGGGAGGACAGCAGGGGGGTGGAGGAGCTGTTCTTCAATAAGGGAGTGGAGAGCAATGCTTCGGAAGTCGGGTTCGTGTTTGAAAACCTCTTATTTTGGTTATTTGGAGTGGTCGCTATTTGGATCAAATATGTAATTGCTCAATAATGAATAATAAATAAATAATAAATAAATTTAGTAAAGGTAGCCCAAAAATACAGCTATACGTTTTTTTTCTTAACTTACGATTTTTTTTATTCACAACGAGGAAGCTCTTGGCCTGTATCTCACCTGATGGTAAGTGACGATCAGGCCGTAGGTGGAAGCGAGCTTCACCCGGAATCCTCAACCACGGATTATTTTATTCCTTCAGAAAAAGTATAATTAAGTTCTTGTAACTTATCGATTCCATTATTTTCAGAAAATCATATGCTACAGATGAATGTGAGCCGACTTTAGAGGTAAGATACCTGAACACATTTAAATATACCAGAAGTTTTCATAAATATTTACGTTTTTCCTCTGTTGCAGGAAAAGAAAACATGCTCATGCTTGTTATCAAAGTGAGTTTATTTTATCTTAATAACTTTTAACAAATTATTAAACAAGTTGTGAAAATCTGCCGTACATATTTTGTTTTTGTCTTTACAGGGAACCGAAACAAGCTGCGAGAAGTTTGCCTCTATGCAAGATTATTCAAGTAAGTTTGAAATAACTTAACTATTGTCCTGCCTTATCTTTGTTGAAGTAGGTATGACCCTAGCCCTATACATAGTACATAGGTAACAGGAAAGCACTGGATGCAGGCGCTGTTTAGCAGTCGACGTCATGTGGCTGAAATGATGATGATGACCCTACACATTTCGGGGCTAATTCAGTAGTTTTTTGCTTCCCTTCGCTGTAAATTTGCCATAAAATTAGCGCTTTGTTCCCCTTTCGGACTAAATACGGTTTATTATCCTTCTGGACTTTACGATGTGCAGGTGTTTATTCCAGCAGTTCTGTTTAAGTCAATATAATACTTTCAGGTCAAATGAACTTTATTTACGTGTACGTTTTGTAAAAAGTTTAATGTATTTCTGACAAACTGTTCTAGATCCGTTTCCTTCTTATTTCATTGACTAAAAGTAGATAAAACCGGCTTCCTACGGGCTATTAGGATTGTCGATATCTCGTTGAACGTTAGATCGTGGGTTCAACTTCCATGTCTGAACCAGTAAAAATTTTCAGCTTAAAAATGTTTGCTTGACCGATCACAATCTTTCGTATACGTCGGGCGATGTCCTCTTCGCTATGTTGCAACAGTCAGCTATGTGGCGAGAATTTTTGGCAACTCAACGTGTTTTGTACGTTTCCAATCTTCAGGTCTGTCGTAAAGTTTCGTTGCATCCGTTTTGTTAATGGGCGTGACGAAATATATCTTGGGTTTCTTGTCATTGATGAATAAACAAATCATTAGGTCTCTAGCACACAGCTCAAAAGACTCTCAAAAGGGTGGGTAGTACTTACCTATCTTGCAATGTAGAGCTTCATTGAGTTTGGTAGAGACAGAATGACGTTTTGAAGGATTTATTTCTAAGCTGTGCAAGAAGGGCTTGAGTCACACTAGTTCCTTAGAATATCAGTACTTTGACTCTTTAAACTTTTCTCGAAACAAAGACAAAGATTGCTGTAGTGAAACGACAAAAAGGCAACCTAACCCCTTATTTCCATCCCTTGTACTCTTTAATGTGCTGTTTGTGTACTTTATCTTTCGGTCCGTCCGTAATGGAATATGGATATTTTCTAAAGTATCGGTCTAAAGATAGTTCCCGTGAGCGGATCATCAACGCGTCGTCGCGGAGAGGCAGGTGTGACGAAACGCACCGACTCATCCTGCAACATTGTCACTAATGAAGGGCTCTACAGGATGTGGTTATTTTTGAATTCAGTAACTATTTCATATTAACTCATAGATTTAGATAACTAAAACACTTTTCTTTATGTAATTTTTACCTAACGACCTGCTGAACTTTAATTGGAATTTTAAATCACGCACCGGATTCTTAAAATTATTTTTTATGCTGCACATTATTGGTTAGGTATTTTGATTTACAAAATAAGGTACCTACTTTATAAACCGCCTCAGTGTTATTAACCCTTTAAATGGATGTTACAATCGGCATTTTATAAAGTCTTGAATGCACTTGTAGTTTCACTTACCTAAGCATTTCCGCGAATAATCCATTTAAGCCGTAGCCGCGTTTGATCTCGTTGCTCTACCCCTGAAAGAATTAAGCATTACTAATAACTGGGCCGGGCTACTTTGTATCCCTTTGAAACCCTTGTCTCAAGCTCACTCATGCGCCACTAAATAGTCAGGTTCAGTAGCCCCGCTCTACAAAAAGTCTAGCTTCACAGCAGAACAGTTTTAACTCATTTATGGGTGTTATTTGTACAATTGTATTGATATTTTCAGCTCTATTTGCCCCCTTCTCACAAAAATCTGAGCAATGGTTCAGGAGATTTCGTTGTCCTGGTCAGTGGTGGTCCTCTCCCCCTCTTTGTTTAATTAAGGTTGGCAGTTTTGAACTACGTTTTCACGATTTTTACTTGCAAAATCTGCAGGTATTAGAGTGAGGGCACTTTGGTATCTTGTGGTCCTACTGAATACCCCTACACCTGGCATATGAGTGTGTCCGCAAGTGGGGCAGTCGTCTTCCGCCGATATTAATAGCGCCGCAGTGAATGCACGCGTGCGCGTACGCACCGCACGCATGCGTAGTAAATAAACGGTGTTTACACTCGTGTTTATTGTGATAATTTTGATAGCAGTGTTGATATCGTGATAATAAGAAATGTTTGTGATTTACAACCTTCATTATTCGGAAAAAAACACTCAATTTGAATGGATTTTGTGTTAATTTTTGCGTAAACAAAGTTTGTTACAATGATGTTTAATGGATTGTTGATGTGCGGTGATTCGGATACCAGCGATTTTACCAAAGTAAGTGGAGTTTGTTGTTCTGTACTATGTATCTTTGTAGAGTCAAATATTTTCCGTATTTAATATTTTGTGATACCGGTCTCTTTTTCGCAAAAACCTTGGAATGCTACTACTTTATGCGATCGATATATTTTCTTAAAGATTGTCTATACTTCATTGATTTTTTTAAATTCTCTACAGATGAGATAGAGTTATTGTCGACCTTTCGTTTGCGTGGGTGTTTTTTTTCACAATACCGGCCTATATTTTGTTAAGTCGCCCTGCTAACAAAACCTATTCCGTGAAAGAGTGAGCATGTTCGGCTTTTAACTTAGGATTGTAATTTATCCAATGTATGATTTTATTGTCTATACTTATAAATAAATCTGTAGAGAGGTCAATTCTGTACATGAAATATATTTTCAAAATAACTATCAGGGGGTGATTAGTGATCGATACTGATGCCAAAAATGCAATCAGTAAAATTTTTGTCTGTCTGTCTGTCTGTCTGTCTGTATGTTCCTTATAGAAACAAAAACTACTAGACGGATTTTAACGAAACTTGGTACAATTATTCTTCATACTCCTGGGCAGGTTATAGGATACTTAGGAATTCCCACGGGAACGGGCATTAGCGGGAAAATCCTTTTGTATGAAAAATCTAAACCGCTTAAGTAAGACGCTTGAAATTTGGCAAGCGGGTACCTTAGTAAACTTAAAGCTTAGTTATAACAGGATATTGCAAAATTCCTACGGGAACGGGAATTAGCGAGAAAAAATATTTGTATGAAAAAATCTAAGCCACGTAACATAGACGCTTGAAATTTGGCATGCAGGTACCTTAGTAAATTTAAAGCTTAGTTACAACAGGATATTGCAAAATTCTCACGGGAACGGGAGTTAGCGGGAAAAAACATTTGTATGAAAATATTTAAACCGCGTAAGTTAGACGCTTGAAATTTGGCATGCAGGTACGTTAGTAAACTTAAAGCTTAGTTACAACAGGATATTGCAAAATTCCCACGGAAACTGGAATTAGCGGGAAATTCCTTTTGTATGACTGACTTACTGACATACCCACGCACAGCCTAAACGGCTAAACGTAGGCACTTGAAATTTATAAGGGTCGTAGCTTAGGTACCGTAGAGGTGCACTAAGAAAAGAATTCCCGAAATTCCCACAGGAACAGGAATTACCGGGAAAATCCTTTTGTATGAAAAATCTAAACCGCTTAAGTTAGACGCTTGAAATTTGGCATGAAGGTCTCTTAGTAAACTTAAAGCTTAGTTACAACAGGATATTGCGAAATTCCAACGGGAACGGGAGTTAGCGGGAAAAATCATTTGTATGAAAAAATCTAAACCGCGTAAGGGGGTAAAATGGGATCCACGCGTACGAAGTCGCGGGCGGCCGCTAGTTTTTAATATTTTATTGTTTGTCTGCTGGCACATCACCTTATGTACCTAAGATACTATGCAAACAACCTGGGGGTGGAGCACTGGTGACCTGAAATACGGGTTTCTCTGAAACCTATATCAGACACCAGTCTCTCACACACAAGATGCCTCAAATATGTAATACTCATTGTAAGAATGTAATTTTTTGTCTGTGAGAGAAATAAATAAGATTTTTATTTTATTTTTTATTTCGGAAGTTACTGGTTGCTAAGCTATTCCTATAGGGTTCCTTTATTTTAACAAAGTCAAGTCAATGAGAGAAGACCATAAGTTTCATTTCAATAAAACGGCGGTGTTGTCGAAACGTGAACGGTTTGTTGACTTGCGGCTATTCCGGGCCGGTTGATTTATGACCGGATTTGGTGATCGCAACTTTGTGTGTGTTTTGCTTTGATTTATTGGATATGCTTAATGGCTTTTAGTTTTTATTTATTAATAAACCTAGTAGATTTCTATCTACTGCTATTCTTAGCAGTCGCATGTTTTGCGATAGCTTTCACATCAGTCATTGAGTAAAGAATTTCTTTCATTCATTTGTTTCAAGTTATGGATAAGTATTGATTGCAGCACTACGATGTGATTAACAATGTATTCTATGGAGATCTCTGTTTTTACTTTTTCAAAAAGGAGTAGATGTTTTTGTTGATTTCATATGAGAAGCATCATTATCATCGTCATTGTAGCCACAGGACGTCCACTGCTGAACATAAGCTTCCCCAATAACTTCTATTTCGCAAGCTTTTTCAATTTTCATTTAATTTTCTTTAAGTCCTGATAGAACAAAGTCTATGGGTGTCTTTTCTAAGCTTAGACTTTCAAAATCTACTTATGTTAAGGTAGCTTCGATTGTTTTGTCACATATTTTTATATTCATGATTTTTTTAATCCACTAGTACTTGTTAGCAACAGCCTTTCATCAGGTCATCAGAATCTTACAATATTACAATAGTGACTGAGTCTCTTGCGCTTTTCTTAACACTGGCCCATTTATTGACCCAAAGCAGTGGTAGGGTTAAGACTGGGACGTATAAAAGTGCCTCCTTGCAAAAATGTAATGAGTTTGAGTCTTATACTTAATACTTTACGGGTGTGCGCAGGAGAGCGGCGGCGCGTGCAGCTTCCCGGACAGCGAGTGCTCGTCGTGGGACGCGCCGGCGCGCGCGCAGTACTACCACCACAAGCTCATGGCCACGCTGCAGGTGGTGAGTACCATAGTCTTCCACTGTAGGCTACTTTGAGTTAGAGTCGGACTTACGAAAGGTGGTGTATCTTCCTTCGTCATAATAAGCTGCCATAAGCGTCTGTTAGACCAGCTTTTTGATGGGATCGATAGTATAATGAGGCCACCGGAGCTCGGAATGATTATTGTGCTACTTTCCAGAACATTAGCTTGTAAAATCACTTTTAACTCATCTTTACATTGATTAACCTGATTTTCCTTTAAGATCAATGATTTCTTACATGCTATGTAATTTGTGTCAGTCGTTATTCGTAAGACCTGACACCCAAAAGGAGAAGAGGAGATAACGTGTTTGAATAACCAATCAGATTTCGTTATTTCCACATTACCTCTGAAATTTTCAAATTTCATTTTTCAAATCCAATATACCTCCTCTTCTCCTCGCTTTGGTGAAGGCAATAACAAAGATTGTTCAAACTAGGGAAGTAGGTTGCGTGTTGCTTCGATCGATCCACAGAGGAGAATGCGGAACTGATGTTGCTTTATCTGACTGTTTTAGAAATAAGATACTAACATTAGCCCAAGTTTTTACTAACATTTATGGATTCCTGTTATCTGAAATAAATACTTTTATTTTTTATTAATTATTATTTATGTATAATTATGTAGCTAGCAAACAAGGAGGAGACGGTGCGCGTGCAAGGCGAGAGTTTACGCGTGGCGGAGGCGCGTATCGCGGCGCTGAGCGCGCGGACCAACCAGTTGCGCGCGCGCCTCGACGATGCGCATGCCGAAGTGAGTACTGAATGAGGGCTATCGTTTTCATACTTAACAGTTGGCACCCCTGGCGATTGACACGACTTTACTCTACAGTGGCGCCATCTTGATGAGTGCAAATGCGATAGTCCTCCTACCACTTTAGCGCTCACCAGTTGGTGCCACTGTCTTCGCTACTAGCAAGTGACAGGACCTTACTCTACAGTGGCGCTAACTGGTGAGCGCTAAAACGATAGCCCTCATTGCTGACTCTATTTTCTTTAATCGTAGATTTACATGAACGTATTCATTTGCAGATACAGTTTTTGTTGCAAAATACGTACGTTATAAAAAAATAAAATAAAAAAAACCATTGTATGTAGTTTCCTACGGCAGTGGAGCAGTGACAGAACTGTCACGGCATAACATAACTTAAGATGCACATCTGAAACGGCGTCTTTACAATGTGATGTTATTCTGTTATAACTCGTGGAACGCTGCTAAATTTATTTATTTATTTCAAACTGAACACATAGAACGGTGTACATAAGGCGGACTTAATGCATTTTCCTTCAGTCAACCTTAGGGCCAAACTGAAAATAAAGTAGGCGGTATAAATGGTAGCATGAGACCGCGGTAACAATTGATTTCTATTGTGTCTTGATTCGCTGATACTTTAAAGGATAGATAGATGGCTCTTCCTTTATTTACTTCAGTCATTTATTTGCTTGCTATCTTTTTTCTAACTCATTATACTTTCTCCTTTTCAGCTGCAGTCTCTGCGAAGCGCGGGTGCGCGGACGCAGGACGCGGGCGTGTCGACGGATGCGCGGGTACGTACACACGCCCACACTGATAAGAGTAGGCGCACACCGTTGATTGTTAGTCGGCCGATAGTTTAGTCGGGCAGTTGATCAGTATAAATAAATAAATAAATAAATCTTTGGACAATTTCACACAGCGCCAGCTAGCCCCAAAGTAAGCAACTCAATGCTTGTGTTATGGGTGCTAGCTTAACGGATATACTACTTATATACTTTTTTATTAAATACATACATATTATACATATTTACACCCAGACCCGTCACAAAAATTAAAATTCATCATTTCAATTTCTGCCCGGCCGGGAATCTAACCCGGGACCTCTCGGCATAGTAGTCCGTTCTGAACCACTACACCAAACGGCCGACAAAGTATGGGCATGTATGGGAGTGCGCACACTACGCCGATTCGATTTGGCCGATTCTTCATACAATTTAAAATCGGGCACAACTATCGGCCAACTAAAAATCAACGGTGTGCGCCTATTCTAACTGTCCATTTCTGTTTTTGCTCTCGCTCTCATCAAATGGTGATTCTTTGCGATAGAACGAGACGACATGACAGGCAATGGATAGTTAACACTGTTGCCGCTGGTACTCGGGACACGTGTGGGATGTCGCATTTGCTCCGCGATGTTTTTGTGAAACGTTTTTGTTGCTTTTAAACCGTATGCAAACTGAAACTAACTATAGTCGTTGTTCTTGTGAACATTCTTTTAAAATGGTCGAATGTAGCAATAATGTTATTTTTAAATCGCGTGGACATTTTAGTGAATTAGCTACTCCTACTTGGGAACCTTTTTGCAAGACAACTTTTAATGTGATTGTTGTATCAATATTTTACTCATTCAAAAAGAAAATATTTATTAACCTGATGTAAGTAATGCATGCAATTATTTGAAAGTGTTGTGCGTGAATAAATAAAAGAAGTCATGTGCAAAAGACTATTGGAATATTTTAGGAGGTGGAAGAACAAAAGAACATGGTGAAGACGCTACAAACCAACCTGTCTGTGATCGAGGAGCTGTACAGAGAATGTTTTTATGAGGTGAGTACTATTCTTGTGCACATTTGTCTGATACGTCAAGCCACTGAGTTTTGATCTATCATAGGGTAGAAATAATAATTATAATTTAGCCTTAAGATGATATGTTTTCACCTAGTTTGAAGGTACGATAGCCGAACGGTGAAGGGGTCGGACTAGCCAACTCGTGATCCAAGAAACGCAAGTTCGAATACCGCCGCCGCTCGACTGTTGTGGTGAACCCACTCGTAACACAAGCATATTTAGCTTACCACGAGGGCTTAATAGGATTTTTAGTAATTTGTATTTACAAACAGCTAAAGTCTGTGCGACGGGCGCCCGCAGTGAGTGTGCGAGCGCGACAGCAACATAATTACGCGCGAGCAATAAGGATGGGTAGCTTGGGGTCATTGGACAAAATTCTATGTGCTTACAGACCAGCTCAATAAATTAGATGGAAGTACCTTTCTATTACAGTGTAATATTTTCAGACGGCGAAACAAGAGGAGATGATAGAAACGCTTCGCCAGTCGTGCCTGGAGGTGAGACGCCGGGAGACGGAGAAAGGGAACCAGATCAGCAGTCTGCAGAACGTCGTTAGTGCCCAGAAGTGGTCTCTCGACAAGTGCAAGGTACATTAACTGCATCATTTTAAATTAACCAATCGGGCGGGATTGATCATTATCATCATTTCAGCCACAGGACGTCCACTGCTGAACATAGGCCTCCCCCAATGACTTCCACATCGCACGGTTGGCCTGCATACAGCGCCTTCCTGCTATAAAGGTTATCAGGTCGTCGGTCCACCTTGTGGGTGGACGTCCCACGCTGCGTTTTCCGGTACGCGGCTTCCATTCCAGATCCTTGCTGCCCCATCGGCCGTCAGTTCTGCGTACTATGTGCCCTGCCCATTGCCACTTCAGCTTGGTAATCCGTCGGGCTATGTCAGCGACTTTAGTTCGTTTACGCCCATCTAGATAAATTACAAAACGTGACAGTTATCATTTCGAAATGCTTCACGGTGTAAAGAGTTTCTTTAGCAAAAAAGATAGCGAAGCGATTTCGGCGTTACAACTAATCACGTCTTGTAATTTGTCTAAAGGGAGACGATGTTTAATTTCATAAAGCTCAATTACAGCATTACTTCTTAGACAAGGCATAATGGTGTACCCTACGTTACACCTGGAATGTTTTTTGTTATTATGACTTATGAAGCAAATCTCACCATCAATTGTTTCAGGATATCTCAATGGAGGTGGAAAGCCTGAAAATGGAAATATCGAACTTCCTGAACAGTTCCAACGACTCGGTATAGCGATATTAACATGAGTGGTGTGTGCATACTAACGTTGCTCAAGCAGTTACTGTAAATGAAAACGTCATCTACAATGAAAACGGGCACAAGAGTTCCCCTAAACTAAATCCCGGTCGCCGAGCACGTAGAATTTCGTCCAATGACCCCAAGCTATTCATCACTCACTGCGGGCGCCCGTCGCACAGTCGCGACAGCAATATAATTACGTGCGAGCGATAAGGATGGGTAGCTTGGGATCATTGGAGGAAATTCTATGTGCTCGGCGACCGGACTGTTAAACAGATAGTGGTGATATAATTTACTTTATTTTGAATCTTATTGTTTTATCATAAGATCGAAATAGATCATAAGTTGTATAAATAAATAAAAATTGACTAGCGAATGCACAAAATCTCAAGTGTGACTTTACTAATGAAAAAAAGTCTAGATACAAAAACTTTTCTTCTAGGATATCTGTTTACTGTAATCTAATATTCGACTATTTAAGCACAATAAAGCTCTTTATTTGACCTTATTTGATTGGGGCCGGCAGGGTGTGTGGGAGCGCTCGGAGTCCCCATGCGAGGTGTTAGCAGACGTGCGCCACATCGCAGCGCAACTCCACATCTTGCGAGAAATGCTCACTGTATGTTAGGCATGATGCTGGATAGATTATAATATACGTCTAACAGCCGGTTTCTGAACTGAGATTTTTAGCATGAGCGTGCTCCTTCTCTAATTAAGTAGATAACAACTTCTAAAAATGAACAAATGAGCACGCTCATGTTAAAAATTTCAATTTCAGACTAAGTATTTTGCTTTCGTTGGAATGTGCTCATGTCTTGCGTAGAAGTACTCTGTAAAGAATTAATGAAATCAACTTGGTTATTCCATTTATCTTGTCTGTTTTTTAACAAAATAATAAATCCTGCATGTTGACTTGAGAGGCAATCGTCTGCCCCCGGGTCCAATAAAGTAGGTAACATTCGCGTAACCGCTTCGCTCCTTTTTACAACCTTGCTGTGATAACACGCATGGATTGCAATATCAACCAATTATTTGTGTACTGCTCTTTAGCAGTATACAAATAATTCTTTAATTTTAAAAATACTTTAATTTTGTGGTGCGGTATAATGTAAAAATATTTATAATTTCCTATCATTACAGGAATCTTGCACGTGTGGCTCGGAAGAAGAGAACATGAGGTTGAAAGATGACAACGAAACGATGCAAGTAAGTTCTATGGTGGCCTAATTCACGTATTCTGATAGTCAAGATCTCGCTGACGTTCAGAAGTCGTCCCATTGAAAAACAGTTCTAAATCCGTATTTACAAGGGTCATCACAACTCAGCGATTTGTTGTCGTTGAAGTTTTGTTACGTGAATAAGGCTACTGATCTAATAAGACGACTTTTCGTTTTGTAGTTTAATTATACGGTTCAAAAAGCTTGACATGTGCTGCCATCTATACAAATGTTACACAATCACTCTCGCTATGATTACGGGTAAAGTTGACAAATTAATTTCAATGTGTTAGTAAAATTGCCCCTTAATGTAAAAAACAAAATTAATTATAGATCCAGGTGGGTGAGCTTCGTCAGCGAATCGGTGAACTAGAGGCCGCGGTTGCTGATAAGGAGAATGACCTCTCCTACAGGGACCAGCTCACGGCGAAGGAACAGGAGGTAGTAATATACTTTGCTGTGTAATAATCGTTAATAATAAGAAGAACCATACTTCTTCCATCGTGTGCATTGTAATAACTGAGCTCACTACTCATGTATTGGTGGTCGTAAAACCAAAAATCGCATGTCTCTATCCAGAGACATGCGATTTTTGGTTTTACGAAGGTAATACGATAGAGAATAATACAAAGTAATAAAAATCACCGGTTATAGGGAAATTCTTTGGAGAAATTTATCAAATAAGCAAAAAAACACGAATTTAAAAGCAGATTTTTTTCAAAAAGTATATTTTTTTATTATTTGTTGGCCTTTTTTGTGTATTTTATGGATTTTTTTAGTATCTCCTATTATTTAGCATTATTACTGTTTTTATTTTATCAGGACATACCGCTTAATTTAAAAGTTATTACGTTTTCTTTACAATAAGTAATTGGAAGAAAAAAAAATCCATAAAAAAATAAAAAAAAATCTCAAAAATTTTTTGACCTCTTTTTTGTCGATAAAATTAGGTCTAGTTTCATCTATTTTCATATGTACACTTTAACGTGACTCACACTGTATTTTCAGCTGGAAAATGTGAAAAAGCAGTTGTCTGATCTGCAAGAGAGCGTCGGCGACCGCAGCTCGGCCTGCGAGGCGCTGGCCGTGCAGCTGAGGCAGGCTCAGGGTAAGAACTTAGCAGCATAACAGTTTTGTATTATCCACACTTATTATTTTCTCATGCAAGTGACTGTATGGTTTTAATAATAATAATACACTGCACCACTTTCACTTTTGTCGATTATTTTGCGCTTGAAACGGCCTCTACGTGTTGGATCTGTATCCCCACGCAAGCCTTATAAAGGACCGGGCCACTTTTGAACCGTGAGCTCCAAAGCGTACAAATAATAATAATAATATAATTTATTTATTTTAATGAGAAAAATAATTATTTTCTGAATCTAACAACTTTATTTTCTTTGAAGTTTTGAATATTTTGTTCAATCATCACTCAGCTCTCCTGCTCGACCGACCTCACGGCAGTGGCTGGAATTTGTTTTGTGACGTTTCTTGGGGAAGTTTCCGTCCACTAGTGAAAACTATCATTGGCTGAAATGATAATGATGATTATGATTGTTATCTACCTATGTAATTATTAGGTAATCGGCTTATGACCACAATAGGCTAGTTTCCTAAAAAAATTTTTTTAGTCCGTCATGTTTAATATCAAAAAATATTGGACACATATATTTTTATTTGTCAATCTAACAAATAATTACATAATTATAGTGCGTTGAAGTTCCGCACGACGTCACAACGTGCGGCACTTTTATGCAAGCATTGACGTCACGGGCCTCTTCTTATGAACTTTGGCGCGCTTTATCTCTTTAAATTTTCATTAGTTTGAAAAAGTGAAAAATACGTGTAGAGTATTTTTTGATAAGTTAACTGACGGACTATTTAAAACTCTTGCTTTTTGACCCAGGAAACATCCCTATATTAAAACTCAAACGGCTTTCAAGAATATTTCAGTTCACCAATACAATAACTCTCATGTTCTGTTCTAGTGTCAATCGAGGAGCAGACGCGGTCGCTGGCGGAGGCGCGTCAACAATGTGCGCGCCACGAGGCCGCCGTCGCCTCGCTCACGCGGGACCTACAGCAAGCTAACCACATCATCGACGAGGTAAGAAAAGAAAAATACGTTTAACTTTTTCACTGTATACGTTTATTTTGTGTCGTGTACTGCTTCTGTGGTGTAATGGAAAAACTTGGGGGAAGCCTTTGTCCAGCAGGCAGACAGTGGTGACTGAGTTTGTTGCAGCGCTTCTTCTCAGCACTTGCCAAATGTTTGTCTCGAAGCGCTGGTAGGGCAAAAAAAGAATGAGACATGTATAGGCTCCTTAAGAGCAGTTGACGATTTGTAAGTACTAATTTAATTAGTCTATACAAATAAATATATTTTGATTTTTTTTGAGTGGACGTCATTTGGCTGAAACGAACGAACGAATTGCTTCTGTAGAGAAAAGATGAAGAATATCGAATCGACTACTAACGGGACTTATTTCAACTACACTTTCCCACCACTGCAACTCCTGTATAGCCAGGATCTACAACGTGGCATCCAATGAAATCCAACCAGTGAAGGTTGAGTAGTCCCGGGGATATATTTCACTAGTGTGCTCATTTAAGGCATGGCTATTGTCGTTTGTATGTTTTGACCGCGCGAAGCACGATAATGATTATGTTCGTTCGTTCGTTTCAGCCAAATGACGTCCACTGCTGGACAAAGGCCTCCCCCAAGGTTTTCCATAATGAACGGTCCTGCGCTGAATGACTATGTAACATGCCGTAATTTTGAAGACTGCGAGCAAGGCTATTGATGGTGGATTCTTATATTTTCAGAGTCGCGCACTACGCGAGGAAATGGAGGAGCTGAAGCAGCTGGCAGCGGAAAGCGGGCGCCGCACACGCGCGCTCGCCGACCAGCTGGCGCGCGCGCACCAGCGCTGCCAGGCGCTCGATGCCTGCTGCAGGTGCGTACTTAAGGTTTCAAACAGGGGTACAAATATGAAATATAAACCAAACCAGCAGACAGTGGTGACTGAGTTTGTTGCGGCGCTTCTTCTCAGCACTTGCTAAATAATAATAAATTGAAGTTATTTCTCACTACAAACTAGTAGATACAAAGTAACATGCTTACGATTAGGTATAACTAGATATATGTAACTTGTTTGTGGAGATTGGTGATCTATGGTAAGTAAAAAAATACTTGTGTTACAGACCACCAGGTCTCCACCCCCAGACATGTCTTTCGGTATAGCAAAAAAAGAATGGGACATGTATAAGCTCCTTAAGAGCATTTGACGATTTGTAAGTACTAATTTAATAATTAGTCTATACAAATAAAGATAATTTTGATTTTATGTTAAGGATGGTCAGTCATCATACAGGGTGTAAGAAAGATTTTAACATCTTGGGGATGGTCAAGTATCGATATTGAATGTCCAGGACTAAAGAACAAAAATAATGATATTTTTCATTACAGGTTAAATGCTGATAACATAAGTATAATGTCTGTACAGTTAAATTAGCTATAATTAGGCTGGGTTGCACCATCTTACTTTAACTTTGACAAACGTCAAAAATCTGTCAAATTCCATACAAAAAGCACCGGTTATTGTCAACTTTACCGTTAAAGTTGGGTGGTGCAATTCAGCCTTAGTGTTCAAGAAAATGTGTATCAAGGATAAAGTGCAAACTTCTCTCTCACAGAGACAAGGCCGCGTGCGCGTCTACCCTCCAGTCGCAGCTAGAGGAAGCGCACTCGCGCGGCGCGGCACTATGCAAGGAAGTGCGGCGCGTCGTGTGCGGCGTGCAGGCCTGCGTGCGGAGGATGCGCGCGCGACAGCGGTCAGTCACTAATTTTATTCAATACTAACGGGACTATTCCCACCTCTCGTTCCCACCGCTGCAACTCCTGTGTGGCCAGGATCTACAGCTTGACCGCCACAAAAACCCAACCAATGAAGGTCAAGTTTGTCCCGGGGGAAAGTTAAACTGTCATTGGACCCGCAACGAAATTAATCAGAAGAACATAGGAGGAGTTCGAAATTATTTTATTCAATACTAGCTGACCCCGCGATCTCGGTTCCGCCTTAAAGGCAATAAATAAGCCATCGCAATTTTTTCTTATTTTCTCACCGTTTAGACCTACCCTGGACTACGACAAACATTTTAAAACCAAAATCAGCTCAATCGGCCCAGCTGTTCTCGAGTTATAATCAGACTAACGAACAACAATTCATTTTTATTTATATAGATAGACTAGCTGACCCGGCGAACTTTGTTCCGCCTTAATGGCAATAAATAAACAGTCTCTTTTTTATTTCGAACGGGATAAAAAGTATCCTATGTCCTTCTCCTGGCTCTAAACTACCTCCCTGACAATTTTCAGCTAAATCAGTTCAGCCGTTCTTGAGTTATAACTGGAGTAACTAACACGACTTTCTTTTATATAATAGATATAGATATGTGAACTGAACACAGATTGTTATATTTATTAACCGCCTCTGTGGTCTAGTGGTAAGACCACCTGCTTCAGACGCAGAGTTCCCGGGTTCGATTCCCAGTGGGGGCAGATTTTTCTGTTCGGTTTGGTTGGTGGTAGGGCTTGTTCTAATTCCGCCTGGCTAGCTACCACCATCTTACCTAAGTCTGTCCCCTTAACAACAATGTTAACAGCATTGTTGTGTACCGGCAGTTAGAGGTAAGATAGCCAGTCCCTCCGTGGTTGAGGATTCCGGGTGAAGCTCACTTCCACCTTCGCACAGTATGTTATGAGACTGTATAATCGGACATTATCATTTATTTGATGAACCGTATAGAGCTCAGTTATACAAACATAGATAGTAAAACTCCCGTTTGAAAATTCCAAGTAGTTTTCGCGGTATATTAATTCAAAGTTACCTATTTTTTTACTTCAAAATTATGCAAAAATATTCTCACTCGTTAACTAATAACATTTAATTCAGAATTATTATAATACTTCATAGAGCTCTTAAAACTACACGTAATAAGCGTATTAAGTGCTTCGTAAACGCATTCAGTTCATTAGGAAAAATGATTTTAGTGATTTTTGTTTTTATTTTTTTTCTCAATTATACCTTAATATATGCAAACATTTTAAATTGCAAGATATAGTCTGATATTTAATCTAATTGTATAAAAAAAATTAGCTTTAAATTCCGAAAAAGATTGCAATTATGCGGCTGGTTAGTAGATTCAATATTGAAGGCCCACCAACCACCGTCCGTTGGCATGCACACAACTAAAGTTGTCCTTGTCTAATCTGCTGCCTGCCTGAAGTTCTACCTCAACTTGCTTCGCTTCCAGTTATACATTTTCTTCTAAATCATTCAATTGTTTCAAAAATGCTGATGACATAAAAATATAAAATTTTCTTTTCACGTTTCAGAGAACAAGAAAACAAAATAAAGGAACAAGAGACCCTCATCAAAGCTCTCCAATTCCAACGAGACGAGGCCGGTCTTATCGAGCTTATCAACGACCGCTGCTCAAAATGCGTCTCGCTCAAACCTAAACGAAGCCGCGGGCGAGTGAGCGAGACAGTAAGCTGCGAATGCGACGAAGGACACAACGGAGATGTTCAACGCAGCCCTGAAGCTAGAGAGAGAAGGGATGGCCACAGAAACGAAATAGATTGTGAATGCCCTAGAATAGAACAGAAGTTGCAATTGCACAGAAAGCCGAGTGCAAGCGAGATGGGTAGCTGCGTGTGTTCGTCAAGAGGAGAGAGACTGCAGGATCGTGCCAACACCAGGAGACACGAAACGGCGAGTTGTGATTATTCGAGGGTTGGAGAGAGACGGGGCGATTGCTCCAAAACGAGTGGGAGCGAGGTGGCTAGCTGCTCGTCGGCACCCACGCCACCTAGGAGATTGCTGAAGAAAAAGAACAATGCATATGAGGAAAAGGTAAGTTTACGACCTTTGATAATAAAGTACGAGAATGTTTTAGTTTTCAAAGGCGTTTATGTATAAATTAACGTTTTTGGTAGTTTACATTTTTGGTTTGTGTAATATTCTTTGCTCGAGTAATATCCCTGCCATCCCCATTCGTAAGGGAGAAGCCACACGCACGGTGCGGTGCCGCTGCGGCGTCCTGCATATAAAAATCAATGATATGCCAGACGGTGCGTTTCGGTGCCGTATACCACATGTGTACAGTGATGCGACACAATGTTTGGCTTCTCCCTAAGGGGAAAAACTGCTAACAACAGGCCTTCCCAACCCGTCTGGCCACTGTGGTGAATGTAGGCCAGATTCTCCGCATAAATCAGTGAGATATGGGTTGGCACGAGTAGGGTGACATTGACATATTGTGACATGAACAAAGCATATAATTCTGAAGGAGATTTAAAGTATAACGCCAGTGTTTGACGTTACAAAAACACCCTTTCTTGCCGCTTTCATATCTTTTTTTATGCATAAATAGGCAGATATTTGACCACAATCGCACCTGATGTTAAGTGGGATGCAGACTAGGATGGTAGATATCTGCCCTGTAAATGCGTATTCACTCTCGCCTTGAAAACGCCCGGATTATAGTCTTCGGGAAAGACAGCAGTAGGCACTGGTTAAGTTAAGCGCTAGACTTATAGAATTTCTTCTGCAGTGGAGAGCAAATAACCTTAAATTGATGATGCTGAATGATGAATGTTTGCCGCAGTCGTGGTGGTGGTCGGTACCGCGGCGGGACGCGGGCGTGCAGCGGCCCACGCGGCGGGACGCGGCCAGCGACGCCTGCGACTGCCAGTACCAAGCAAGACATCTGAGGGTCGAGCGGCTGCCGGTTGGTGTGCTATCAATCTACTAAAGGCCTTATACAGAAGCTCAAAGTTGCACAGCGTGCTATGGAGAGGGCTATGCTCGGCGTTTCTTTACGAGATCGAATCAGAAATGGGGATATCCGTAATCAATCTAAAGCCGGTCTGTGAGTACCTAGAATATTGTCCAATGACCCCATCCTTATCGCTCGCGCGTAATTATATTGCGATAAGGATAGATAGCTTGGGGTCATTGTACAAAATTCTACGTGCTCGCAGACCAGACTAAAGTGTGTTGAGGGACTACGGCAAACGGCAATGGCAGTCGGTATCTAAGGAATATTGACTTTTTCTCAGAGCGAAATGTATTTTTTTTTATCCACAACGAGGAAGCTCTTGGCTTGTATCTATTACCTTGAGAGTTTTTCACTCTTACATTTGCATTTGACATTTGTCACCCGTATAAATATCTACCGACTGCCTTTAGCATTTTAGCAACATGGCAAAGTAAATGGCATCTTCTTTAGAACCTCATTTATGCAGAAATAAATGTTTCCAGCGCGAAGCGTCTCCATCTGCAGAGCTGGAACAGCGCATGAGCGCCCTACAGGAGGCCCTGCAGCGCTCCCACGAGCGCTGGGCGCGCGCGCCGCACACGTGACGTCCGCCGCAGTCACGCCGAAGTCACGTGACCTGCGACCATGCTGCCAGAGTAAATACAAATGGTCATCTTCATAGAAAAGCACCGAGCGCGGTTTGTATGTGAGCGCGCCAATACGTATGCGGCGCGCACGCACACACTGACAAAATTCGGCGCAACTCCCCGCTAATCCACGCTATGTCAGTGACCGGCGCCCACGTTGCTACGTCACGCCCGCATTACGTGACCTGCGCTCGCGCCGCCTACGTCACGCCCGCAGTCACGTGACCTGCGCCTACGTCACGCCCGCATCACGTGACCTGCGCCCACGCTGCCTACGTCACACCGGTAACCACATGTCCTGCGCTCGCGCCGTCTACGTCACGTCCGCATCACGTGACCTGCGCCCACGCTGCCTACATCACGCCCGCAGTCACGTGACCTGCGCCTACGTCACACCGGCAATCACGTGACCTGCGCCCACCCTGCCTACGTCACGCCCGCGTCACGTGACCTGCGCTCGCGTCGCCTACGTCACGCCGCCCGCTAGCGACACGCACTTTGCATGTGACGTCCAGATTTTGCTCAAGTGGATTAGATTGGGCGTCGAACACGGGTTGGTAAAACATAAAAAGTAAGTTTTGACCGTGCTGTCAAGTTGGAGCACAAAAGTTGAAATAAATAAAACATTTTGAGCGAATCGCGCGTCCTTCAGAATCATGGATTGCTATCCGAACTCTACCTACTAACATTCCGACGATATTGGATGTGTTCAGTGTGCATTTATAATATAAATGATGTACTTAATTTATAATAGTTATACATAAAGATTTTTAGATTTAATTATTGAGGTATTGCTAGTCTTATTTTAGTTTTTCTAATTGTTTATAGTATTAAATTGATTTGTTTTGTTCAACATTGATTATTATTCGTCAATACCAAATCAAAATGACACAAAATTGTAAAAATAATATTTATTAATGTCAAAATTAAATCACAAAAGTAAAAAATAATCGTTCTTACGACAATCTATGACGATTCGAACACAATAGTATTATAGTATCTAACTACATTTCTAAATTAAAATAATAATTTCTGTTTTGTCACACGGGAATGTTTAACGGCCACTTTTTCGTATTATGTTCCAGAAAAATACTTGCGGCCCTAGTAGTTCTAGAGAGTAGAATTCCAATCAACCTATTTAAGTATTACGTGGAACACAGCCGCTACACACTGGTGTGACACGACAGTTACATACCTCACATCAGTAGACTACAACGATGAGATCTAAACACATTATGACACTCATTCGTGTCGGCATAGAGCCGTCACATACATCCGCTTTTATAATGTTTTTCATTCAAGTAATGCATCGGAACTGTGCCAAGAAATAACATTCATTCATAAATCAATCGATTAAAAAGTTGGATGTATGCGACTACTCAAACGAAAGGGATTCCGTGACATTACATTATTGAGTCACATCACCACGCACACGTGACGTGGCGTGACACCATGCAATACCCAAAAAACTTTTTAAAATGTAATTAATTCACTGGTTCTGTTCCATTTTAAGCGTTTATAAATCAGGTCGGTTACGTAACCGTGTAGCTAATTTACTGTGTAAAATTATGTCGAGCAAAGATTTAAATAAAACTAAAATACATTAAACAGCAAATTTTGCTGACTACCCACAAAACGAAAGATTCGACACTATTCGTTACTCTCCCTTTTTTTTGACAGTGAGCGAGCTAAAAGCTGCAATGCGCACAGCGCGCTGTAGAATAAAAATAAACGGGGAAAATGATTCCGGTATGACAAGTTGTTTTCTCGATCAAGCCAGTTCGACTCGAGGACACATCACATAAAAATTAGACCTTACCAGAAAACATCCTGACATGACATTTAACCCTGTACCTACGGGCCCTTGGAAACCAAAGTCGCCACTCAATACGGGGTATTTTAACCTATAAAATTGTTTGATCCACTTTAAATTAAGATATTTTAAAAAGTATGAGACTTAACGTTATTGAAATTTGGAATATTATATTCTGCAACTAATGTATTTTTATAATTACAAGCGTATTTTACACTTAATTTACAATTTTATTGTTTTTTTTTGTCGTAAACCGTGATTTAGTATTGGCTTTGCCAAAACAACAATAGACGCCACCCGTATTGAGAAGTGACTTTTGACTTGGCAACAATAGGTGTCTCTCGTTGGTAAGAGGTTAAATCATTTATACAGGGTGTTTGGCGCATCGTGTGCCAAAATGATTTGGCGGATAGAATGGGTCATTTCCTATATTTTCAGCCCCCATAACACGTTCCATGCCAGGCGGCTACTTTTAAATTAATTTTTTTAGTAATTTCACCAAAATACCCAAATCGCATCATTTAATTTCGATTTAAAAAAAAACTACTAGGCGCAGCCCTAAAGTAAATATTTTGTTTTGACGTGCATTAATGTGGGGTTGCATCAAATCTAAATTTACTGGCAAATATCATCTAGTTTTTTTTAAATTCAGCTTCGAAGTTTTCCGAAAAGTTAAAAATGGACTGAACATTTAAGTTTACATGGGTATAATTTTTTTTTTAAAAGAGATAGCGATCTTAGGATTTCACCAAAACTTCTCTAGTCTATCCTCATTCAAACGGTATACTAATCTTGTTTAAATAATAACAACAACTTCACNTAAAAACCTTTTCCCTATCGTTTTTCAATGTGGATTTCTTGAAATTAAAGACGAAAATAATTATTTTGATCGTTTATTAATTATTACAAATTTTGTTCAAAATGTCCGCCTCGGCAACTTATACACTCAAGACATCTTCTTCTAATTTCGACTGTTGTCGTATGCAGTCACATTTTTCTTTTTATTACTAATAAGGCGTTTTCTATTCGTTGTAGTTTTTCTATTGTTTGAATCCGTTACGTACACCAGTTCTTTAGCTTGTCCCCAGACGTAAAAATCGAACGGAGTTAGGTCTGGGGAACGTGCAGGTCACTGTATAGAGCCATCTCTTCCAATCCACGAGTAGAAAACGCCTTTGTAGTAATAAAAAGAGAAAATCAGAAGAAGATGTCGTGAGTGTATACGTTGCCGAGGCCATTTTGAACAAAATTTGTAATAATTAATAAACTATCAAAATAATTATTTTCGTCTTTAATTTCAAGAAATCCACATTGAAAAACGATTGGGAAAAGGTTTTTACATTGCATAAGATAAATATTGTTTACCTGTAGGTGTTAAACGTGCTATTCAAACATAAAGGGGCTATAAACACAAATTTCGCAAATCAGTCCGAGTAGAGTCAATGCACTAATTTAAGGAATTTGTGAAGTTGTTGTTCTTGTTTAAACAAGATTATTATACCGTTTGAATGAGGATAGACTAGAGAAGTTTTGGTGAAATCCTAAGATCGCTATCTCTTTTAAAAAAAAAATTATACCCATGTAAACTTAAATGTTCAGTCCATTTTTAACTTTTCGGAAAACTTCAAAGCTGAATTAAAAAAAAACTAGATGATATTTGCCAGTAAATTTAGATTTGATGCAACCCTACATTAATGCACGTCAAAACAAAATATTTACTTTAGGGCTGCGCCTAGTAGTTTTTTTTTAAATCGAAATTAAATGATGCGATTTGGGTATTTTGGTGAAATTACTAAAAAAAATAATTTAAAAGTAGCCGCCTGGCATGGAACGTGTTATGGGGGCTGAAAATATAGGAAATGACCCATTCTATCCGCCAAATCATTTTGGCACACGATGCGCCAAACACCCTGTATAAATAAATGATAAAGTGAAGTTAAGCACAGCAAATACAGCGCGTTGTTTGGTTTGGTAGTGTGCTTTTGTGAGTGTGTGCGCGCGTCACTTGCTCCATCCGCGCCACAACGAGGCGAGTGACGCGGCCGCTGACGTCACTAGAGACGCAGGCGGCGCCGCGGGAGGCGTGCAGCTTAGCTCTTCGATCTGAAAACGAGACATAGACATCTGTTTTGACACGAAAGACTGTTTGACGACGGCAATCATGCCGTTTATACAGGTGTAACTGTTATAGAGTTGAAATTCTTCCCTTCACCTAAAATGCTGAGTCTGACAGGGTCCATAATTGTATCTAAATACCACCTCTGTATAATATTGAGAGCGTTTTATCACTCCTATCAGGTCAGGCTATAATTCACGTAAGAAGGAGGATTATAAAATGCTGAGCGGGGCACATAGAGCTGATGGCCGTTGGGGCAAAAAAGTGTTGAGTGGCGACCACGTAGTGTGGTCAGGCCTCCCACTAGGTGGACCGACACGGTCTGGTGAAGATTGCGGGAAGTACCTGGATACGGACAGCGCGGGACGAGTCGTGGTAGAAATCCTTGGGGGTGGCCTATGTTCAGCAGTGGACGTCCTATTGCTGAAATGATGATGATAATTTATTGCGTGTTCCCGCCGACGGACAGGTACTTTACGGAGTGCTTCTCCTTCGGCGGTAGGGCGCAGCAACGTCAAGGGACCCGCTGAAAATCGGTGTCGAGGCATGCCCATATTGCCCATGGCATGCCCCGATTAATAGGGGCCCCTATTTGACAGCAGGGTACAATGTTTCTTCTTTATATAATTTATGTAT